CTTGATAATTCGAACAGATGGCGTTTCGAATATTTGAGCATTCGACGAATGGACTATTCGATGGTTTTACCATTCGACTGAATGACGATTAGACGTTTTAAGCATTCGACGTTTTGAACATTCGACGAATGGAAAATTCGATGATTTAAGCATTCGATGAATTAACAATTCGATGTTTTTAGCATTCGAAGAATTGACGATTTGATGTTTTTATCATTCGACTAAATGACGATTCGATGTTTTTAGCATTCGACGTTTTTATCATTCGACGTTTTGAACATTCGACGTATTGACAATTCGATTTTTTGAGCATTCGACAAATTGACAATTCGACGTTTTGAACATTCGACATGTTGACGATTCGATGTTTTTAACATTCGATAAATTGATAATTCGACGAATTGGGAATTCGATGTTTTTAGCATTCGATTAAATGAAGATTCGATGTTTTTAGCATTCGAATAAATGACGATTCGATGTTTTGAACATTCGACAACTTTACCATTCTACTACTTGATAATTCGAACAGATGGCGTTTCGACTTTTTGTCCATTCGACTACTTTACCATTCTACTACTTGGCAATTCGAACAGATGACGATTCGACGTTTTGAACATTCGACAACTTTACCATTCTACTACTTGATAATTCGAACAGATGGCGTTTCGACTATTTGAGCATTCGACGAATGGACTATTCCGTGGTTTTACCATTCGACTAAATGACGATTCGACGTTTTGAGCATTCGACGTTTTGAACATTCGACGTTTTTAACATTCGACGTTTTCAACATTTAACGTTTTGAACATTCGACAAATTGAGAATTCGATGTATTTAGCATTCGATGTTTTTAGCATTCGATGTTTTTAGCATTCGACGTTTTGAACATTCGACGTATTGACAATTCGATGTTTTTAACATTCGACGAATTGATAATTCGACGTTTTGAACATTCGACGTATTGACAATTCGATGTTTTTAGCATTCGACTATATGCCGATTCGATGTTTTTAGCATTCGACGTTTTGTCCATTCGATGTTTTTAGCATTCGACGTTTTGTCCATTCGATTACTTGGCATTCGACTATTTGATCATTCGACGACTTGGCGATTAGGGGATATGCATGCGTCTCATTATTCGCGATAAAATATTGATTTAGACGATCTTGATAAATTGTCCAATCTTCACCGATTTGAAATTCGCTCATGTGCCCGATGGTCGACATGAAAGTTACATTCTGCGTTGGTATAGGTGGCGCCAGCGGTAATCCCGCCGTTTCCCCTGTCCCCTGTGACGTCATAGCGTGCTGATTTTCTAGATTTATTGTTGAAATCTGAGATTCTAGTCGATTTGCTTTGTCTCGATGTTCATTCCTTTCCACTCTAAGTCTGTCAATTGTCATCTGAAGTTCAGCTTGTCTAGTGGTGGCTTCAGCAAGCTTGGCCTTGAATTCCTCCGACATTTTGTGTGTGACGCGTTCTTGATAAATCCAACTTTAAAGGCACTTTTATCACTGGAAGTCACAATTTACGTACTCAAACTCTTTTTATCCTCGTCGCCAATATGTGGTGTCGTGAAATAAGACCAGAATTACTTATATGAATAATTGATATATTTGATGGGAATACATAAGTTGGGAAAGGTGTTACTAACTGAGAATCTCGCTCATTACTGAGCAGTCAGCAAGCGGACTTTGCATGCCCCCCCCCCACTTCTATAGTAGTGACACATATAGGGATAAAGTAGAACTATATTACAATTTCTATAGTAAAAATGTTGTATAATTTGAAAACATTACTCTTACAATGAACATCTTCTGAATATGCATCGTAATCAATTCCCGTGTAGATCAAAAATAAAGATTTCATTATAAATGAAATAATTATAAAATTAATGAAATGTAAAAGGAGTCTAGAACCACAAAAATAAAAGAAAAGTACTCACAATATACAAAAAAACAGTGGTCCTGACAAAATAAAAAGGAATTCCTTTGATGTTCCTTCGATGATGAACAGACTATCTGCTCGAATATAAGTCCAAACAAAAATCAAGTCCCAAAGTAGTAACTTGATCCACAGAAACCAAACTGTGAATGCCTTCTTCTCCAAGTTTTGGGATTGAAAACAAGCTGAAAACTTTTGCTGACTTTAGTCGTATATCTTAAAAAGAGATTTTGCAGAAAATTATGAATAATGTGGAAGGGTATCCGCATTGAAAAGAAAGTTGAATTAGGGAAATTGAAGGAAGTAGCTGTAGAAAATCTTCTGCAGTAAGTCCAAAATGACGCTGTCAAAAATATGTTTTGGTAGAATATGTCTGCTTGTGAAAAATTTTATCAGCGAAACTAAGAAAAATAGATTCATAACTTTGCTTTCATAGTTCGCTCTTTGGTTTGTTGCCATAGCTGAATTTTAGTCCTTATGATCTTGGTAACACTGATGGAAATATGTCAAACTTTATTCAAAGAGATTAAGTTCATCAATGTAAAACTTTAAAGTCAGAAGTTAATCCTTCTTTAGAATTAGGTGTTTTAATTAGTTAAAAATTACTTTGCTTTTTAGTATTAAGCATTTTTGAGTTTAATACGTTATTACCGTATCGAATGTAAATCATATTATTAGAGAAATATATTTTATTTTGAAACATTTGCAGAGTGATGTCTGATGTCTTGCAGAGTTTTAAAAACTACTTTATTTTCTTATGTCCCAGCATTTTAGCAATACACACATAGTCTCAATAGGATCTCTCCGATGATGATGAATATAAAAATAATTGTTAAATTGTTGAAATTTTATTACTTCATTCAGACTTGAAATAACCTAGAATCCAGAATTGGGTCGACACTAGATCACATCACAATTTTGGGGTTTCGTATTCAATAAAAAGTCAAGATGCAACCGTGAGATAAAGAAACGTCCTTTTTATGTTTTCTAGATGTCCAAAGAACGTCTTTTAGTTGTCTTTAAGATGTCTCAGAGACATATACCATCATTGTCCCCAGATGTCCGAGGACAAACAGTGTCTTAAAGGCTTCAAAATCTCTGGGATTTATAATAAGGAATGCCCGAGTATTTCGTAATATGATGACTGTCAAAACCTTGTACCTGACACTTGTTAGATATAACATGATTGAGTATGCATGTATTATTTTTGGTCTCCATTCTATGTTTTCAATATAATGAGGCTTGAACGTGTTCAAAATAGAACACATTGAACAACATTGAAGCTGTTTACTGACCTCCACTCCTACCAATGGTTAATTTAACAGTTCCAAGAACAATAACTAGATACCATACACTTTTCTCAGTGAGTATCATTCCACAGAAATAATTCTTTAATAGATCGACTTTGCAGAGAAGCTAATTAAATTTAGAATGATGTTAATTTCTTTGACACTAACGTCTTAAGAGTCACATCGAGATTATTTAACGTAATTTTTTAGTCAAATAGACATTTAATAGAGTCAACCTAGAATTTAAGTTCAAAACTGTTTGATTTGTAATTGTAATTGTAATTTTTTTTTTAATTGTGACAAAATAAGTTTTTTTTTAAATCCTTTTGACTTTCAATTTTATTACTGAAGGTGACTGCCCTATTTATCTAATTATGTCAGGAGAAAAGCATGTTGAGATATAAAATTTTCTATGCAGAGTAAATTGAACTATTTTGGTGCCGATTTCTGCAATTTAATTAAACCGTAGGAGGGTTAAAATACTTCAAAACACTGATTATTCTAATTTAAATAAATATGGTTACAAATTACATGATAGAAAAAAAGAACTCTTTTAATAAAAATAAATTACTTGAAAATTAAATTTATATTAGTAATGATTGTTTCAGAAAATTTATTATCAAATAAAAAATTTAAATATAGGTAATAGAGGCCAAAGGACAAGAGGGGGAGGGATATAAAACACTTTGCACGCGGTACTAGTATATTACGAATACAGTAGCCGAACGATAAACTGAATTACAAAAACCTTTAGTACACCATACTATTATTGTACTCGTATTGTACGAGTATAGCATACTGGTACTACATACTAGTACAGTACCTGGTACCGTGTGAAGGTAGATGGCGGGTACAGTACCAGTACGACTTATACGCCATACTTGTATTGCACTTGTATTGCTGGTTATCTCGGAGGGTATAACATTTCCTAACTTTTTTATGATATTTGCTAAAATAACTTCTGTTTGGTTAGAACGCAAATTTATAAAGTATCAAGTTTTTTAAAAATGTATAAAATGGAAATAGAAAATAATATTGCGATAAGAATTTTCTTTGAATTTACAAAGCTTTAAAAAAATGTGTTCTACTGTCTTAGACTTACACAAACAACCAACATTTAACTTAGTTATTAACAGGGATGGGTTCTCATATATAGTCTACTTGACTATAAAAGTGTCTTTTAATGTGAAATAGACTGCATCTGAAGCCATATCTGGTTACACAGGTCCACAAAAAAAAATCGATGAAAGGTTCCTTTGACCAAACATGGTGTATTATATGTATTTTAGGCCGCTGAAACCGAATCTGAAGTCCGTTTGGCTCCATCACGTCAGGATTTTTTCCTAACCTCAAAATACATGTCGGATTTTGCATGACAAAAAAATTTTAAAATATTAACAGATTTAGCTTAATTTTAAGATACAGGGGTTTAGAGGGGTCCCTGATTACGAAATTAAAGGCAAATTTTCAAAATACAAAATGGCGGATCCAATATGGTGGTCAAAATTTTCAAAAAATTCTTCAATTTTCAAGAAATTCTTCAATTTTTATAAAATTTTGTATCGAGGGATTTTTGAGGTCACTGATTACGGAATTAAAGGTAAATTTTCAAAATAAAAAATGGCGGTCAGAAAAAAATTCTTGAATTTTCATAAAATTTTATACCGAGGGGTTTTTGGGGTCGCTGATCACTTATTTAAAGTCAGATTTTCAAAATACAAAATAGCAAATCCAATATGGCTGTCGGATTTTTACAAAACTTAGTATCTGTGAGTTTTTGAGCTCGCCAACTATGATTTTGAAATCAGATCACCCACCGATGTAGAGCTGCGGTTGCTTGATGACGACGCCTGCGGGCCCGCTTTCTTACCCTGTCCAGCCACCGATACTGGGGTTCCGACTCCCTGCATCGTACTTTTTTTTCGTGTGCCTACCATGACGGCGTAAAGGTGATTCTAAAATGGGATTAGTGTCACGCACACGTACAACTAAACCTATTGCAGACTCACCTTAAGGATCGTGATCCAGGAACTCTGCCGGATCACGGTACAACTCCGTTGCCCGTTGTCACCACGTGGAGGTGCCCTGGAAGCAGGCACACGATATAATTTGTGGGCAGCGGCCCTAAAAACTTCTAGATACCAAGTTTTGTGAACATTAAAGAAATTGTTATACATCCGACAGCCATATTGAATTTTCTATTTTGTATTTTGATAATCTGACTTTAAATAAGTGATCAGCGACCCCAAAAACCCCTCGGTACCAAGTTTTATGAACATTTAAGAATTTTTTTTTGACCGCCATTTTGTATTTTAAAAATTTGCCTTTAATTTCGTAATCAGGGACCCCACAAAATTCCTCTATCCCAAAATTAAGCTAAATCCGTTAATATTTTAAAATTTTTTTCTATCACGAAAAATTCGACATGTATTTTGAGGTTAGGAAAAAATCCTGACGTGATGGAGCCAAACGGACTTCAGATTCGGTTTCAGCGGCCTAAAATACATATAATACACCATGTTTGGTCAAAGGAACCTTTCATCGATTTTTTTTTGTGGACCTGTGTTATTAATGAGATACAAAATCGTACTTACTCAATTGATCTGTGGAACCGCTACTACAATTGATTTTATTTCCATCTATTGGTGTTAACAGCATTTGCTGATTTACATTTGCTTGCGCATTTGTGGTACAATCTTCACTTGAAGGTTCAGTTACTTTGGAAACCATAAACCTTGAAATTTTTCTAACGGGTTGATTTGATGACGTCTGGTAAAATATGATAAATACACTGTGCATATGATTGAGAAATACAAAACTTTAAAAAACGTTTCTCTCTTAGAAGCCAAATATATTTTCAAATTTATTAAAACAGAAAAAATAATATTTTAGTATTTAAAAGAGATGAAATTTAAAATAAAAATATTTCATCTAAGAGCTGAATATCCTGAGTATTCGGTCCTTTAGATACATTTAGCTTCTGATCTGTTAAGGGGAGGCTTGACTCGCTTGAAAACAGTGCAAAAGAGTGAAATTTTGGTACATTTTAATTTTTATTTTATCTTTAAAAAAATTAAATTTAAAGCCTATTTTGCTTATTCGAAAAGTTTGTAAATAGTCTTATTCTATATTTTATTTAGTCTTGTAAATAAAAAAAATAATTTTTTTCGATTCAGGCCTTCTCTTAAAGAATAGGTTTATAAAAGTGTACTTACAGGTTGTGATGTTTGATCTGCTTCTATTGTAATATTTGTTTGCATTTGTCCAGAATTAAATTCTCCAATAGAAAAAAGTGAACCTGTCTGCGGAGAAAGCGGACCCTGTAATGAATTAAATGTTTTCAACGCCAACGCCATGTCAGGAAGATATCAGGAAGATATCTTTTATAAAAAAGAAAAAACTCTTAGTTACTAGGTTGAAAAAGAATAATGTCCAATTAAGCAGTACATTATTTTGAACCTATTCTTAAAACCTGCGAAAGAATTTGGATGGTCAAGAAAATGGGCCAGTTGCAGACACCCTGAACTTGAACACTCAACAGTTAAATCTACTTTTTACTTACCATGTTATAACTGTGTGGAGTGTCCGGTTGACTTAAAGGTGGTGTACTCATAATTAATGACTCTGATGGTTGACTAGTTAACTGAAGTAATTTATGTTGTAAATCAGCTATCGTTTGCGGACCTCCCGAATTCAAATCCAATATTTTGTCCAAAGAATTTTGCTGACTGAGTTTTCTGTGTTGCTGATGAATTGGTTGTTGATGACCTAATGTAACACAATCAGTAGATCCCATCAGTGTATGTTCTGGAGTGTTATCAATACTTGATGTTTCGTTTTCTGAAGACAGCATTTGATATTCAGAACTCGTACGCCTAATAATTAAGGAATATATTAAAAGTTGATACTAAATTAAGTAAGACTTTTAAACTTTTAAACTTGCAATCAGATTTTGGTGATTAAATGATTTTGAAATAAGTAAATATTGGATATGAATAAAAAAGAAAAATTACCTGCTTAAAATGTTGCAATCTAGACCGCCTTCAACTTCATTTAACTTTGAGAAATTCGCATCCTCCTGGAATTTTTGTTGCGATTGGTGCTGATCGTCAATGCTTTCTGCCTGTATTTGAGTCTGAACTGAAGAAGGAACTTGCTGTATAAAAGAATGGTTTTGCTTCAAATGGGCTGGATCGATTGACTGAGATTGAATCGAATTTTGAGATATCGTTGACCCATAGGAAGAGCCTGACCAATGATTTTGTGCAGAGATATCAGTTCCAAGAGACTGGCCTTGTAAAACATTTGGATTGGCCGCATCAACTGATTGCTGAGATGGTAAGGAATGTTGAACGGGAATTTGATTATTTGCTTGAGAAATCTGCACATTTTGCGGAAAGCTTGCTGAACCTGCTGAACCTGCTGAACCTTGTACACACTTTTGACCTGGAAAGCTTTGTAAATTGACGTCTGGATGAATGGGTTGAAAGTACTGCTCTGACTGAATTGGTGGTTTATAATCAGCAAGAACAATGGTTGCAGTAGAATTCAAGTTCTGCTCGTGACTGCTGCCAGCATGAGGCGTGACACACTTGGACTTGGGGTTCGAGAGAATATTGGCCAAGTTTTGAGCCAAGTCAGGAAATGTGGACGAGACTTCCTTCGCCTTGGCTTTACAATTCGGCTCAGAAGGTACTGCGGACTGAGCAGGATACGCAATAGGCTGAGCAATAGGCTGAGCACTCTGATGAATTACAGTTGATTGTGCAAGTTCTCCGATATTCATGTGGGGAGATAGTGAATTATTGGAAATATCTTGGTGCAAAAATTGACTCTGCTGAACTGGCATAACTGGGGTATTGGGCAAAACTGAAGTGACTTTTCTATCGTCGGATGTAAACGACATTTCGGATAATTGGGAATCACTGGACAAGTTTGATGTATTAGAATGATTGGAAATTCTTCTATTTTTTTCTTCATTGACAAGTTGAAGTTGTAATTGTTGAAGGACTAGCAAATTATTATTCACTTGAGGCGCTTGATGAATATCTTGTTGCTGAAGCGGTAGCGGGTACTGCTGCATTACACTTTGATTACTAATTGTCTGAGGAACAAACATACTATTGTCTGCTGCTTGAAACATTGGATTCATAGTTTCAATAGTATGACTCGGCGCGACTGGCACTTCCAATTGTGTTTCTATAGACCCTTGTTCAAAAAGTTGCTCGGCATTGTTGATGATTTGCGATTGATTCCCTACTGGACGAGCAATAAATGTCTCCACTTGTGCTTCCACATCATTAAAAGAGGCTTCCGTCGTGTGATAAAATTGCGGATCAATTACTTGATTGTGTTGAGTATTATTTAATTGTCCAACCACAGGAATTTGAACTTCATTGTTATCGGTCTCTTTTAATCTTACCTCAGGAGCTGTGTTTGCAGGATCTGTAATTTCTACTGAGGTTGAAACACCCAATACTTCCACGCTTTCTCTTCGGTTATTTATTCTCTCTTGATCTGCATTAGTATTTTGTTCAAACACTGGACTAACTAAGAAGCGAGAAATTTTTCTATTCGGCACGATATTTGCTTTATTTTCATCAGATTCTGCAACCTTAATTTCTCTACTTGGCGTTTCATCAGAAAAAACTAAAGTTTGTTCGTTTTCACCGTTTAACTCATTGCATTGTACTGGCGTATTATCAGTGACATCATTTAGGGGAGGATACATATCAATTGACGTTGCTTCCACAGGAAGGGAAGGTCCTGCACTTGTTGGAATTGAAGTTGCAATAGAATCTCTGGTAGGACACTGCAAATTTTCATCACTTACAGTCAAGTTACTTGACATATTAGACGGCAATAAAATATCATTATTTTGAGTAGATGCTGATGAGCGCCTTCGACCGTCGAATAGACCCGATTGACTTTTAGAATTACGAATATTCTGCTGCTTATTTGAAGCAGCACTTGTGATTTGAGATAAAATTTGGTCGATGGCAAACAATTTTATTGGCGTTGATGAGTTGGAGGTTTCATCTCTCTGAAATAAAATGAACATTTCATTAAGTATTATAACTTCAATTGTTCAATTCATAATTACTGTTTATGCTTTTTCATTTCTTACAAAAAGTATCACATTTTAGATGAAATTTTCCTTTGCATATATATTTTACGGCTAATGTTGACAGTGCCCGGGCAATGTTTTATTATTCGGTGACATTTGACAGACTTGTTTGTAATATTTTTATAGTTAGCTATTTATACAATATATGTAATATAAAAAAAACTTACCGAACGATGTCTGCGATGAACTTTATACGAAGAACGGTAGTTGCTTTGACGAGTTAACGAGCCATGTCTCACCTATTATACGAAAATCGAAAAATGAAAATTCTAATCGAAGAATATCAATTGAGGAGCAGGATTGAAGAACTAATACCAGTCAGGCAGCAGTGAACGTAAGCTCTTCATTCTAATGTTCTTCGGTCCAGCTCCTCAATTACAAAAATCTGTACAAATATTCATCCAACTTATTTGCAGTAAGTATATGTAAGCGTCAGTGGGAATAACAGTTACCTTTGTAGAATCGACATTTTGATCACGATCTCTAGGCCTGCGGCTCGTAACAGGACTGCCGCCTGCAGACTGGTCCGGTGGTCCATGTGCCACCAAAGGTAAACTGTGTGAAGGGTCCAAACGCAACTGCTTCACAATGTCTTCGATTAATTCTATGAACGTCTCGCACTGAGATTGCGGCAGAAGATTTTCAGCAATCTGTTACCAAAGCAAAAATATAAAGTAACATTATTAAATTCCAGAGTAAGTATTTGTTAAATTTCTAGAAATTTTCTATAAAAAACGCATTTTATAAGAAGCATTCTACTCACCAAGTTATTGGAGATATCCGTAGGTACCATGTCATCACGATCAAATTTAAAAGTTACAGTTTTCTGTTTACTTGTATCAAGCTGACATTCTACAGTGACTGCTTGACCTTCGACCTGACTGACCGACAGTACAGTCAACTTGATCCCAGGCTTTTTCCGCTTCGTTGCAGACCTTTTTATTTTACATTTTTCTAATAAGACAACATTTTCTGAATTTTCACTATTCACTCTGTAACATATAAATAGTTAAACTGTAAAGCAATAGTTTACTTAAAAAACAGTTTTAATTTTTATTTTATGATAATAATTCCAAGAATTAAAACTGAAATATTAAATTGTGCTCTTTTCGAACTGCTTGAAGGAAATGAAAGTTTCGAAACTATTTTATAAACCTGGAAAACATTACTCCAATATTTGAAGCTTATTTGCTATTTAATAAAACAGAAAAACGTGTCATGCAGGAACATACCCTTCAGTAGTTGGAACAAATTGCTGTCCTTCCAATGATACAGTAGTATCGTGATGCGCAATGACGGACGGATCCACATGCTGTGAGTCTGTTGCTTCTACTTTGAGCAAATTAGAAGCCTCTGGAAAAGTTTCTGGTGCCTGAAGGTGTTGGGAATTTAATTGCTGCTCAACAATCATTGTTTGTGTCGAAGGGGGTATATTTATTGGCGTTGGAACTGCATTGGTATTAAGAGGAAGTTGTATCTGCGTCAGAGGAGCTTGGTGTGGCTGATGACTGTTGGCTGGTAGGCTGTTCATTGAACTCTGGACGTTGCTCATTGCGGAAGATTGTTGAGCATTCATATCAGCAATAGAGACAGAAAATTGTGCACTAGATGGAGTGGATGTTACTTGCATTTGCATCGGCTGGTGACTAATTGCGTACGTCGTGGCTGGAACGTCAATGTTATTACCAGAAGAAGTGGAGTGAGAAAATACTTGTTGATTGGTTTGCATGGGCATAATGTCTATGTGAGCGGTAGACGTCGGAGTAGAGGAGAATCCGTGATAAATATGTTGCGATGTATTTTGCTGAAACGGTGGATTCGAGTAGGCGGTTGTTGTGCTGGGAGCCGTTTGATAGTAGGCTTGTCCTTGCATAGCTGATGAGGGTGCGCCGTGATTGGGAATAAGCGGCTGCATGTGTTGCAACTGTGCCTGTGAATACTGCGCAGCTTGTTGATTCTGTTGCAACTGTTGATTCTGTTGCAACTGTTGATTTTGTTGCAACTGTTGATTCTGTTGCAATTGTTGATTCTGTTGCAACTGTTGATTCTGTTGCAACTGTTGATTCTGTTGCATTTGTTGCAATTGTTGATTCTGTTGCAATTGTTGATTCTGTTGCATTTGTTGATTCTGTTGCAACTGTTGATTCTGTTGCATTTGTTGATTCTGTTGCAATTGTTGATTCTGTTGCATTTGTTGATGGATATTTTGTTGATTCTGTTGCGGAACGCCTGGAAGCTGCTGTTGAATCTGAGGTAAAGGGTGTGTGACATTCATTTGAATGTAGTTTTGTGCCTGTTGCAAGTGCTGTGGCATTTGTCCAAACTGGGGCTGAGGTTGGATATTCTGAGGAGTGGAGCATTGAGACGAAGTTTGCCCAATAGTTTCAAATAATTGTTGTTGCTGTTGTTGTTGTAATTGATATTGAACTTGTTGCGAGTTGTTGGAAATCTGTTGCAATTGTTGAGCTTGCTGAGGCTGCACAACTGACGTCTGATGTTGAAGTAAAGGTTGTTGATGCACCATTTGAACCTGTTGCGGTTGAAGATTAAGCTGCTGACCGGATTGAACGCCTTGCTGAACCTGATTTTGTTGTCCTTGCACTTGCATTTGTGGCTGCAAACCAACTTGACTTTGAACCTGAATATTTAAAGTGGATTGAACTTGTTGCTGCTGTTGTTGTTGTTGCTGTTGTTGTTGCATTTGCATTTGTTGTAGTAATAAATTATTTTGAAGCATGGTATCTGTCGCTGATTCCGTTTCACGATCCAAACGCTCTTTCTCTTCTTTCACTCGACGTTCTTCTCTCTCACGTAATAGGCCAGCTATCTGAGACTTTAACATTTTTGTTACTACTTTAGCGTCTTCTTCAAGAATCAAACTCGACTTTGCCATTTCGGATGCAACTTCCTCTGCATTATCTTGTTGAATGTCAAAATCGAATTGTATCGCTTCGTTCTCTTTATGCTTGTTACTTCGTTTCTTTGGATCTAATACTCTGAGTCTGAATTCCACTCTTGCGAGTTCTGCTTCTGCAACAGCTGAATCTCTCGAGACCATTTCTAATTTCAAACCAACATCATCGGCAAAGAATTCGTGATTAAGAAGATCTTTGACTAATGGTCTTTCTTCCTTTTTCAACCGAATACACATCTCTATAATTTCTCGTACTTCAGGGTTTTCTACTTTGTCGTAACTCAGTGGTTTCACTCCCTATAAATTAAAACGACACAAGAAAATGTGAAATGTTGAATCAATTTAAAATATTTTAAATACTTTTAGTTTAGCCTTTTTAGTTTCAACTTATGCTGCATAGTAGAAAAGTATTCCTTGTATTTTAAGGCATTTATAATATAGATTGTCTATTATGCATCTAAGGAGGGAAATGGTTCATTTCCAATGAGTGTAATTTGCAGTTTGAGGTGAAGTGCTTGCGAGCGAAGCTGAGAACTATAAAACACGAGATGGAAATCATTTTCCTCCCGAGTTGCACATACTATTTTTTCTAACACACGTATACCGAAAGTAAAAACGCGGTAGTGTGGTTATTACTATTGACGGTATGGTTGTGACAGACGTTTGAAATAATAATAATAATAATAATAATAATAACAACATCACCGGGAGGGAAAGACATACTTTTCTCCCGATTCACAAGTAAGAAATGGTGTACTTTCAGTGCGGGTGTTGGAAGGAATTATTTATTCTTATTCCTGAGTTAAAGGAAAATTGTTTGGTCTAGAAATAAAAAAGAAATTAGTTACATTACCGAGACAACGCGCTTGTAAATTTGAGCAGGACCAGTGCACTCTGCATATGGGTACTCGCTGGTAGCCATTTCCAACATGCACATTCCAAAAGCGTAAACGTCTACAGATTCGTCATAATGTTCCTCATACATTTCCGGTGCCATGAATTCTGGAGTGCCAATGACACTTTTTGCGAAACTGCGGTTCTTTAGTGTCGCCAAACCCAAATCACCAATTTTTACACTGCCAGTTGTGCCGGTAATAAAAATATTATCGCATTTCAAATCACGATGAATGATGGGAGGAGATCTCGAATGTAGAAACATTAATCCTTTGAGAATTTGTCGACACCAAGATTTAACTACTTTCGGATTAATTTTTTTAAAACGCCTTAAATATCTGTAACAAATAATAGAAAAAATTCTTGAAAAAGACGTATTTGAACTGGGGACATGGATTTTGAACTTGGCGTGTAACCTCTTTAATATATAGGAAATAGGAATTAATGTTATTGAGTTGCATGAGATTATTATCATACACCTTCAAAATTCAAATGATGAAATTAAAATTACTCACGTTTTCAAAGTTCCTGACGTCATGAGTTCTGTAACTAAAACTATATATTTTCTACGAGTCAATGTAACTTCCCAATAATCGTAGAATCGTACAATATTCGGGTGTTGCAATCCTTTTAACATTTCAGCCTCTTCTCTAAATCTTAATCTTTCCACTTTATTTAACTTTTTTTCCTGTGAATAATGTAATATATTCAATTTAAAGTTTCCAAAATATAATGCAATGATGAAATTAATGTTATTTAAAACAATAGAAATTATGAAAAATTTAAGGGAAATAAATTGTTTTTACCATTGATAGAAAAGAAAACATTTCGTTTTTAAGAAAACAAATGCATTTGATATCAAAGTACCCATACAAAAACTCTGTATTTTTAAATATACTGAATAATTTAATAGGTTTAATTAGTTTATTGTCTTTTATAAAAATAGTTGAAAGAACTAATACATAATAATAAGAATGCAATTGATAGAATAAAATTTGGTGTTTCAACCTGCGTACCATTTTTTAGGTCAAAGATCACTTATTAAAAATATCAGTCATAAATTTTGCATTTTTGAGGAAAGAATTATTTTCTTTGGTTGAAACGAGGTTAAAACACTCGTCATTACTGTTTTAATAGTATATATTATAGAACTTTGATAATAATTTGATTGAATAAAAATATTCCTGGAGAACAAAACTCGAGATAATTTAAGAATTTTAAAGCTTCGTTTTAAGTATTGAAGTGAAATATGTTGGTATATTCATTTTTTTGCTTTAACCTTCTGCTGATGCGTGATGTTAACCTATCCCAACTCTATCGCCATAGAACGCAACGTCCAAAATGACGATTTTTGACGACAAGGGTTGTTAACAATAGCAGAGGGTTAATGTAACAATTATTTTGCGCAGAATAAATACTATTTGGGGCCACAAATATCTCAGTTATCTATACTAAGTATTTTGCTTATAACAGTTTTGAAAAAATTTACCTGCAACTCACACCAAGCTACTGCAACTCCAGTTTGAGTATCGAGTCCTCTGAAAACGGTTTTAAAGCTGCCACGTCCAATTTCTTCTTCAAACTTTAAAAATCTTCCATCAGGAGATATTGCTATTGCCTTTTCTTCGTCGTCATCATTATTAGTAACAGTTTGTACTTTGACTTTCATTAACAGATTCCTAACTTCATCCATACCCATTGTTTTCTGTTCAAGTTTCTCATCTACTTTAAAATTCTCATCGAGAAGAGGACCTATGAAGCCTTCCACTGATTCATCGTGGATGACCACATCCTTCTGAGACTCGTCGTCTGGATTCGACTTTTCATCCATTGCTTCAATGTGAATTTGTGAATTTAAGTGAAGTACTTTGCCCATTTTAGTTAGAGATTCATGAAGAGCTTGGGTCGCTACAATGTCACTGATACTCGTTCCATTGTCGTCTACTTGGTATATGGTTAATTCTTCCTTCTGACTCTCCAACTCCTTGCCTTCTAGTTCAGCATCGTCTCCAATGATGCTGGAAGTTACGAACCGTGTACTTTTTATTCTTCTTCTATCAGATTTCTCATTATTTGTGCCTTCTTCCTGCGACTGCGGTATGGTTTCCAGAACGTATTCGTCGGGAGAAATTATACAACTGTTTCCGTACGATTCTATAGATTCAGCCTGTATTTCCTGCGTTGTCGAATTAACCGAAGTTTTTCTAGGAGAAACTAGTTTGCTTATGTACACATCCTTGGGATTTACATTTTTATCGGACAAACCCTTCTGGGTTTCACCTCCCTCTGAGCCCTTAAAATCTAATCTATTTGTGTTCTCACTATTATCAAAATCTGAAAGAGAATATACAGATGTTTTACGTTTGTTCCGCAAAGTCATCTTATCCTCTGTATCACCCAATCGATCATTCAAATTTGTTGAAGTGTTATTTTGTTTATCAGTGTCTGGTATTATTCCAACATTTTCAACTCCCGGCAGATGTCGCTGACTCTTGTTCTTGATTTCAGCCTTTCTTTCACTCTTATCCGACAGCATAGTTTTCTTTGGAATCTTTATTTCACTTCTTACCACTTTTCAAGGGTTCTGCCTTTTAAAAGACAATAAAATTCAAAGATCTGAAAGTAAATATTTTATTATTTTCATTACATTGTATTCAGAAATCAGAACCATGTCAATTTTAAGAAAATAGAGAGAAACATACAAAAAAAGTTCATCAACAAGACTTTTTAAAGATTTTCACGAGAAGTGAGTATTCATAATTATTAATTATTCAGTGTCAAGTGTGGTTAACGACCCGGTTTTCAATCCCTGATGCTTCTCTTTATTATTCCACTTTGGATATGTTAATATAAATATTGAATTACTTTTCTTTGTAATTTATAACACTAAAAAATATGTTCAGAAATATTTGTTATTCTCTCATTTCCCACTCATAGTCACGAAATTGTTCATTTTACAAACTGAAAAATAATAGAAAACTATGCTCTTAAGCCTTCATACGACTGGATTCAGTTAGTAACGTGAATTTGTATTTATTTTATAATATTTAAAATAACTTTTTAAATCAATCAGTCAATTTACAACATCAAAACTGACGATTTTCCAAGTGGAAATTTAAAAAATCGCCATAGGTTTTACGTTGTAAACTTTAATTAAAAATTACAAGTTGCGGACATCGCAATTTGAATTAAACAACTTTAAATTTAAAAACGATAATCTTGATAATCTTGTTATCACTGTTCGTTATAATGAAATTCAATATATTTTAGCAAATTTTTTATTAGACATGAAAAATAATGAAATGATGTAATGTATACATTACCTGATGGTTGAAAAGAAATTTCCACACTTGCAATTGCATCTTCAGCGTCATTAAACTTTCAAGTCTTATATTATGAATGAAAGATTGAAGAGAATAGGAGCCTTGGTACCTAGTTCTCTTAAGTAATAAAAACTACATGCCTCTAAGAAGATACAAAATATGGACTATTTTCTTAAAATGCAGTAGCGATAAAAATCTCAATCCAATATCAAAGGAGTGTTTATTCAACTTCCAGACTTTGGGTAAAATGTTATTAGCATTGAATTATTTCTGAAAAGAAAAGGAGAAAAATATTAATTTCTAGTAATTTTACAAGTTTTATGTAAATTCAAATAACTTTTTAAATATGACCACTGAACGATAATGAAACGATTCTTATTCAATAATAGGAGACTGAGACGTAGTGGATCAATTTTCACTGTTTGTCATTTATAACTACGTCATTTTCACATTACATAAAAGTTAACCACGCAGAATGTATCACTCGTACTTTTTATTATATTACAGCTTTTATAAACTCTTAATTTCCTTAATTTTCTCGAGAAAAGATGAGTCTCAACTTTCAATAAGGCCGTTTTTTGAACTGCACGATAAAATCGGCTTATACTATGAAATATTTTATCTCTTTGGCATTCTCGACAATAATCCGAAATCGTTTTTCAATTTGTCAAGAACTAAGGAAAATAACTCAATTTAAAGAGGCAGATTACGAATCTAAAGTCAGATTTTCAAAATTTGAAATGGCGGATCCAACATGGCGGATGATTGTAAACATTATTTTTTATACCTTTCAAACTCAACATCTAGTGGCTTTTGGAGTCACTGATCATGAATTTCAAGTCGGTTCTTAAAATCAATTTTTTTTAATTCGTCCGCCATGTTGGATCTGCTATTTAGAATTTTTAAGAAGTGACCCCAAAAACCTCCAGATATTAAGTTTGAAAGGAACCGAAAAAAGTAAACTTCTATGACACATTTGTTGTTCATTCTCTTTCTAAATGTGTAAAATTAAAAAAAAACATTTTATTTTTATTTTTGTGTATAATTCCACAAAAATGTTCATAAGTAAAACAAAAGAAACTGGTGCACTAGAGCAACCAAATCTAGTGTTGCGCTTGTACTACTAGTCTTAGTGCAACCCAGATCCCGCCTTGGGAACTATGTTACCGTCCCTGTTAAAAAAATATTAATTCTTTTAATATTATTATAATTATTCGATTATTATCAAGTGTCTGCAACTTTTTTAATTTTCATTAAATAAATGTCATTAAGAAAATTTTTATACTTTGTCTTGCTCTAAAATAATGTGAAGTAGTTAAGTAAAAAGTAATTAGTTACAGTAATGAATTTTTAAGTTAAACTAGCCCTATTTGTGTAATTGATTTTACTATTTTTATATAATTAAAAAAGAGTAGTTCAGTTAATTTAAATATAAGCAGTTCGCTCAGGTGTATGTGTGTGCTTCGAGGGTTAATATTAAAAGGTAATCCGTCAGTTTTACCTTTTGTAACGAAAAAAAGCTTACGTTTTTGGTAAAAATAGATATTCTATTTACATTTACCCCAAATGATCGTAAATAAATGTATTAAAATTTTTAATATTTTATGATTTCTTAAAAAAGGTTCCAAGTTCAAAACCTGATAATAATTTTTTGCAAACATTTTCTAAAACGATATAAAAAATAGAAAATATAAAAAGCTTCTTTTAAGTATCAAAATTAGTTTTCTTTAATTCTGCAAATAAAAAAATGAAAAATCGTTTAATTCATTCAGTATAATTATCATAAAAAAGTCATTAATAGAATTCCTGATTTAAGTTATGATTACACCAAATTTTTATAATTTTTTTAAATAAATATTTAAACACTTGCTATTCATTTTTCTGTAGGAATTAAATTTTTTAAATTTTCATTTTCAAACCTTTTGAAATTTAATTATTATTTGACGAAAATTCTTCGAGAATTCAATTATTTATATTATATATGTTAGGCTCAAAGACCGAAAACGCTCATTGAGCGAAAATATAGTCCACAACGCGTTGTGGCTCCTTCAAATTGTCCACAACGCGAAATTCGTGTTGTGGCATGGCAAAAAGTGCACAAAACGCGTTGTGGTAATTTGAAAAGAGCCACAACGCGAAATTCGCTTTGTGGCTGCTACAATACTCGGCCACAACGCATTGCGGTAATTAAGAAATGCCACAATGCGTTCTGGATTTTTTTATATTTGCCATTACGCGTTTTGGTAATTTAGAAATGATAAGAAATAAATAACTGTAGTATTTTTTTTAGCAAATAACATATAATTTTATTTACAAATAATTTAAACTATAAATAACCGAAATTAACTTTAAACATAAACATTTGTACTTTATTATTTTGTACTTTGATCTATATTTTTTCATTGTTTTATTTTTACTTACTTAATTTATATAAAAATAATAAATATCGTACCGTGCTATTCTTTATCAATTCACTTAATTTCTCAAAAAATATTGCCTCTTTATTACCCATTATGAGTTATTAATATTATTGTTAAAATCCTGCACAGCTTTTTAAATTATATAAATGTCACAATATAAATATTACACAAAGACTACAAAAATTTTAAGTTAAATCTACTTTAGCAATCACCGATGTGGAAATTTTACTACTGTAACTATTCATTGAATAAAGAAAATTTCAAAGGCATTATAATCGTAGAGGCTAATGACATACTTATAATAGAAAATTAATTAATTAAGTATCAAATAATAAGACAGGTAATTAGTATACACCTTCTTTGCAAGCAACAAAATGTGTTATGATTTTTCTAAATTACCAAAACGTGTAATGGCAAATATAAAAGAATCCAGAACGCATTGTGGCATTTCTTAATTACCGCAATGCGTTGTGGCCGAATATTGTAGCAGCCACAAAGCGAATTTCGCGTTGTGGCCCTTTTTAAATTACCACAACGCGTTTTGAGCACTTTTTGCCATGCCACAACACGAATTTCGCGTTGTGGACAATTTGAAGTAGCCACAACGCTTTTTGGACTATATTTTCGCTCAATGAGCGTTTTCGGTCTTTGAGCCTAACATATATATGGAAATTCAATTAATTATTTATAATAATTGTAACTATATATAACTATTTTCAATTATTTTTCAGTTATTATCGCGAATTATTGACAGTATATAATCAAAAATATTGAAAATAATTAAAATTAATTTTTAAAAAATATTTTTTAAAAGAATTTTTGGGAAATGTAAAAAAATAATCAGGTTTTTAAAAAGCATTTTAAAAAGAACTGATTTTTGTAAAAAAAATATTGTAATGTAATTTTTTGAAGTTAATTTTCATTAATTTTTATTTGAAAGTTTTCATTAAAATTTTTGATAATTCAATTATTTAAAAAATTTGCAAATATAATTCCTCAAAAGAAGACTATTCTTCTTCTATTTTACTCGAAGTGATTGTTCATCTCACAATCAGTGTTAATAAAAGTTTAATGAAATACATAAAAAAACTCAATCATTGTAAATAAAATGTTAGAAAATTTGAATAACTATCCGGGGCCAGGTCATTAAGGACAACTATTTTAACATTTTTTTCACGTAACATTGTAGCTAGTTATTGCAAAAAGGCTGGTCCATTCTAATTAAAGTTGTTTAAAAGAAATAAATTTTTTATGGGCTTTTTATCATATAATGCATGTCAATCAAATTTATTTCTGACTCATTTTAATCAGTTTAAACATTCTATCTTTAAATATATAGTTGTCTTCCTTTTTATTCTTTTAAATTCTGATTAAGAGGACTTGACATTCATAGTGTAAGAACTAAAACTAAATATAAAACTCCCGCCTTTACGAAGAGAATTTTGATAATTAAGGTTATGTTTCTATGACAGTCAACTTTAAAATTACACCACTCTTTTAAAAATTGTTTTCACTCTTTTTAACAGGCGAAATGTTAAATTTGTCGTTTATTACAACAATTTTTTTATATTATATATTGAACTTGAGAGCAGAAATTAATAATTTATTTTCCTTTAACCGTTGACTGACTATATTGTAAGGGTCCATTATTTCAATTGTCTTTGCCAATTACAAAGATGACAGTACTTTTTCAAAGAAATGTTTAAAAAAAACTTGCCAATAAAATTAACTTGATAAACGCGAAATAAAGACACAATATTTTTTGACTATATATATATATATATACCTATGTGTACGACCTCTGATAGACGAAGTGACATTCGCATGATTAATGTGAACTTAAAAAATATTAAGGCAAAAGCAATACTTGAAAGGACTTTGATGGTTGAAAATAAGTAACATAACTCTCTAAATGAAATGTACTCACATTAATACCACAAAAAATGCACAATAATACGATGACATCCAATGAAACATCTTCAAGTACTACTATTCATTGTAAATATATACTATTTTCTTAGACAGTCTGCAAATCACTGAATGTGGCTATATATGAATAGGACCTTTCAGAAATAAAATTAAATAATAAGAAATACGTAATATAATAACAAGGGCATAAATATTTTCTTTTCTAAACAACTTTACATATAATTTAGATGACTAGATGTAACTTCATTAGCACTGAATGAAAATACAGAATGAAATGTGAACCACGGGTCCACAATGATAAAAACGATACATGCACTATAGAGTATTTCTCAGAAGACTAACATGGCCGACTCTAGTCTAGGGGGAAAACACTCTTTAAAATGTCGTTTGTCGCTCTAATTTATGCATAGTCTGCAGGAGAAAAACGAAATTTAGATTGATGATGTGCTGTCACTTATAAATAATACAACATCTTTAAGCAAACAACAATTAACGATGTACTTTGAGGTTATGTGTTTGTTATTATTTTCCACCTAAAGGTCAGTTCAAAATGCGAGAATATTTGTGACGTCATTCAATATGGAACGTGTTAAGGCCTAAGCACAGCTGAGTTGGGTTCGGGAAACGGTTACGGGATATGTAAAATTTACATCATTTACATACATTTTGAGGTTAGGAAGCCCATATTCCGAAGTCGTCTCCCGCACCCGACTCAGTTGTGCTTAGGGCTTTACCATTTAGGATGGACTGAATGCATTTTTACGATTGAATCGCTAAATTTGGTTTGGCTAATATTCCATTTTTATTGATTTAAAGTAAACTTATATTCAGAACATGGAATTACTTTGAGTTAGACGAAACAAGTTCAATTGCAAGCTATTGTAGGAACACCTTTACAGCTAGGTGAACGGGATCAACGGGATAAATGCACTTTATGGCACGTACACAATTCGGCTTTATTAGGTTGCGTCCACAATAGGGAAAATCAAATCGTCTTCAAGACGATTTTCAAGTGGAATTGTGAACTCAACCTGTAGACACATTTTACTCCTTTAGTTCCATCTATATCTATATATACTATGTATAATTACAAGTATTTGTCTTTTAACGTTAAATAATAAACAGTACCACATTTTATTTTTAAGACTAATGAAATAATTATTTATGTTAGAATTTAATAATGCCAGTAGATGAAATCCAATATTCAGAAAAGTATAACGATGATAGGTACGAATACAGGTTAGTATATGTAAATAATATATAAACTTTTGTGTCTTGTGTAATAACAGTTGTACAAATTTTTCTAATAAACTCATTTTTATAAATAAATACTAAATGAGTTATTTCTATATGTTTAATTATAAATTCTCCTACAGTATTTTTAAATATCTTTATTAAGTACTCTTTTTCTGTATTATGTTTTTTTTCAAAATAACGTATTAAATTTAATTGTTTTTTAAATAAAAAATGTTACACTTTTAGGAATCATTGCAATTACTAAATATGAAAAATATCTAACATCAGTTTGCAATTTTTTATTGACAAATTTTCGTTTTTCTAGAATGGTCAGAAGAGAATGTTGTATATCTTTTTGGCGGCTACTTTAAAATGAATGAAAACAATATGGAGAAAGGGATTTTTTTACGTATTTGTTATTGACTGAAGTGCACTAAAATTTGACTCTTCTTGTATTGCTTTAAATTGACTTAGACTTTTTCATAATTAACTATATTAATCTTTACGTTCTTTCATTTTTCAAATTTCGGACTGAATTATATTATTATTTTTTACACAATGCAAAATAATAAAATAAAATTTAAATAAATCTTGTCCTATTTAAACAAATTTTTTCACTAAATTTATTGAAAACAAGAAATAACAAGAATTTATAATTAATATACTTTTATAATGTTTTCATCATGAACAAAACAGATATTAATTAATTAATAATTCATTTCTTTCTAAAATATCGAAATCAATTGATAAACCTGTTTTTTTGCAACTAAATTATTAAGTATATTTTACTTAATTAAATACCGTAAATTTTTTCAAAATACAATTTATAAATTTTGACTTTGATGCATGCATGCAAGTTTTTATAAGATTTGCAACATAACTTTTGCGAGAGGATTTTGATTAATTTACGACTTTTTTTTGTTTAAAATTTTTACAAAATTAAATTTTAAAATATAAAATATACTAATTATGATAAGCATCTTTCTTATTTTTTAAATATATTTAAAAAAAACTTATAAATGACGAAAAGTTGTAGATTCTGTATTTACTTTAATTTTATTTTAATATTTTTATTATGTAAAAAATGACATACCTAAGACAAAATTAATACTTGGATACCATTTAACATAAATATTTTTGCTGACAACATTGGATTTAAGCATATTCGTTTTGGATAAAAAGTTTTTCATTTTGTACGAATTGAAATAGGTGTATACTTTTGTCACATTTCTAAAATTCTATAAATTAAGAAAAATATTACCAAATTAGTATCAAACATTGATGATTCAAATTACTACACGGAAAATCTTTGTTCAAGAATTATTCCAAAATTTATTCAAGAATTGAGGATACAAGAAAAATTTGCCATTTTTAGGTAAAGTTGAATATTTAATAAAGAATTTTCAGGTGTTTTTGTAATGACTTCGAAATAATTGTTTTTGACGCTGCGATGCGACTGAATATCTCAGTCACTGCGGTCACTGCGCTGTTTGCATTAAATATGCTGATTTTTAACTATAATAGAGTAACGCGTCCTGTAGCCCAGCGACATAAGACTTTCGCCTTGCATCGATGTCTCAAGTAGATTTCGAGTACTCACGTAGGAAATTTTTTTAATTTTTTTCCTTAAATTCACATTTTTCGATTCTTAAACCAGTTTTGTAATTCTGCATAACAAGTTGCTTAAAATAATATTTCAACTTACGGTTCTGCAGGATGTACTGCTTTTTCCCCATATCCTCAATACATGAATAAATTTTGCAATAATTTCTGAACAAAGATTTTCCGTGTATCACCTAAAATGAAATCTGATTTTATAGTTTTAAGATATCAGGGAGTCCACAAAGGTGTGTAACATTTGATATCTCAATTGTGACATTTTGAACTAAAAGTTGTACTCTCATTTTTTCATCAAGATTTATTTTGTAATTTTTAATGGAATTCTATTTTTTGTAAAGGCATGTCATTCTACCGGTGGACTTGGCGAAACACGTTCCTAAATCGCATTTAATGACTGAAACTGAATGGCGGAACTTGGGCGTTCAACAAAGTCCTCACTGGATGCACTACATGATGCATGGACCAGGTATATTTTTACAGTTATGCAGGCATTGTTTAACTAAATAATAAAAAATTACCATGTAATGAGTTTTAAGAGAATCCTAGTCAGTTTATGGAACTAAAAACCAGAAAGAGTAAAATAAATACTACTTACATATTAAGAGCTGTGCAATGAAATAATCTGAAAAAAAAAATTTCTTTCCAGAGCCTCATGTATTGCTGTTCCGAAGGTTACGAACCGCTTGTGCGTAATAACTGGGCCGCGAGTTTTAAAATATTGAGACAATTTTAATTAGTTTTTTCTTTATCCTCTAACAGTATTCAAATGATTAATATAAATAAGAAAAACATATCGTAATAAACAAACTTACTGTACAGGTTGATTGTATAGGTTTAGAATATACAAAATAAATTTGTTGAAAAAGTTCATACTTGTCTTGAAGTATTTTTTACATTTATAATTTTATTATAATTTGGAATTTTTAAGAATCTTTAAAAATCTTGAGTTTTTTTAAATTGCTGTTTTTACACAAAATGAAATGACTTAATTAAAATAAGTTAGTAAAATATGTAATAAAATTTATATTTTTCACTATAAAATAAACAATTAGTTGATAAAATTTAAGAAGGTGTAATTACGTCGTGTATGGCATATTTCCAAGTCCATAACCTTGCCACTTCTTCAAACCTCTCCTTGTCATTCATGTACATTTCTCCTAGTTCGGGTTCCATACAGACCTAAAAGAAAATTTAGCAAGTATTTTAATATTTTGTTATTTCTTTGCATCCAATGATTTGCCTATTCCTTTTCTTTTGTACACCGGTTTTTAAGTTTTTTTTAAACATTAGCATTAGAGCACATAACCTTATGGCAAGCTTACCAGTTACCGCGTAAGGGTTAGTAATATTACAGTGAAAGGTTACTGTAAGGTTGAAATGTCCCATGCACCAATCCTAAGATAGTTTTTGTTGTACGGGCTCAAATAAAATCGAAAAAAATATATTTAGAGTTCGGATCTTTCTAAAACTTTTACTCAACATTTTTGAAATGAAAAAAAAACTTTCGAAATTTGTTAAAAAAGAAGAATCGATTTTTTGAAATTGTTAAAGAGGTATGAATCCTTGTGATGATGAAAACACTCACCTGACAGTATGGATCGGTTAACAAACTTTGGACGCTTATGAGAACTTTAGATATTGTCAAAGCTAGAGACCAATTATGATGAATAGAATCAATTCCAACATCTCCATGTCTCGAAACATTAGGGTGTAGTATTTTTGTAAGAAATCTAACAACTGGTGGCCGCATCGGATAACTGAAAACAATAATGATGTATCAATTTAAAAAATGTTAATTTTTAAAACAACTTAAATGCAATATTTTTAAAAGATGGTAATTATGTTTGGAGCAACACAATGACACATTCTTTAAGATAATTTGTTGTTTGTTGAAATAACCATCTCTTTTTGTCAGTTTGAGTAGACCTACCTGTATGGAACTTGTAGATACAGGAAGAAGAGTCCACCTTCATAAGGACTTCCAGTAGGGCCTGTAATTGTGGCTTGCCAGTGACAACACATCTGATCAAGCGGCGTAGCTTCTATACCCTCCGGAGGATCCATCCTCAAGCCCTTTAATTCGCTGCGCAACCTGTTTCGTCGCCAGGAATTCTCTTCCATTCTGGGCAGCTTTGTTTGTAAGGACGTTTGAATTAAACATGTCCGACATGGAGTCGAGGAAGCTAGCAGATCGTACACCTTGTGCCAGTCGGCAACGTGGCTGACAGGCTTGTACAGCGGCCATCGTAGTTTCACGTATTGTTGCCACTGAGCAGAAGTTAAATGTGTGGACAGCAGCCCACACCACCGCCGACACACTTTCATTGCTGACCACAGACTCAAATCGTCCAAATATGAGAATATCGTCAGGAGAACTTCCGGAGGAAGTCTCTCTATAAGACCAGGCTCGCTGACAGGTTCGTGTTCAATATGCTTATGATTTGTCAAAATCTCCAGTCTTTCAGACAAATTTTTTGGTCTTGATGGTCCCGTCACATCGGACGCTATGCGAAAGTTCGAAGGCTCTTGCGCAAAGTCTTTCATATTTTTTACTCCTGCTAACGTTAGAAAAGCATTTTCTACAATTTCGTGGGTTGGAAAATGAAAATCTTGAGTGCAAACTGTATTTCTTTTAGCAGCATTCTCAGGACTTGCATTTTCGCCAGTAATACTTAAATGGTTATGTGTGGCTGTAATATTTTGAAAGGAATTACCACTACCACTACAATTCCCTTTATGACGGTCATTGTCTTGGGAGAGTTTTTGCAAATTAAGAAAATACTGTTGTGAAAATAAGTGATTCTTCATAAGGTTCTGACGCAATTGCTGATTTGAAGCAAAATTGCTAGAGGCTTGTGCCAAATCGTGATGATGTTGTTGTTGTTGTTGTTGTTGTTGTTGTTGTTGGCCAGATCTACGTTCAATATTGTAACACAAATCAGTCGGTTCATCATTTCCCGAGTCCTCATCGTCAGTTTTCTATAAAGAAAAATACGGTTAACATTTTTTTTTATCAAAACATTTCAAGATTTAAATAGTGCGAATTCTTTCACTTTAAGAAGTAAAACAAGTTGAAAATTATTAAACATCTTTTTAACTTTTAAACAAAATTTTTAATTTACGGTTTTACTAAACTTTTATAGATTAAAATAGTTAATAGTTAATAAAGTATGGATAAGTAAATTTTGCATCAAGAATTAATGAAATATGACTAATATATTTGTTCTACTACCTCACTCAATACTTGAAACTGTAGCAATCCTACATTGTCGGGAAATAAAAAGGAATGGCATGTAGTGCAAACTGGTTCCTCAAAGCATGGTCCGTAGTATCCATTACAAAAAAAACAGGAAGTTATCTGTAAGACAAATTAATTAATAAATTAATAAAGAGAGCTCAAGCAAGTACCTACTGTAAGATAACTAAAGTTCTCCACATTGTATTGAAAATTAAGAAAAAAATAGTGTGAAACTTCAGACAGGGTTGCCACAGGTCAAGCAAATCAGGGAAAAGTCAAGGATTTATATTAAAAGTACTGGAAAAAATTTAATTTTTAGAATTCATAAGATTATTATATTTCTGACAATAATTTATTTATAAATAACGCTTAATTCTTCAAGAACTATTACAAAATTATTACTTATGTATAAATTATTTAATGATAATTTTATTTAAATATTTCAAAATTAATTCAATTTTAAAACATTTGTGTTTACAATTTTCATAAATAAATGAACTTCAAAAAGAAAACCTTTAAAAATTTAAAATTTTAGAAAATTTCAATTTTAAATCATTTTAATAAAAAAATTTAAAGAATGTTTATTAAAATAGTAGATTTTGAAAATATTTAAATTTCAGCAAAGAATTTCATTATTTTTGAAATTAAATCGAATTCTAGCAAAAAATTTTTGAAAATAATTACATTTTTCGAGGATTTTATTTAAAATTGTGTTAAAAATAATTGAAATCCTATGAAAAATTTTATTATTTATGAAAATAATTGAATTCTTACAACGAATTTTATTACATTTTTTAAATAATTTAATTGATGTGAAAAATTGTATTACTTGTAAAAATGTTTGAATTTTTTATTGAAAAATTTTATGGAAATTTAAATTATTATAAAAGTATGTAATTGAATTTTAATAGGTTTAAATTTGAAATTTTTGAAAATCTTAATTCCTATGAAAAAATAATACTTGATAGATATTAAATTATAAATAATATCAAAACACCTTCACTTTTATTTTAAAGTAAATAACAGTTTATTAATAATAATATAAAATAATTAAACAAAATAATAATTCTTAAGTTTCAAACAGATTTTCACGCTTATACAAAACCTTTCTGATTTTCAATTTTTTTACATTTTTCGTCACATGCGCATTTCACTAATTTGAAATTGAGTGTAATTTTGAATTGCTAACATACTGATTAAATATTTATTTAAAAATGAAGTTATTGATGTTTTTGAATAATTTTACTTTTGAAGAAATTTGTAAATAAATGTAATAGAACACTTTTTAGAGTGAGTCAGAATATTCTTTAGGGTCAGGGAAAAAGTGAAAATTTTATCTGGAAATGAGGGAAAAGTCAGGGAAAATGAAAATTAATTTTTTTGTGGCAACCCTGTCAGAGTACCATAGCCAATAAATAGAGATATCTAACATGGAAAATTCATTTAATCTAGAGAGGATTGATCAATTAAATAAGTTTCCTCGCATTACTTGAAAATACAATTAATTCTTTTATTTGAAACTTACAAGTACATAAAGTTATACACTTTTTACATTAAATTATTAAATTTTTGTCATATTTTTGTACGGGTTTTGTTTTAAGAATGTTCAGTCATTTCCAGTGATAGCAAGTGTGATACAATATCTTTTGTTAATTCTTCCTGCCGTTGCATCTGAATGTGATCAGAAGACAGACACTCCCATCTCTTTTCCATCCACTTTCGAAATATTTTGAAGCCCATGTATGCTTTTAATGCTTCATCAACGGTGTTGTTATCGTCTTCTTCATCTTTCTGATCTCGATCATCCTGATAATCATTGTCTTCGAAGTACTCTTCTGACAGTGAAGCCACATTATGCGGTAAATTATGGATTCTGCAACAATAGATGCATGCTAACTTTATAAACTTTCAGTAAACTTAGTTAACCAGAGTTAATAACGTAAATTTACAAATACGTACATGTGTAAATTTTCGTTTACATTGGATGATTGATAGCCAAGTAAATGTCTGTCCACCCTCAACCACGTGTCTATTTCCTCTTCTCTGCAATTTTCAAATCCTGGTATTCTATCTAAAATGTTGAGAAAATCATCAAATGACTCGTTTCTCGCAGTCGAAATGTTTATATGGCAATCGTGTTCAATTAATTTTCTCCAAGCTTGACTGATGTTATCTGCAGAAATTTTATTCCAAGAACTTGCAATTTGTATACAGAAGTTCTTCATATTCCGACTGAGTATAAAATTCTTTATACATTCTTCGTCTCTTTCTAAAAGCATTTCGCGTAATAAACTTACGCGATAAACTCTTTTCAGCTCCTCTATTACTCCTTGCTCCATGGGTTGAACTAGCGAATTCACATCTAAAGGGAAAAATTCAACCTGTAATTGAAAATATATTGAGACATGTAACATTTGAATATTTTAACAGAAAAGTGGAAAATAACTCACACTACACGACTCATTTATGGAATCAATTTCTCCTTTCAGTAGATGGCATTTCGCACTATCAAGAATTAGCAAGACTTTGTAGTTATCTTTTTCCTGTTGATGTTTCTGAACCGATGGAAGAAAAACTTTGGTATACCAATGTCTAAAAAGGTCTTTAGTCATCCAACAATTTCTCTGTCCAGCGTATTTGACTGGTAACTGGTCCATATTAAACGTTTTAAAACACGAAAGAACATTTGTCGGCCCGATGACAAACAAAGGCACCTTGTGACTGCCGTCGGCATTTGCTGCGACCATAACAGTTACTCGCTGTTTTGAAGCTTTGAAGCCTGTGTCTTTCTCAAATTTATCAACGAATGTGGTTTCTGGCAGTGACCTCCAGTAACACCCCATCTCCTTAGCGTTATAAACTTGATGTGGTTTCAAGTTTTGGTTGACCATTATTAAACGGAGCTTCTTGACAAATTCCGCACTAGCTGAAACTTCCGCAGACCCTTTTTCTTCCTGAATACAGCCGTTTCTTATTTGGTATCTTCTTTTAAACCTACTCAACCACCCGTCACTAGCCTTAAAGTCTGATTTCCCGTTGACTATCTCATTTACAAGTAACCCCTTTTCTTTCAAAACAGTACCTGAAACGTAAGAAGCAAATTAACTTTAATGTGTAACAATCTAAAAAAGACAACTTACCTGAGATTGTCTCTCCAGCCATCCTTTTCTGCTTACACCAATCGTACAGACTTTCGTCAAGATCCCTTGTAGTAGGCACCCTTTTTCTTTTTTCGAAAGATGGGAGATCCTTTGTCTTTTCCAATTTTTGTGTCCAGTTATTCTTTGAATTGTGCATTCGGGAAATTGTTTTTCTAGAGACGTTAAACTGTTCAGCAATAGCCGTGTAATTTAGTCTTTCACCTTTCTCTTTACAAGATACAAAAATATTCAGTACTTCTTGACGCTGTTGAAGAGTAAGATAAGAATACGCCTTTTTCTTCTCTTTCTCCATTCTCTTTTTCTGTAAGAATCAATTGATTTTAGCAATTTTTACTTTTGCTTCATAAAAACACTCAAAATTTTTAAGAAAATGATTTATTTTTGAAAATATCAACACTTGAATTGAGCTGCTGGATCATAGAAGAGCATGTAACCAATGTAAATCAAATGGGATGGTTTCCTTCTTTTGATCCGGCAACTCAAATATTTATCAATATAAGCATTAACATCGTGAAGAAATTACTTAAAATACTTTCGTTGATCAATTCTACTGTTCAATCTTCAATGCTGTTATTAAGAGCTTAAGTTAAAGATAATTAAATTAAGATAATTAATAATTAATCTCCGAGCCGCACCTTTTCAAAGTTTTCTCGTCTCAGGGGATACTAAGGAATAACCTGAAAGTAGAACGGAGCGAGGCAGCCAACTTGTCACATTTCGGGTTGCAAGTAAAGAATTTAGAAATTCATCTTCAGGTTCAAGGTGAATTCTAAAAACAAGATTTCTTTGCTACAAAATTACTATCAAACTGGCTTTTCATGTCCGAAATTAGTGCCCCTTGCGCAGGGCTCGCGGCTCACCTCAAAAAGCGAGCATCTACTCCCGAAAGGTGAGCAGCTGCCCCTGAGGAGTTGCTGCTTACCTTTCGGGAGTAGATTCTCGCCTTTTTGAGGTTAACTGCGAGCTTCAGGCAGCGACGAGCCTCAGAAAAGTGAGGAGGAGCAGAGTTAGTTGCTTCAAAAGTCATTGGGCCGGATTTAAAACTAAATAAAATTTACGATGTGAAGAATGCAGTTGTTCACCAAACAAGGGCTTTTTGGGTCATTGATTACGAATTTGATGTGAGATTTTCGAAATTCAAAATGGTGGATACAATATGGCGGATGATATTTTTTAAAATATTAAAATTTTCTAATAAACTACTATCTACAGATTTTTTCAATGATTAATTGAATTATCCAGTATCACACATAAAAATCTTTTAATTTTGATTTTCTAGTAAACTTTAGACCCTAAAGGACAAGGATCAAGACAATTCAATTTTTTTAAGATATTACAAGCCATTTTGCATTTTGCAGTGACTCAAACAAAAAATTGTGAGTATGGTATGGTGAGTTTGAAAAAAAATATTATTTTGTAAACTATTTAAATTCTGGTATTTATTGTTTACAATAATATTTATGAACAAAAAATGAGATTAAAATTCAGCTATATTAATACAAATGTCTGACAAAATAATTAGAACATAATACAGTCGAATCTGGCTAAGTGAAACCTGGATAAGTGAAAAACCTCTATTAGAGACGGCAATCGCCAGGTCCCTTCATTTTCTTATGTAAAAACCTCTATAAGTGAGAATCTGTAAGTGACCGATATTTTTTCTTTGCTAGACCTCTGTAAGTGAATGAGGCGCTCCTTGAACCTCTATAAGTGATTATTTTTCTTAAGTAGACCTCTATAAGTGACAGGAGCATGTGTCCAACCTCTGTAAGTGAAAATCTTTTCCTTACATAAATATTCTACTGGGCAATAGAAGTAAGAAAACAGTAATTCAAATTTTAATAGAAGTTCACTTAATTAATAATTGTGTAAATCGACAAATCACTTTTTCATAAAATTTTTACAAATAAATTAATGAATTTAGTAAATTTGGTATTATCATTTGTAGATTGAATTGATTAAACCTCTATGAGTGAAAGAGGGCACGCTTAAACCTCCGTAAGTGCGAGAACCTCTATAAGTGACTGAGGCCGCTCTTCAACCTCTATAAGTGAAAACCTCTATTAGTGAAAAACCTCTATAAGTGACAAAAAATCCACGGTCCCTTGAAATGTCACTTATCCAGGTTCGACTGTATATAGATTATGGATTTGGTTTTAAAACAAATTTTTATTCAAAATTAAATTACTAAAATTAAGTATAAATAAGAAAATGAATATCTTAAATACTTATACATATAAATACAGTTACGATTCCAAGCATTTTAAAAAATTCTTGACTACTTTATTTTACAACGTAGTCATGCTTGAAGATATATTCAAGTTAAATATCAAATATAAATTTTTTTATTATTTATTTCTTGCAGCTGCTTGCATTCCGCCGTGAATTCTTCTTTTAGCTGTAAGTGAGTTTAGTAATTAATTTCTAACAATAAACTTATTATTTCTGCGACTTATAAGTCACAAGGATTGAGAGTTCCGTACTATATACCATTTTTTATACTTACCTGTATATTTTAATCTCTGAATGAAGAAAAGCCGTGTTTTTAAAATCACTAGTAATTGCACTTTTGCACATACTACTAAGGAAGATATTGAATATATATATTGTTTATAACGCAAAATATCATATGTGTAATTATCTTTTTTTGTTGATGTACACATAAGTAGAGGGTTAGTTTCGAATCCTGTAACAGCCGAGTTATTTGGGTATATTAAAAAACTTTTATATGCTTGTATTTTTTCGATACTGTGATCTATGCTGAAGAAAATAACTCGAACTTCATATTGAAAGATACTAATACTTAAAAAAGTTTGTTTTTTTCCCTAAAATTTATTAAAATTTTGAAAGAAATTTAAAGATGTTTTTTCAAAAATAGTATTTTAAGTTACAAATATTCTGAAACAATTTTGCAAACTACTATTATTCATATTTTCCTGATTACGCACCCAGAAATATTATTTAATTGCACCTGAAACTTGTAACCTTTTTTCTGTTTACGCTTCGTTCATTTCTCATATTCATAACCCACCAAAAAATTAAAAAATTATTTTCAGAAATAACTTGCATATTGAATCTATTTTTTTTATCAAAAACTATAATTATTTTGAATAACACTATATTATTGTATGGTTACTACAGGGCTCGAACTAAGTCCGTAAAGTCCGTAATTTTATTAAACAAGGACAAAAAGTTCGTAAATTGTACGATATAATTTGGAGAATTTTAGAGAAATTACAAATGATTGCAAAATTCAATTATTTTCAAAAGTAATAAAATTCTTTGCAGAAATTCAATTATTGTTATATATATATAATATATATAACTTTAAAAACGAAAGTGCAAAAATTTCAAAATGCAATATTTGTGATAATTTTCAAAATTTTGTATAAATATTTGGTAATGTTGTATATCACTATGGTAGTAATAAATTTAGAAAAGTACAGACAATTCCCATCAACATGTAATGAAAATTAGTTTGAAGGACTGACGTGAAATCCACTTATTTTATTATTCCGATAGGCGATGTTTAGATTGCCCACCAACAATATTCTTGTAAATATTAAACTTGAAGACACTCTGTATATTAATCATAGCTTCAGTAATTTTAATATTTAATATACAACAGTGTTTTTATTATTTTCGGATTATTTTTAATAGTAAAGTTTACCAGAAAATTATAATATTAGTCAGTTGTGAAATTGGTTCTAAAATAATATAGATATAGATCTGTTGAACGGAAACTCTAATAAATGTTAGGTTTTCGGAGTGGCAGATCTAGTAATCCTTTCCTATCTTCCGGTACATACATTTTATGCTATTACTAGTAGATAAACAAATAATTAATAATATAATATATTCATTCCAAGCGAAGCTTTTTTCAAGTAATTAAAAGGTTTAGAAAACTAACACTGTTTTAAAAATAATTTCCCGAACTAAAAAATTAAAATATTAATGAATGTATTTATCACACATGAAGGAAATCAAGTATTAACAAAAAATTAATCAAAAGATTTTTTAATTTGTCTGGAATAAAGTTTAACAAAACAAAATTCTTATAATTTATCGAAAAATTTATAAAAAATAATTTTTGAAAAACACAATTAAAAGTTTAAAGATTTTTGAGAAATTATTAAATTATAACTACAATTGTTAAGCTAATTATAAAGGACATAATAAATATTTCATAAAAGAAAGAAAAACGAATAAATTATAAATAAACAGAGATTATTGTGTTAAAAACATGTTTGGATATGCAGTAAGAAATGAATTTTACAAATAATCTCCAAAAAATGGTCAAGTTTACAGAAAAATTATCCTAATTCAACGCAAAGTAACTCTTGGAAATAAATTATAAAATTGTAAAAAAATAATTAACTTACTGGAAACCGAAACTCTGGACAAGGATTGGGTTCCATGTCATTAGAATGATTATCATCAAAATCGCTAGGTTTTGAATCCTCAAAATTTCTATTTTCAAACTTATTCATTTTCGAAATTTCTTCTCCTTAAATGATTAACAATTGTTATTGATGTATACAAACACAAAGCAATACGAAGTGTCAGAATGTTTCTCAACTTTTACACATGGTTGGGAAATGAAATTAATGTAGAAGACCCGTGTCGTCTGCTTTGACAGCAGCGGGCCTAAAGGTTAACGCACAGTCGAAACTGACGTGAAAACGGTTTTGCGTTGAACAGTGAGTGTGACAAGGATAAATGTATCTATGTCTTTCTTTCTCTCTTATTATTCGACGTAAAACGCAGCGTTTGAATGCAAAAACCGCCGAGCTCTGCACAGGCTATGTATTGTTTAAGATTGTCTATTGTGGACTCAACCTGAAACTGTACCCTTAATTGTTTAACGTAAAACGCAAGCTTGTAAACTCAGCCTTAATTTGTTATCGACTCGTGGTCTGCAAACTGATTTGATGTGAAGAGACCTTGATGTTCCCCAAACACCTATCTGTGTTTTTAACTCTATATGGATTAAAATGTAAACAATATAACCTATAATATAATTCAAAGTTTTGTAATTTTACTTTTTATACTTGGAGAAACTCTATTGGCTATTTGTCCCTTCAAAGGGAATAAATAGTAATATTGACCTTAAGGAATTTGTTTTTATGCATATGTAGTGCAAAGTAAGTGTAAGACTTGAAATTTTATCAATTTTATAAAATAAGAATAAAATAAGATAAATGATTATTTCTGGAGAAAGTAATGTTTTAAACTAACTTGTTCACAAAAAACACAAATCTCAGCTATTAATAAGTGAACAGATGCTCTTAATCTTAAATGAAAAATTTTTATTTTGGATATTTTCTATAAAACGCTATTTGATAGTAATTTCATATTTTAAAAAATTCATTTTCACTTGTACATTGATTTCTTGATGAAAAAAGTAGCTTCTGAGTCATTCTACGCAAAGCGGACAAAACGAAACTTCTAAATAGAAAAAACTATTTTTAAATTGCTGATACTTCCATTAAAATGCATTACCCAAATGAAAAAAATTACGTCATATTTTTCTAGTAAATGTTATTGTCTTTAATTTGTTGAATTTTAATTTAAAACTTAGATTCATTTTTATTGAAAAAAAGTAAAATGGACAATTTCAAGTTTATTTTTAAAGACCTTCAACCATTCAATTAAAATGTTTGAAAAAGGCTTAAAAAATAAAATTTTCAAATTTTTGTTTAATTTTCAATTTTTTCTACTACTAAACAATTCCAAATATTACAAATAACTTGATAAAAATATATATCTTACAAGATAGGACTATAAGGAAAATTAAAAATTAAAATGGTGGCTCAAAAATGGAGTCTGGAGTTCAAATTTTTTTGGAAAATTTACCCGAATGGACGAAATTGTTAAAAGTGTTTAGATCAGCTTGAAACTTGTTACTCGTGGGTATTAAGGGTCGCTGATCAGGAATCTGAAGTCCAATTTTAAAAATTCAAAATGGCGGCCAATTTTTCTAAAAACTCATTAGATTCACTTGAAATTTGTTACTCGGGGGTTTTTGGGGTCGCTAATTATGAATCTAAAATTCAATTTTCAAAATTCAAAATGGCGGATTTAATATGGCGGATAATTTTTCTAAAAACTCATTAGATTCAGTTGAAACTTGCTAATACTGGTTAGAATTTATAAGTTTTTGCTATTGAATAATCGAGATGATTCAGAAAAGTGCAAATGAAACGATTTTAATTATTATATATTATAAAAACTTTTTTAATTCTCCCCTTGCAAGATGCAAAAATGTCCAAAAGGAATTTTTGCAATAACTAAAATACTGTTTTTGCCAATAAGAGTTTAAAAGCAGGTGTTTTTACGAATTCTGTACCATAAAGTCTCCTTAAAATATATATATATATATATGTAAATTAACATTATTATTCATTGACTGGAAGAATTCGGTTTTTAGATAAATTATTTTCTGCGACATGGAACAATTGGCAGATTCTGTTATTGTAGTAAAAGCAAAACCAGTTCGTAAAGTATTCAAACCTTCAGTGAAAGTTAACAAAATACCCCAATCACTACTCAATGATGCGCTACTTAATGCCGCCATGTCGGCTCTGCCTTCCAATTACAATTTCGAAATCCACAAAACAATATGGAGGATTAAGGAAACTGGATCAAAAAGAGTAGGACTACAAATGCCGGAAGGTCTTTTAATGTTTGCTACCACTATTGCTGACATTATAGAAGAATTTACTGAAGCCGAGACCGTCATCCTGGGTGATGTAACTTATGGTATTGTATTTACATGCAAATGTATGCAAACGAAATGAGAAGCACTTCTTTAATATGTACTTTGCAGGTGCCTGTTGCATTGATGATTTCTCTGCAAGAGCATTAGACATTGATTTCTTGATTCACTATGGACATTCCTGTTTAATTCCAATAAACCAAACTGAAGGCATCAAGGTTTTATATATTTTTGTTGACATAAAAATTGACGTCATGCACTGCGTGGAATGTTTGGAATCTACTTTGCCTGTGAACAGTAAGGTAGCTCTCGTCAGTACGATTCAATTTGTTGGAAGTTTACACGCTGTTGCAACAGAACTGAAAACGAGAGGCTACGAAACAGTAATACCCCAAAGCAAACCATTAAGTCCAGGAGAGGTATTCTTGTTTTTTCACAACTTAATAGTGTTGTCAATTAAAAATTAGTGACAGTTTTAGTGAATTAAATACATAAAGTTGAATTGTAGATTTTAGGATGCACAGCACCAAGAGTTGGTTGTGCAGATAGCATTGTGTATATTGGCGATGGAAGATTTCATTTGGAAGCAGCTTTGATAGCCAATCCTACATTGAAAGCCTATAAATACGACCCATATGAAAAAAAAGTTACTGAAGAATATTACAATCATGAGTTAATGCAAAAGTATCGAAAGATGGCTATTGATCAATCTGTTAAGGCGGGAAAATTTGGCCTGTTACTGGGAACTCTTGGCCGCCAAGGAAGTAATAAAGTTCTTTCGAATCTACAAGATCAATTGAAAGTTTTAAATAAGCCAACTATCATTATCTTACTTTCGGAAATATTTCCAAATAAGCTGAAACTGTTTGTACAAGTGGATTCTTTTATACAGGTAATTGGTTACGTTGCAAGTATCCAGAATTCGATGATTTACAAAGAATTAATTAATTTACATTGTCGCAGGTGGCCTGTCCAAGGTTGAGCATAGATTGGGGGGTAACGTTCGCCAAACCACTTTTAAATCCTTACGAAGCTGCTGTAACGTTAAGTATGGTTAACTTTAATGACGACGAACCCTATCCAATGGATTTTTATGCACATTCTAGTCTTGGACCTTGGACACCAATTCATAAAACATCTGAGAAAGATAAACAAACATTTTCTAGTTGTGAAAATTGTAAAAAAAGAAAATAAGACATTTTTGTAAATCCTTATTATCGATGGTGTTTTATATATTTATATATTTTGTAAATTTTTATGCATATAATTTAATTTTAAGCAGTTTTTTAAATAAATTTTACAAACTTTAATAATTGATATCAAATATTTATTTTTATCTTATTATTAATAAAAACGACACATTCGGACAACTCGAAACGTTGGATTTTAAAAAGTAAAAAGTGACGTATTGTTGCTCGAATAAGTCGTTTTTATTAATAATTAAATTATTCTCGGACGTTAAATTTCTATACGTAAATTCATATTTTTATCTCATTTATTATTAACAGATCCGTTAGGTATTTGCGTAACTTAAATCATTAGCCATACTCCATTAACCCTAGAAGGAGTAACTGGGGTGTCTGGACACCCCAAGCAAAATTCAAGCTATTCCCCTGGCTTAACCAATAATTTTTTACGCTCAAAACCCATTAAAAGTTGAAGAAAAACCAAAATTTTCTTCCTTTGAAAACTTTTTTCTAAACTCAATACTTTCAAAGTTATAAGCTATTGAAAATAGGTCTACTTTTAAAAATCGAAAATTTCGAAAATTTTGGGAAATATGGAAAAATAAAAAAATACGAATTTAATATTTTTTTATAAAGAATGAGAAAAAAATATGTTTAACCGATTTTAAAATGCCATCGGTCACCTGGACAACGATGCAGTTATTAAATCGTTATACTCTCTGGTCGTCAATGATTTCAGGCTGTCATAATGTCAGAAAAGAAAATATTTTCTGCTCAAGATGAAAGGCTCAATGCTTTACATAAGAGAATTCTAGAAATTAAAAAAAAAATTCATTTATCTGGTGTGTATAAAACTCTTCCTATCTATTATTATTATTATTCCTATTCGTTAACTTATTTGTCAACCAAAAATGTAAAGCATAGGATAATATCTTTAAGTGATCTTTAGTTTCTGATAGAAATTTGTTAAGTATTTAGTAACAATTTATATATGTTGCAGAATAATTTCTAATTATATATAGGTAATAAGAACAGGTTATAGGTTTTTAATTGTCTCTATTACCAAACTATTTGTAACGTATGCAGAATTATTACAAATTATTATTCTGAAAAAAGTGATATTTAATTGTACATAGATTAATGTTTTCTTTAATAGTTTCATTCTATAAAAACAGCTAAATTAATGCGCACTAAAGCACGCGTGTAGTTTCTCACTTTAATGGCAATAATAGACATTCAACAATAGTATATTCTTATAAAATAAAACAAAATTATATTTCTTTTCAAGTATATTCTTAACATAAATAAAAAAATATTCTTTAAATATGTTCAAGTGACTATTTGTACGAAAATTTAATAAAAACGTGAGCACACACACACATGTTGTGTAATCACGAGAAATATTTTTAATATTTTTCCAAAAGTATGTAAAACAGAAAATGTTGTACAAAAATTTAAATCGAAGTAATTAGCACAATTTAATTTTAATCTAACAGTCATTATTTTCTATACTGATAGTTAATATATATTAAATTTTCTTAAGGATATTATACGCTTACATCTACACTTTAAATTTCAGAGGGTCAACGAAAATCGTGGTTCGAAGATTGCAATTCGAGGAACAAAGAGAATATACAAAAAATTGTTGTTCTAAAGAAAGAAAATAAGATTCTTCAAGCAGAACCAAAGAATTTTAACGTAATGTTATTTCTTTTAAATAATGTTATGCAGGAAAAGACGAATAATTAGTGAAACTTATTCTAATAAGTTTGCGTTATTAAGGGTAAGGTTGCAGAAACAACCTTACCCAGTTAAAAATACTTTTACGAGAATTTAAAAAGTTGAATTCTATTCTACATATCTATTGTATTCCACTGAATTGACTTGACGATATTCTAAAAACAAAATGAATTTTCAGCTTTAATTATTATAAATTGCTTATTTTTACAACTCTACTTATTGATATTGAAAATATGTACCATTTTTGCTCCACGACAAGGACCTCTTTGGACCCAAAGGAAGCAAATTTTACCATTTTGGTCCAAAGTACTTTTTTCATTAGAAAACAGTTGAGTTTAATTTCCAGTCTCAAGTATTTTTAGCAACGAGTGACCATCAATGGACAGCTGTTTTACGAAAATTTTTTTCCAGTGTAGAGGTCATTTTTCTCAAATCATGGTTCTACTATAACATACTTTACAACTTAATTCTTTTCTTCCAGGTGGATCAGAACACTGAATGCAACAGTATCTTAAATAATATTAATCCTACAGATTCAAAAAAAATTATCACAAATTATGAGAAGGAAAAGCATGATGAGTCTATTCTTCGATTAAGGAAAAAGATTGATTATCTGATATGGAATAAAGAAAAGGTAATAAAATATATTTTTCATCCGACATGCACAATTTTATGGCGCATTTACATAGCTGACGATAGGGTATAAATATTAAATAAAAGTTGTCATTAATAAATAGTCAACTATAATTTTTCAGAAGAAGAATACTTTATGTAAAATTTTAAATTCATATAAAAAAGTAAAGAACAAGAAACTTAAACATGCGTGGAAAGAATTAGGATTTGCTATTAAGCAGGTAATATTTAATAGTTTTCAAACATTTATAATATGCAATAAATAATAATTCATTCAGAATTAGTTATTGAAACTTTTGCATTATTGTAATTTTTGATTTAGAAAATCGTAAACTTGGAAAATCAGTTGCAATGCTTAAATATTATGCAAATGGAAGCAGACACTATTAACAAAAAGTACAAGAGTGTTCGTGTGAGTTTAAACCTGGATGCTGCTTGCTACAATTCTTCTCTTTGTAAGCTGGAAGAAAACAACTCGGATATTGCAGACGAAGTCACACGTCTCGAAGTAAGTCTATATATGCCTTCTTCGGACAATCATGTCCGACTCCGAAGAATAATTATAATTCTGCATGTCATACTGATACTGATCATACTGATCGAATAACGAATAACTTGTAGGAAGCAAAAGCAGGGGCACTTTATCTACGAGATTACACAAAAAATATATTAGATACACAAGAATCTTCTACAATGATCATTAGCAATGACTGGGATAAAATTATAATATCTTACAGGTATGCATAAGGCTTTTGAACGTTACATCAAAATAATAATATAATCGAATAATTTTTAATACTTCAAAAATATTATAACAACATTTTTAGTATGAAAATTGTTGATTGGAAATAAATAGAGAATGAAAATAATTATGTACTTAATGAGACAGTACACCATAAAAAATATTTCTTTTTAATGCAATTCTTTTACATTAAAATTCATGTGAATGCTTTCGTATAAGAGTAATACTTTTTTCTTCAGAAAAAAGGTGGATGATAGAAAACTGGAATTTGATCGAATAGAACGAGCCATCTATCCTACAGTTCTTCTTGCATCTGAAGACAATTGTGATGCATATAAGGCTCAGGAAATATATGATGAAAAAGTATCTGTGCCTCTTGCAATTAAATTAAGAAAAGCAATCGTCAATCTTCAGAATGCTGCAGAAGTTACTGAAAAGAAGGATGTATTGAATCAGTTTTTCAAACAACGCAGTTTAAAACAAAAGCTACAAAATATACGCTCCGAAACAGAAGGTGAAAAGATATTACTGGAGAACAAACGACAAGTTTTATCAACTGAAGTAGAAATAAAAAAATTTGCCGATGCTGAAGATACAAACCAGTGAGTTAATAACAATTCTAATATCGTAGAATTAATTAATGCACCTACTCATTAATAATAGAAACCGATAAGCATTTTTTATACGATTGACAATTTAATATTCAACAATGGAAGAGTTATAATAATAGATAAATTTTTCGTACCTAACTATATACGGTTTCATATACATTTTCACTGTTTCATTTTCTGTCATAACTTAAGTAGGTTGAGTCCTTTTGGATTTTTCTCAATATCTTTAAAAAAATGTTGTGTCATCAATAAATATTTTTTCATTCTTTATAATTATATAGTATTTAAGCCACATATTTAAGCTATTAATGAAAATTTTGTTTTAATGATATCCAGAGTTATAAAAAGTTTTAGAAATTGTAAATTTTGAAAAGTAACTTTTTTAATATTTTTGGTTTGAATCTTCTTGTATTTAGAAATACAATAGCTAATGTTGTTGAGAGTAGTGCTATGTCGCAATAAATTAAAAATTAAAATTGCAATTTTCACTTTTTTAGAAGAAACGAAGAACTTATAAACATATTGGAACTTGCTGGAAATGAGAAAGTACGCCAAAGAATAATTATACAGAAAAATAGAAACATTCAAGATATGACTAGAATAATTTTTGTCAGATTTAGGAAACTGTACACTAAAATACCAGTAAGTAACAAATATTTATGGAAAGCACTGTTTTTTATTATTAAAAATGTAATTCGAAAAAGAAACGAATTTAGCACAATTATTGGCTTAAAAATTTTATCGTGGTTGACTTTTGTCAACTACAAATTCAATTTGTTTAAAAAAATTTTATCCGTTCTTTTCGTGTGATTTTGGGAGTTTTCAAGATTCACGCTCTTAAGTGAAGGAATAATTTAGAAACTTTTTTATAATTTCACAGAATTTCTTAATATCGGACAGTTTAAAACAGTTGACAAGTCCAATAGAATATCTGCAGAAAGTAAAAGATATTATTGAAAATCAAATAAATATTTCTCCAGCTATCCAAGGTCATTTTGTCAAGGAACCAACTGTTATTAATAAGGTACGTTTTAAATTTTAATTATTTTATAAGACATCCATCAGGCACTTCGACTTGAAATATAACGCACTAATTATGGTAAATCCAGAAGAATTGGAACACTTTTCTTTATTCCATTTCCGATTTTAAGAAAATTGATGAAAACACCCAGTTATTGTAAATTTCTTGAATTTGATCCTTTTTATGTAGCATGTATGCCGTTTTAGTTTTTTTCATTTTTTTCGCATTTAAAAAAATGGCAATTCTCCGGAGAGACGTCTTCTTCGATGTTTCTAATTACTTTATGATTATAAATTGACAAATAAAAACTAAATACGTACCCCAAAATGAACGGTAGAAGGTAATTCTATGGATCGAACGACTTGGACTGTCTTACCCAAGTATTGGCAGAATGATGTCCTGAAGAAGCGCAGAAGGAGGAAGGTGACGCTAGTTAAAAATCCATATGCAATAACACGTATAAGATCATGTATATTTCCATGTAAATAATCATGTACTTGAAAATGCACAAGATCTTGTACTAGATCATTTGCAGAAATTGGAACCGTGGAAATTCCCTTGAAACTTTACATTCAAAATCATTTACAACTTCAAGTATGTGTCCGTGCATTAGATCCTGTATAAACAAAATTTATTTTTATAAACTTTATGAAATTGTAAACCAACATTATCATATAGTGTCGCACTGTCCTTTCTGAACATTGTCATTTATTAATTTTAATAAAATAATATTTTGATAGCAAGAAGATGTGCCAAATGAAAAGGAAAATTCTTCTGTGAAGGACAGACAAGAAGGAGAACAGCTGTTTCCATTATTTTACAATACTTCAGCTTTAGTAGTACCGCAAGTACAACTGTCAGAAGATGAGGATGAAATTGCATCAAGAAGTTTTATTAAAAAACAAGCACAATTTTTGGTTGATACTAAAAGCAGACGAAAAGGTTTTGCATTTAAACGTTCAGCAATAATGTAGCAATTAAATAGCACAATTCATGAATTCATCAACTTTACATTTTTATATGCGTGAATCAACAGAACCGGTCGATTTATTCATGTTTACCGTGTTACTCTAGGTATCAATTTCATTTCTTATGGATATAACTTTTTGACATAGGTCGAAACAATCCCAAACGATAGTGAATTATAGTTTACATATTGTAAAATGTATTAATGGAGAGAAAGACAATGTGTTCTTAATTAAAAAGAAATGTTAGTTGTTGAAAGTAGCGTTACTCATTATTTTAAAATAATGAAAAATATGTATATTTTTTTAAATCTTTTTTACGGCGATAACTCGATTTGAATTTTTCAAATTTTTTTTAATGCTTTTGAGCAGATGAATAATGTGCGATTAGAATTGAAGAAAATATTACAATAATTATTACTCCATATTTGATCGTGAACGATTACAAACTTAGCTATTTTTTAGAAGCACACCTACAGGCTAAAATATTTATGATTATTTGAAAGCATAATTCTAATTCTTATATAATATACAAATGCCAAATTTTATTTTTAATTTATAATGTTTCAAAATTAGAAATAAAATAAAATTGATAGAATATTAAAAATTGATAGTAAATTTTCCCTTACAATCATTTTGAGCATGTGACAACTTTATATATAATGGACAAGTGTTAACTCTCAGACAAGTGATAGCTCTAGAGAGTTGAATTGCACATTGCACATTGCAATTTCTTTGGACATGTGACATCTGTGCACTTGGTGAACAAGTGAAGACTCTGGAAGATGAAGTGGGTTTAGACTAACATTTCCTTTGGACATATGATAGAAAAGTGTTTTGCCAATGTGATACCTTAAATAGTATATTAACAATTTAATGTATAATATAATGTTTGACGTATTTTTATACGTATTCTTGTCATGTATAAAAATATACAATTTCTTTATGTTTAATTCAGTGGTGTATTGTACTTTCACTTGTATGTTCCGTTTTTTCGTTTTTTTCGTTTTTCGATAATATATTTGCATGCAATCAATAACAATACAAGATTGCTTCGACATTTTTAATAAATATTTTTTAATTTCACATTTTGCTAAACAACAAGAAGATAAAATGTCTGAGGAGAAGTGTGAGAATGTAAATGTAAAATGCAATAATACTACAATTGAGGCAATAAATGATTCAAAAGTACCACCTAACGAACAATTAGGTGAAAAAGACACATTGTCCAAAGACTTTGAAACAGAAAATAATAAAGTAAAAAATCAGTTGGACTCGTTAAAAACTAATTCTAAGGAAAAAAAGAAGATGCTTTTAGAGAAAAAGTTAAAAAAAATTGACCCAGAGAAGAAGTTGACAATAAAGAAAACACAGGCTCAAAAGAAATCAATTAAACGCACCAAGAACCAATCATTGGATACATTATCATCAATGCCGACAACTAATATTGCGGATAAGAATTGTAATAATTTAAAAAACAATATTCGGCAAATGGAGATTGATTCTCTTAACAATTTAATCACGAATTTAAATCAGGAACAACAAGACGAAAATAATGACTCTTTACCTACTTGTACGTGAGTATCTAGACAAAAAATAATTACTCCCATCGGTTAAATGATCCAATATTATAAAATTTTACAGTTGATAGTTCCAGTTTTCCGCCGTCTCAGGAGCAAACAACAGTAGGTCAGGCAAGCGAAGTTAAAAATATAAAAAAGAAAAAAAAGTGTAATAAAAAAATGAAGATTAACGATTCGGAAGCACGTGAAATCGATAAGATCATTGAGAATTTGTCATCGTATAAAATACCTGTAGAATCAAACTGTAGGCACATTTTCGCTTCATCTGATGCACAATTACGTAGTGGTGATGAAATGGAATCAATTCTGTTTGTATGTGTTTTATGTGGGGAATCAAAAGACTACTATCGATAAAGCATTTGTCTTTGGATTCGGGTTGAAATGACCTACTGCATCATAAAAAAAAGTAAACCGAAAGTAATTTTTAATTTAGTTTCGTTTCAGCATCGGTTATTCTTGATTACAATAATATATATATATATACAATAGGTAATACCCTAAAAATGTACATTTATTTATACTTATTTATGGATATTATGTTCATAATGTTTATCGATATAAGGGATAAAAGAGAAATTATTTTAAGCGTACATACTTATAATATGAACATAGATGCATTTCAAAAATTGTTATACTATGCACTCAAGTTCATTAAATAAACAAAATATCACTCCTTAAAAAAATTAATTACAAAGTTTTACTTCTTTATTAAACTGCATTTTAAACAAATACTCTTTACATTTGTTTCATTTTGCAAATAGTAATTGTTAGTAATTTCAATTTATTCAATAAAAATATATCCATTCAAATCAATAGTAACATTCTTCTGAAAAATAAAAACTTTTAATAAAATCTTTGGTAGATTGATTTAATATTTACTGTTTACAACAAAATTAGGAAATTCGGAAAAATTCTTTACTGAACTCTAACATGAATAGAATAAATTTTTGTATATTTTGATACTTTACAACCTTAGAAATACAACTATATAAAAATTAATTACAAAACGTTAATATATTTTCTAATTTCGACAGATAGCAGATGAGATGTACAATTGGTTTGAAATAGATTGCGTTGTCAATGAAACTGCTTACATGCAGGATGGTTTACTATCACTGTAATTATTTATTCATTTCAAATCATACTTAGAATGAAAGTGAAGAAGAAAAAAACATGAAAAGAAACTTTTTATTGACCCCTATTATAGTTTTATTGCAAAATATGAAATTTGAGCCAAGGTTGAACATTATTACTCTCTACTTCTTTAAAATAGGATTCAATTAAGATCAAACAAACCTAAGCGCTTTTTAATGTAATTCTGTTAATTCAGTCCATAATATTTTTCAAATTTTTTCCTTAATTTGCTGACTTGCAACTATTTCACTAGAACAGATGCTTCAGGTTATTTTTTATTCTTCAGTAGAATAATTAAATGTTGATTGGGTAAAGGTTCTATTTTGAAAATAAAAAAAATTCTAAAGCAAAAAATGTACAGAAAAGAATTTATTGTAAATCTTTATACTTTACAAAAAATCAGCTTAAATTATTGCGCAAATTTCTGACAATGAAAACAAATATGAAACAAAATAAACTGATTGTGACTTAGCAAGTATTTTTCACTTTAAGATGAAAAGTAAGAAAAAATGACGAAATCCTAAAAGTACATTATCGTCCAAGGTTGAGAATCTTTCCACACATAGTATCAGGATTAAATAAAAATAAATTATCATGAGGACTTTCTTTTTGAGAGACAGTCTTAATTATTTCTTGTCCCATAACACCTCCAAGAATAGCACAGACTGGACTAACTTGTGCGTACAAATTTCCTCTGTAAACAAATATTTCATTTAAAAGAAACAATTATCAAGTCTATTTAAAACGATATATTTATTAATAAATAAGTAAATAAAATCGTAAGTCATTGTCATTTCGTAAAAGATGTGTATTACTTATTTCACTTATTTTACTGCAACATACTTACTCTAACAATGACTTTAATGAGTCTCCAAGTTGGTATGTTTCAATAACAGCTTCAGATTCTTCTTTAAGAGGATTTAAAGACGTATTTCGCGAAGTAGGATCGCTGCCATGTTTCTCACGATAATTCAGCAGTACTGCAAATATTTTATACATTCTTTAATAAATACTTTATACTTGGATTTAAACTAGTCCGCAAATATGACTTACTTTGCAGCAAGTAGTAAACTTTGTCTTCTTTTGGCAATTGTTTGACATTTAGAATATTTTCAAAGGGTACATAGTTTGAAACTTTTTTAACAGTTGTGGTGACACTTTCGAATTTGTCTTTAATACTAGAATCACCTCCTTCTGGAACATGTACTCTCTTCTTTTGCACAATATCTCTGGAAATCAGATAATAAAATAAAAATCGGTCGCCTGCCAGATCCAAGAGAGCATCACTAAATGCTAATCCTCCGTAATTAAATTACTAAATTTAAAGTAAAAAATGTAGTTATCTATACATTAGTTTAAAGTTCAGGTGTACTTTTTTACAGGTTCTATTCTATGACTTATATTTTGAGAAAAAAGTTCCAATTAAAAAAGGAAACAGAAAAAATTCATTAACTGAAACCTTAAAGAAGGATAAAATCTGTCAGATTTTAAACCTCAAACCATGCGAATTATGCTGACAGAAAATATAAAAATAAAATTATATTTACATGAAAAAGCTTAATGTTCTTAAGCTCTTCTCATCCTGGATCCATATAGAAATCAAGTTTTATTTTTGTATACTGATTTTTTACTCACTCAACAAATTCGTGTGTTCCTAAGTCAGCGAATGTATATCCAAATGTGCCCCAAACATCTCCAACAAAGAACTTAGTATTTTGCTTCCTAGCCAATTTATTCAAGCGCTTAATTTGAGTCAAAGTGCACTCGGAAGCACATACTACATCAAAAGTCTCGAAAAACTCATCGGGTTTATCGTCAACTTTACTTGTGTCAGCAGTAACTAAAACCATAGGATTCAAGTTTTGTGCTCTTTGTAATGAAGCTTCAGCTCTCTAAAAAGTTAAACATTTTCAGAATATTACACTACCGTCGAAAAGTTTTGGTTTTGGACATCTTGTTTGGTCCTTGAACCATATTAACTCAGTCAACACATTAGATGGAAAGTTGAAAAACTGATTTGGAAGCTGACAATTTTTGACAATTTTTTAACCTTCTAACAGATTTTATCGAAAAACATCGCGGATCCCATTATTTTCAAAACAAGTTAAAAATTGAATTTCTGTTTTGAAATAGTTGACGAAAATTAAAACAGAAAACTAAATGGAAATTTATTTTGAAATACGTACCTATGTATGAACATAAATTCAGAATTAGGTGAGGGAAACAAGTTAAAAGGTAAAAAGCTATCTGGATTTTGTACAAAAACAAAATTATTAAATGGACTTGCTTTTGATTCAATGCTCTAGCAGGGTGGCCACAAGTTTCAGTTTATCAATTTCCCTGACAATTTACTGACATTAAAATTATTTTCCCTGACAAATTTTTTCTACAGGAAAATAAAAATGTTTACGGAAAATGAGTTAAATTTATAAATTTTAATAATTTCTAAAAAATACAATTATAACTAGAGCTGTTTTGGAACGCTAAAATGTCGAATTTTAAAATTCGACATTTCAGTCGCCTAGTTCGAATGTCGAATTTTCGACATTCGAACTGTCGGCGCATCAAAACCGATTTTTTATAATAATTGTAACTCTCCTTAGTTTTTTCTTAAGTTATTAAGGTATAATATTTTCAAAAAATTATAATGACTTACATTCTCTCCAACTTGATTTGCGGACACTAGAAATTGAGAACACTTATCTATCTGGCTGACAGATCTATGATCCAGAAATGTTATAGATTTCACGCCAGCAAGTATTATATTCTTTGCTACTTCTGCGCCGAAACCATTTAGTCCAATCAACAGAATTTTAGCAGCCCGCAAGCTAGAAAATAAATACATTATACTTATGTACCTATCTTCGACGGTTTTTTGTGCAAAATTAAAAACTTTGCCTTTACATTGGTTAATCTTTAGACTTGGACTTTTGCTTCAGCGATCTTCTATTATAACTTTTTTTAAAGTACAGCGGAAATTTGAGCTTTTCAGTAGCTTGATATTGATATTTTATGAAAATCTGTTAAGTAACAATTACTTAAAAATTTTAGATTCGTTAAATTCAATATTATAAATATTTTCTGTATAGCGGTTCAATTAATTATATGATAATAAATATTATTTAAATGTATTAAATTAAGAATACCATCATTAAAAATATTTGTTCTTTCTTTTCATTTTCAGCTGAATTAATGGTAATTAAGGCAGTGACGATAACTAAAGCATTTACCTTACAAAAAAAATTGAAAGAAAATATTATAGGAATTGACTCTGCCATGTTAAAGAATAAAAAATACAAACAACAGCTGTCTTTGCAAACTTTAAAATTACTATATAAACAAAAAATAGCGTTGTCAGACCGGGGTAGTTTAAAGGTAAAAACATAAATTTTGGAAATTTAGGCATATTCGTTAAGAAGCGGAATTAAAATAACGGTTTATTTTTTTAAACATATAGGACAATCAATTAGATTCATATGCAAAAACGATTCCTTAACGAAAGAATTGTGTTGAATGAACCAAATGTGCACACGGTACTTAAAACTTTTTAAATTCTAATAAAAACAATATAAGTATTCTTTAATTTTAAAAAAGATATGTTTAAAACTTATTATAATATTGATATAAATTCAAGAAGAGAAATACTAAAAAGATAAATTAGTTACCGCTTTTGTGACTCAAGTCCCCAAAGACGTATTTGCCGATCATATAATTCCGCCTCTGCATCTGTTAATTCTGAATTATTTCGAGTTTCTACAAACATTTTAATGTAATATATTTTATAATTATAATATCACTGAAAACATAAAAGACTGAATGGAAAGGTTATAAACCGGTCCCACGCCAATAAACGCAATAAACAGATCTGGTCTAGTCAGGGCTGGGCCTGGGTTAGTGAGACTCCCTCTAGATTCATCTCCGCATTTATATTTTTGCGTTGCGTTGTAATGAGAGAGAATGCAGCAAACGTATATTTGCGTCTTTTTCTCTCCCATTACGACGCAACACAAAACGCTGTCATGGGACTCCACCCTCAGTTTACTTTAAATTAGTTTAATTTAAAATAAATTATTGTTGTTAATTTATATGCAGAATATCCAATTATTTTGAAGCAAACAAGACAAATGCATTTGCAAGCTATTGTAGAAACACCTTTACAGCTAGGTGTGACGTGTGAGGGTGCAATCACAGCAGAATACGTCGACCGAAAACAGAAAATCATGAGTGCGATAGAGATAGGTAGATATTGTTGTTCTTTTCACTCTCGTGATTTTCTGCTTTCGGTCGACGTATTCTGCTCACATAAGATCGCACCCTGAACGAGATTTCGCCATTTTTCGGACAATTTTTATTTTCTACCGACAGAAGTAGAAACGCACCCTTATGTGGAAATCGCGTTCACACCTCTACAAAAGGTGTTGTTTCTACAATAGCTTGAAAATGCATTATTTTGTTCGATTTAAGGAATAAGATAGAAAAGGACACAAATATATCGTTGTTCTTTTCTGCCTTATGCTTTCTTTGTGTTCGCGAAGCAATTGTGCGTTGGCCTTTATGAATAGAAGAGAAATTGTGGATTGTGGTATTATCGTTATTATTAGTGACAATTAAAATAATATTTAAACATTTTACTTTGTTAATCAGTAAAATTAGCGAATTACTAAATGATTTTTAAGGTAACATATAATTATTTACATCTGTAGAACAGGAACTTCATTTCAACAGTTAAAATACGTCAATCAAAATTTAAGGTTAGAATTACATTTGTTGGAAACAATTAATAATATTTTATGTTTTCACGGTATTTTTTATTAAAAACTTTCTAATATTAATTACATTAATATTTTATATGAGTTTATTGTCAATGTCAATTAACAAAATTTGTGAAAATCCATATCTATAGCTCATAGTCCCGGTACTTTGGCCTTTAATTTCATTTCATTTGTATTATTAAATAATATTTTAATTAGAACTTTAATACCAACAATAATCTAAGAAATATATAATGTGCACATTTATTTATTTAAGGAATTAATAAAAAATAACTTAATAATTTTAAATAATCAACACTTTCAATTAAAAATAAAGAACTGTTATTTATTTTTAATTGAAAGTGTTGAACATAAAACAAAAGTTCGTAAATGTTTTTGTTCCTTATATTGAATAAATACATTAATTTGTTATTAAATTATAAACGTATTTTATTTAATTTTTTATATATTTAATCAAAATTAATTTAACATTATAAAAAGAATTTTTTATTAACTTCTGCGTCCGCAATTAGGAAAAAAATTAACAAAAAATAATTTTTTAGAAAAATAAAAAAAAAATGTTTAGTTTATCTTGTTTTATTAAAATTAACATAATTTCTTAAATAATTTACATGTTACAATGTTCTTTGACTTATTAATTTAATTTTAATTTCTTTACCCTTGGAATGAAACACCATATTTAACAAAAATTCCTTAATTTTTTACACAGAATCGATTGGCATCAACAGTTTTTAAAAATTGTTAAATGTTTATTAATTTGTTTAAAGAATTGCAAATTTAAAGCAACAAAAACAGGTATATTTTTTATCCATTATGCGCCTATGAATCCAATGGTTTGTTAATTTTAATCCTATACGATAAATAATTCTATCATATATTTGTTTATTAAAAGTCCTTAATTACTTAAGTATTTAAATTCGCTCCCGGGCGAATTTCGACTTTTAGTAAAATATTACGTAATAATGGCCTTGACCCCCCCCCCTTCCCCCGACGTAAGGTCATGTAGAGATTTTCAAAACCCACCCTTCTCCTAGAAACCCTTACATAATTTTGGGCCATCTCAGAACCAAGAACTGGAAGATGGTTTCCCGAAGCTTTTTGACGTGACCCAGCACTTCAAGCTTTCTAGATATTCTAACCTAAGAGTGCAAAAATCCTGTTTTTGACCATATTTGAGGTCAAACTAGGAAAAATCTGTATCTGTATTTAAATGATGTCAACATTCGTAATACAGGCAAACCTCTCTACGGCGGAAAGCAATTAGACGATTCCGCCGTAGAGAGGTTCGTTAATATGCTATTAGTGAGTGAACGTTCAGGGATGTAGGTATCAACCATTTTAAATCATATGATCTTTAAATATGAAATAGAAGTTATGATAATTTATTAATAACCTTATTTAAAAATATGTATTAAAAATTATTGAATTCATGCAAAGAATTTTGTCAACAAATTTGAGAATAATTGAATTCCTTCGCAGAAATTTATTATTTATGAAAATAATCGAATGCTCGCAAAAAATTTAATTAAAATTTATAAAAATCCTAAGTAAATTCTTTTGAAGAATATCTTTAAACTTTTTTAAAATAATGGAGTTTCTTTAATAGTTATAATTGAAAATTTTGAAAGTAATTGAATTATACAAAGAATTTTTTTAACTTTTTAAAATAATCGTGTCTGTCAATAGGTAATTTTAAATATTTGATGTTTAAAGTTTATTAAAATTGTATTGAAAATAATTGAATTTTAAATATAATTATTTTTTTAAAAATTACTTTGATTTGTTTTTTTATTTATTTTATCATTTTTTATGTTTATTTTTTATATTATATAAAATATATCACAAAATAAGCAAAAATAATAAAATAAATATAAATTAAATAATTTAAATAAAAAAACATCCGTATAAAAATTACAATTCGAAACTTTTCGGCCCTGAATTTCATGGCACTCACACAGTCACAACTCTCACTGATATAATCCCTTCTACTTCTACCTGGCGAGTTTCCGCCTTATAGAAGTCCGCCGTAGAGAGGTTTGTCTGTATTAAAAAAAAATCCGAGGAAATTTTTGAAAAAATGTTCGCCATATTGGGTCTGACATTTTTAATGTTTCAATTTCGATTTAAATTTTTTAATCGTCAATGATAAAAATTTGAAATAATTAAAAATTTTCATATTTGTTCTTTTTTTGTGCTTTATTTTTTAAACTTTATCAGATTTCCCTTAATATAAGGTACGAATATTGACAAATATACCAAACTAAATACTTCAAACGACAATAACTCAGAGCAAGTTACAGATTTTTCAAAATGAATCTTGAAGGAGAAGATAGTAGGGGAGAGTGGGGCAAAATGGGGTAGGCGGGTCAAATGGGGTACCTCTGTTTTTCCATGATAGGTACTTTTAATTTTTTTATCCTCGACATATATCATTCATGTTGATAAGAAACTGTTATTAATTATGAAGACACTCGAAGGAAATTTTTTTTTTGAAAGTTATACAACTTTTAAGTTTTAAGCAAAAAAAATATGAATTTTTTTCAAAATTAAAGTGCTTACTAAACATTTTAGGATAATGCATTTAATTTGGCAAGTGTTGGATCTTTTTCAGTACTTATTCTAGAGTAATTTCCAATAGAATAGATTGTTTAATTGTTTACAATAACTTGGAAATATTGCATTCTGTTTTAATATGCAGTGTGGGGCAGAATGGGGTACCTAAGTGTGGGGCATGCCGGAAGCTACGCCGCTTCATTAAAACTATTTAAAAACATTATATTATTCATATTTAAAGGTTTCCTGCAAAAGAATCGATATTTTTGTTTCGAAGCATTCATATCGATGTTTCATTATCGATATATCGATATTTTGCAATATCCATGTTTTTTTGTTAAATTCTAATAAATATTACTTGTTTTTCCATAGTAATAAAGAATCCTACTTTTTGTTTGTATTTATAATCTCATACAACAAGAATTTAATGAATTTTGAAAAAATATTCAATGTTTTGTATAGTTATTTGATGCCACCCCATTTTGCCCTACGGGTGGGGCAAAAAATGATTGTGAAGTTTAGCTGAATCGATTTATTCGTTTGGTTCTCTGTAAACAGCCAATTTCAAAAAGGTACCCCATTTTGCCCCACTCTCCCCTACTTACAAATTCCGTTTCGACCTTTTTGAAGAAAAATATCTTTCAATGTTATATGACCTGAAATGTGGACAAACTTGCAGGAGACCAAGCACATTAATTTGAATGTAAATTGAAATTATTTTAACTTATCACCTTTAAATAAATTGAAATGATCAATTAGCTCCCAGTCTCCCCTATACTATAATGTTGCAAGTATCCATACATCCCGGTTCTTAATTTAAAAACAATAATCGTTTATTATAAATTTAAAAATGAAATATTCTGTAGGTGACAATGCAAGTTCATTTCAACTTTCAAGGATTTCTCTAATGTGTTGGATTTATCTATATAAAAGTTCATGGCCCTTGTGACATAAATAGGTTACTTTTGCAGCGCCAAAACAAATTTGGCTCTCCCAGTAGTGACAGCCAGAATAGGAGAAAAAGGACATGTAACTAAATCAAATTTATATGATTGAATAATCTATGATGAAGGGAAATATCGAGATTTACTCTCAAAACTTTTTACGGTACGTTGAATAATATAATTTGTAACTTTAATGTCCAAAATTAAAATATAATAATACCCGACTAAACCGACGCCGACGCCGACGCATGGGACATGTTCGGCATATTTAAGTCAATTTTACTGGTCCCCATTATATCTATGAAATTCTTTGAAAATATTTATTAACTTTAATAGCCTTTAATTTAATAATGTATTTTAATCTACGTATATTATTATCAGGGCTGAACAGCTTTTACTGAATAAAGGAATACGCTGTAATACTGTAGATGAATATGAGAGATATTCACAACTCCTTCCAAAAACTGGAAAAAAACTTTTTGAACCCAAGTGTACGTGGTTAGAATCTAAAAAAATTGAGAAAGATCTGCAATATAGAAGTGATTTATTGGCTATAGAGAGGGTTGAAAGAAAGTCACAAATAGCTTTTGGAGAATGGCTACCTAATGAAAGGAAAGTACAAGTATTAAAAAGAGCAGGGCAGGTATGGGCAAACTTTGGATTCGAAGTGAACTCGATACTTTATTTGAATCCTGAAGAAGCATTATCATTACTTGAAATGGTGAGACATATAAATTAAAATAAAAAATATGTTATGTTGATGATGTGGAGCAGGTGGAGAAACTTAAGATAATGCGCCAGGCATTAAATTTTAGAATTCATATTAATGAGTTATTTTAAATTAAAAGTATATAATTATGTTTAAGTTTATATTTTTTGATGAAAATTACATCGATTTAAAAGAAAATCTCAAATATATTTTTTCAGAATTGTATAGAGCTTTTATGGGAAAAAGTCCCTCTTTCTGTGCAACAGGCATATGCCATTCTACTAAATGCAGATAAAAGTGGTTGTTCTCTAGACAACTATAGAGTTTATAACCAATTTGTTAGGTATGGTTACCGTCTTCTGCGCCATAGCGGAAATAAGTTAACGTCATCTAAAGGGACAAGCGTACGACAGTCGTTCAGGTTAAAACCAGTAGTTATCCCGCCGAGTAATGGCCTTCGAAAGTTCGGTACTTCTTCAGAAGTAAGTGATAACGAGAAAATAAAGGGCAATGTATCCACTGATGGATATAGTCAAGAAGAAGTAGAAATTTCAAGCAATAATGATAATATTATTGACGATTGTGTACATCAAGTTATGGAAAATATTGTTTGTCACTTGGAATCGAAAAGAAAATCTGAAAGTAATTCTTTAGTTGGTGACGTTGACGTTGACGTTGAAGTAATTCCCAATTGTATAAAGTCGAAAAAAAGAAAACATCTTGAAAACAGTAACGAAATAAATCTCAATAATCACAATAAAAAAAAGAAGACTGAAATTATAACTACTGACCAAGCATCGAAGAAACAAGGACAAGAGGTAAATTTTACTTAATTTATGACTATATAGTATAGTGCCCATAAGTTTTAAGAAATATTAGGAAACCTACAAATATGTTTCTTTACTTTTATGCCCTTAAATTCCAAACCAATTCCGCTTTTGTCCGCAATCTTAATGGAATTGGTTTGGAATTTAATGGCATAAAAGTGCCAAACTACCAATCCACTTAAATTCACTCCTTATTACTGGGCTATCATGTCATAAAGATGATGAAAATTACTTTTTTGAAAATCAAAAAATTCGTTTGTTCATATTTTTCTTATTATTAAACTACTCGGTCGTTTAAGATTTGATTATCTTTTACATTTATGTTTTAAAATAATGTTACTCTCTAAAACTGAATCAGTGAAAATTCACTTATTGAAAGTGAATATTCACTTATTTCAAACGTTATAAGTCGTCCTCTCTGAATTAGTGAATATTCACACATTACATGAGTGAAAAACAGTTCACTTATAAAATAAGTGCAAGATTCACTTTTAAATAAGTGAACTGTTTTATGTAGAAAAATTAGCAATCCTGTAACACAAATAATGATAATATTGTTTCAAAACAATAAACTGTATATCTGTAAACTCTTTATCAATTTTTCAATATAACATATAATAATATAAAATATGGAAACTGTGGAGCTAACAATGTTGCATTTACTACTCAAAAAGTATAAAATAAAAGTTTTTTTAAAGAAAGCATAAAATATAACCTCAAACTTATAGAGACATGAAAAACTGTGTATACGTATAGACATTTACAGATGAAATATCCTTATCATTTAATTAAATTGTAGGTGCAAATAATTTATATTTTTTTAATAGTATACTTATACTAATATAAAAATGTTTATAATTACGCGTATATTTATTCATTCGAAAACCGGTAAACTTTTCGACGCACAGACACTCAGAATGACGCAATGTGAAACAATGACGCCAAGTGACACTGACAAACGAATAAGTGAAAAAATCACTTATTTATGAGTGAAAAATCAATTTAACTTATTAAATGTAAAAATTTCACTTATTGATGAGTAACAAATAAATTTAACATATTATATGTGAAAATTTAACTTATTTATAAGTGAGAAATTCGTCCACTTACGAAAAAAGTGAAATTTTTACTGATTCAGTTTTAGAGAGTATGTAATAATTCTATTTAATTTTACATAACATACATAAATTTACGATTGTCTACAGGTAATTTGTCTTTCCGATGATGAAATTGAAGAAATCTGTAAACCCGCAACGCGATTGGATGTGTTAAATCAATTACCAGATGTAGCTTCTCAATCAGTGAAAATACAATCTAAAAATTTAAAAAGTTACTTACCGCGTGGTATAGAACTTAAAAGAGATGTTTATTACTTTGAAAAAATAAAATGTCCAACTGTACATAAAACAGATAACTGTAATAATACTTTTCAAAATACATCTTCTAAAAGAAATCTTTATGCACTGAAACATAATAATCCAAAAAGCTATGCTAAACCATACTCAACATGGAATCAAAATGCACAGTGTGCAAACAGATTTGCCTATCAGCAAATAAATGGCGCGCAAAGAGGTTTTCATACAGTGATGCAGGGAGCTAATAGACTTTCTAGGTTTCAGTGTTTCCTGTACTTTAATTTTCTTGCCTACAACAATTATAGAAGCGCCACAACAGTGACTGCAAGCTTCATGAAGTACAATTTAATGCGGAACTTTTATGCGCCTAATTATAGAAGTAACTTTTGCAATCCACCTGTCGCTCCTTGCCAAAATTTACCTAGCCCTAGGTTGTACAATAAACCGCACCAATCAAAGGAGTTGCTAAGTTCTGCAAGTAATGCTAATCGTGGCTCAATAATTGATAATAAGAAAGAACCTTCATCTTGGCAGCAGTTTAAACAGAAATTACAGGATGAACATACAATAACCATTGATGATGAACATAGTAATGAAAAGAAAGTTGATGGACAGAATAAAAATATTAAACCCTTGATAAACATTAAAAGAAGTGCTTACTCATTTGACGTTAATGATAAAATTAAACTGATTAAACCTTTTGTTAAAAAATCTCAACAGAAAAAAGCCTATGACTCCAAGGTATCTTACAACATCTATTCGAATAATGCAAATTATAGAAAGGCGAATCCTGGTCCTCCAAATAGTCAGCTTCTTGTCGTGAGGTATGTTTGTCTTTTCAATTTATTTAATTTTAATTTATTAACGGAGAAAATCGCATTTCAAAGACTAGAGAAGTAACCGTTGAAATGTAAGTAAATGAAAAACGTAAAAACCCAAAAACCCAAAATCTTCAAATGTAATTTTCTGTGTTGCTTTCGCGCAGTGCGCTTTAGTAGGTTTCAAAAAAAAATTTCATATGGCCTTACTAAATCGAAAAAGAAGAACTATTTTCAAATAAATACCCGCACCTTCTCTTTGTTTATAGAGTAATATAATTTAATTTATAAAAGATACATAGGACTTTTGATTGTTTAATAAAAGTGTTTTATTAGTATCATTATCATAGACTTTGTAAAAGAATTTTATCTTTTCATTATATTAAGATTATTAATTGATTCACTTAATCTACTTTTCGATAAGTGACTGGTAAATTTATCGCATGTCATTAAAATTAACTAGAAATTGGATCAATTTTAGCTAAAGTCAAGTTTTATATTAATCACTACATTTTTCAAATCATGTTTCAATCTAAATCCTTTTTAGAAACATTTTACAAAAACTTGCTTTTTGAAAATATGCACGGAAAAAAAAAGTTCACGAATCTCTCGTGAACTAGTATATCACTTTTGGATGGGACACAAAATTCTTGAAAATCAACAAACACAGTTCGTCAAAATTTCATCAACTCCTTCACTAGAAACATAGTACGGTTTCCGAACTTTCCGTCAAAGTTAACGAAAAATTCGTGAACTTTTAAAAAATGCTAAAAACAAGAAAAAATAATTTGCAGACACTACTTTTTTATAGTATTTCACTTTATTTGATAACTTGACGCCTATTACGCACCCAAATACACAGAATACACAATTTTATCGCCATTAAAATTCGTAATTCGCTTCACGGAATTCGAACCTAGTACCTTTACCCTATAACATAATATTTCTAACAACTAACCGCCACGGCTAAATCTAGATACACTGTCCTTCGACAAACGAAACGATTAGCTTTGTCTGCTGTAAAACTCAGGACCGTGCAAAGTAGAAAAAGTCCCTTATCGTAACTTTTAATTCATTTTATGAATTATTTGTTTCACAAAGGAAATTAGCAAACAAAAATATTCACTAAGTAATAAAAAACACTGATTCTAAATAATAACTTTCATCAAAGAATTTTCCCGAATGTAAACACCGATGACACCGGCTGAATGATGAATGCTTGATCAGCCATATTTGATGCGCATTACGAACTGCGCATACTACTGACACTCGCGAGTTCACGATTTTTTCGTGAACTTGTACCTCTACTTTTGACGAACTACTCTTCCTTAACAGTTCATCAAAAATTCATTAACTTTGTTTCAGTTTTTCGTTGACGTTCGCCATTTCTAATCAAAAGTGAATGAAAATTTTGAAATTTTGTGTCCCATCCAAAAGTGATATACTAGTTCACGAGAGATTCGTGAACTTTTTTTTTCCGTGTGCCTTTGTTTTTGGTTTCGAAAAATTTTCCTTTTGTTTCAGAGAAAACTCAGGACATTATTTAGATTCAGAGGAAGTACATCATTCTCTTATTACAAAAGATAAAACTCTTGTTCTTGCTTATGTCACGAAAACATCTATATCATACATTCAATTTGGAAGTGTAGAAATTCCTGATTTACTGTAAAATAAATTGTATATATATTATTGAGAAAGTAGTATGTTTTATTTGTGTAACAACAACAAACAAACAAAAACAAATATATTTCAAAAGTTATTTCATATAACATTTATTATTACACGGAGAAACTTTTAATACCACTAATTCTTAAAACTGGTGAGACATTTTAGTATGTTAGGTTAGATTCAAGGGAAAAACGACATAGGTTATAGAAATTGCTATTGAGACTATCAAAAACACTCATTCAGTATATATTTTACAGTTCTTCATAAGGAAACTAACGAAAATTAGTATGTTGTTTTAGAAAGAAAATAATTTTTGCAAAGTTGGGAAAGCCATGAATTAAAAAGAAACACACAACAAATTAATTGTCTATAGATACTCATAGAGACGATAGTGATACTTGGATCTGATGGTAGATGGCATTAGTGAATGTCACTGTAACTGTAGGTAAATATATTTAACACGACGTAAGAACCTAACCTATATTAATAACGCACACACGCACACGCAAGTAAAGACACGACGATTGGTCACGGAAACCGAAAGATCGCACGATTCGTTAGAAGTACACAGCTGAATCGTCCTTATATATTAAACGAGTGGAAAAATATGTACCTTCGAGAGAGAGCATTTTTTTAAATAACTTTCTAATCAAATTATGTAAATAAGTAAAAGTCGTGAAAAAAATTATGTTATATTGAGGAACAGTTCTTGAATTTAATTTGGCATGAGGAGACATTCACGTTTATTAATAAAAGGTTTTTTCTTTCATACACGTGTGAATTTCAACTTCTTCTTCTTTAGAATTTCAACTTCGAAAACATTAGGGTTAGTTCGCGACGTCAGGTGATGGACTCGGTGATGCTCGGGTGAAATCGGTTAAGTCCGCCCGCAGTCCTTCCAAAATTGGTATGTTACGTTAGAATGTCTCTTATATATTCTATCTATATGTGTAAAAAAAGTTAGAATTACCGTATTATTTCACAAACAAAAACTAGCATTTTATTCTTTTCTAAAGAAAAATAAGACTATTTCTAATGCAGATAGTAATTTTTGTACACCGAAGGTTGCTTAATATATAACGAACTTATCATATTTTCGTATTAATGTTGAAATTATTAGCACAACGCACGAAAAATCCTCACATTCTAACGTACTTTTAGAATAAACATAACCAAATATATTTAATATTATAAGAAAAAGTTTCTCTGTGTACATAAGTATAATAATTTTAATAACTTTCTAAACTATTACCCATGAAATTTCTCACATTCACTGTTTAACTGTTGGCTGACTCATTTCGATGGAATAAAATCAATAAAATAGATGCCGCACTGTGAAGAGGATGATTTTAAAACAAAACATAACCTTGAATTAAAATATATTTCTTATTGACAAAAAATTGTAATTTTTACTAAAACGAAACTTTTGATTGTTTAAAATGTTAGAAATTAAATTATTTACTCTTCTACTAAAGAAATTTTAATTTATCTTCTTTTAAATAATATGCGTACTACATTATGACATTGCATTAACTTTTGTTTTGATTATATTTTGCATATCTACAGAATATTGTGTTAAAATTTCAAGACAATTCGGTTGTTTTTCAGTTGGAGAACACTCGTGCGTCCCAAAGTATTCATGAAATAAACAATTTAAACTGTAATCAAATTTTAATTTAAAAAATTCTAGTTCAATAAGTATTAACATTTTGTCCAAATCCTTTATTTTTCAATTCTCGGTTAAAACAAGCATATAATATATAACAATGAAAATTACATGATCGTATTTTGTAGTAATCAGTCTTATAAACCTAATAAATATTCAATAATTTTCCACCTTTTGGAAAGACATTGTAGTGTGATAGGAGAAAAACTTCGTAAGAGTTAAAAATAGTAGTAGTTTACTGATAAAAATATTTTCTGCTGGTATAGAAATCTATATAAGAAATTATGGCTAATTAGCAACTGAAGAAAGGTGTATGTATTTTCAATTTTGCTCGGGTAATTTTCCCATAATTACGTATTATTTTTATGCAATATTATAAATGCTTTATAGCTGTACACGTTCCATTATTTACAAAACTTGAAATAAAAATTATTTCATATAAATATTAAATAGGTAGAAAAATATTCTATTCAGTACATTTGTGCCAGAGCGCCATAGATTTTACTATTATCCTAGATTAACAGATGCGGAGGCACAAGAACCAACAGATGACTTAGAATTTTTTCTACTTCTCTTCACTACAAAGTAAGGATTTGTTCCTTTATTTACATGTTCGTGAGCGTAGAGTAAAACTCCTATGTCATGATGTCCAGCTTCAAGAGCAATCTTTAAAGCTGAGCTGCCATCTAAATCCAGAATCGATGAGTCGCAGTTCGTCTGGTTAAGAAGAAGTCTCACGATTGCCATATGCCCATGTTCGGCGGCGCACATTAGAGCAGTACTTCCGTCTTCGTCTTGAATGTTCATGTCGGCGCCTGCATCAAGAAGCAGTTTTGTCATGTCCAATCTTCCATGCGAAACGGCCAACATTAAAGCTGTTTGTCCGTCCTGAAATAATAGAGACACGGCTGGATTACATCAGTTCCAACAGAAGGTTTTTTTTAATAGTCCTTCTACTTTAAGGGGCAACACCGCTCTAGAGGTAAAAGAAGACCTATCTTTGGATTTATTTTTGAAAAGTGAAAAAGGAAATGGGACTATATTTCACTAAAAAAATTAATTTTTTATATGAAACGGTAGTGGGGACTGATTAGACACGTACTTAGGCGTTCCGTTTTCTAATTCAGCAGTTTTTATAGATGCCACTAACACCATGTTGTCTAAGGCAAATCTTGCGCAATTTAAAACCATTTCTTTGATTAAAAAGTGTAGCTGGTTTCCTGATCGACAATTGAAAAATTGTTTAAAAGTATGGCATTGACGAAATTGAAAGATTTCAAACTCAATTTTATAAAAGAATATTACAATTATCTTTCAGCACACCTGGATACGCTGTCAGGTTAGAAACAGGGAACCGAAAACTTATTGTGATTTGTTTTAACTTAGCATTAAACTTTATTGAAAAGATGCTTGCCATGAGCAATGAGCGATACCCGCAGAAATGTATTATAAAATTAAAAATACTATCGGAAAATAGCGATATTATACATACATTTAACTGGTGTCCTCAAATAGGCGAAATTTTTAAATTGATAAATAGGTTTTCTGAATGGGAAAATCTTACTCTAACGTCATTGCAATCGAACAAGGCACGATGGGTATCCGAGTATGGGAATTTCTTGTTTGCGGAGGATATGTCCCGACTACGTGTATCCCGATCACTACAACTTCTCCCACATCTCTCAGTAAGCGAAAATATTCAATGGTATTTTAAATTATGCCTACCAATAAAATACCTTAGTCCGTTATTTTTTCATTGTTTCAAAATGAAAAAAGGGGGGGGGGGGGATTCGAAATCTACTGATTTTTTATCTCAAAGGTGTACTAGACTTGAAACAACTCTTATTTGAATAACTTTCCAGAAGAACCAAAGATATTCACATTACAATCTTTAATTTCGTTTTTCTCGACAAGACGTATCAAAATTTTTGAAATTTAACGAGGAATTTAACCATATAGAAAAGTCCAATAGTTCCAAAGTTGTCCCTTTTCGTGCGGACGTCCTCATAAAAGAGATTTCTTAAAAAACACGAGAGACATTAAATTGTGCGCTATGCGGAGAATCACCCACATAATTAATTCTTTCTGCAAACAGGTTGAAGTCTTCCCAAAAATTATGATTATTAACAAATAAAAATCAATAGCTTTCTTACCATTTTTGATTGGATGTTGACATTAGAATTTTGGAAAATTCTTTCCGCCACTGAAGTGTGCATAAAATTTCGTACATCTGCAAGAGCTGCCAGCATAACGGCTGTGTAACCAGCTGTATTGGGCTTATTCAGATCGCAGACTTGAGAATCCAAGAGTGCAGATGCGACATCAAAGTTCCCAAAGGACACCGCATAGTGCATCGCAGTATTTCCACTGCAATCTGTCACGTTTACTATGTGTATTAAAAGTGATGCTGGATATTCTTGAAAGAGATCCAAATAATCCTTCACATCTCGAGGATTTGCATTTTCCGTACTGGATATCTTGAACCATTCTTGTTGTACTAAGTTGAATGCACTTTTAATCTGAGAAGACATATTTCTATTTGATAGCTTTTCAAAATTATCATTCATTATTTTTATTGCAGATATTATTTCCTTTGCAGGTGTAAGTTTTTTTCTCGGTTTTATTGTTTGGAATTGATAAGCTGCTCGATTAGGATAATTTTCTTCCTTAAATTCAGCATTAACGTTGAGGTCATTTGCTGCCTTGAAGTATGTATTTTCCTCATTCGTGTCAATAAATTTGTCAAGTTCTAGTCTGAAAAAACATTTCTTCGTTTTAGTAAAATTAAGAAAACAAGTGTACAATATATTAAATGAAGCAAGTAAAGAACGAATTAATGGAAGTGACGCTGTTTAGAAATAGTAATATTAAAATTAACTCACCTTCCAACACTTTCATACTGATCCCTATTGTCCTGCTTTTTTAAATGCGAATTGTTTTCCGATACCTCCAGTATGTTTCGATGGAAAGTTGGAGTTGCCGTTTCTTTACTAATATTATTTTGTATATTATGTTTAGTTTGATTTTTAAATTGTTTTGAAATGTTTTTACAATTGTCGCAATAATTCGTTGCATGAGAAATATTTTCGTTGAATTTAAGAGATTCGCCCACAGACATATCAGTGAATTTTTTCCTTACTGGTGAGGTACCGAAGTCACGAGTTCTCGGCTTCAGGTCCAACGTGTCCGTGTTCTTCGATGCAGACTTTATCAAGTCGGCAGGATTCACACTGACATACTTTGACGCCACTCGTTTCAGCTGTGTCCCGTCATATTTGAATGGTGTATTCTGCGAATTCATGGAATTCAAAGAAATTGAGTTAGATGTGGTCAGATCAGGTCCAACTGCTACTGACTTTGGGGTAGAACGATTCATCGCATCTGTGCCAGTGTCGAATGTGACAGGCTTTGCTGTGACTGATACATTGCTGCACAAAACATGCATTGTTTGCACATGTTTATTCTTCAAATTTTCTTTACCACGTAATTTTATAATTGATTTTGTGTCATTTAATGAATTCAGAGAGATAACGTGCTTTTTTGCGCCAACATGATTATCATCTAGTATTCCAATATTCTCAGTTGTTAAACTCGTCATTGTTTCTTTATTAACCATATCTGCTTTTGTTTTTATTTTAGATTTAAATTCTTCACCAGAAACATTGTCGGAAGGAATACTTGTAGGTTCTATTTGTTGTACTTCTGTATTAATACCACAATCTTGAAAGCTTTTCACCTTGGTCAATGCAGTTTCTTCATTTAAAGAATTCTGATTTAACATGGATTCAATACTTTCCAATGTAAGTTCGCTTTGAGTAGATTTCGATAACGTAAAATTTCTTTTAGTAGTAACAGGCATAATGCATTCAATTCGAGTTTTGCTATTAGTTAGCTTCTTCTGAGGAGTCACGGGCAAACTAATCAACATTCCTGCATCCTTAGTTTGAACCTGCAAATGCACAATAAATATTTATTTTCTTTCTTTTAGTGAAAGAAAAATGTTGACATAGGAACACAGTGATTTATAGCTCATTGAATGAAAAAACACATTTCTTGTTAATAGAATTAATTACCTGCTGATGAGAAACACCAACGTCTCTAGTCATGACAGTACAAGAGATCCCAATATCTCTTTTTAATCTTACAGATGCATCTATTTGGTTCTTGCAGGATTGGTTTTCTGATAATGAATGACTTCGTAATCTATGTATTTTGTTAGCATTATTTTTTGTCTTTGAATCGTTATAGTCTTTTAATTCCTCAAGTAATTTTCGTTTTTCTTCCGCAAGAACAAATAATTGCACCTAAAAAGTAAAAAATTATTAAACTTATTTTTAATTAATTTTCTTCATTAAAAGCTTATACTGTAAATATTTAAAAAAATTATCATAAGACACAAAAAGTTTCATTATTTTCTTGAATCTCTATTCAGCAATTGAAAAAATCCTACTCCAGATTTCCTGCACCCCGTGTCTGATTAGGATCTTGTTCAATTATATTAATGTTAATATTATTGTTGCTAATAATTTCTCTCCTCACGGCAAGTATTTATGTAACTCGAGAATTTTTATTTCAAAGGATAAGTTTATTTGTTTTTGTTTTTTCATCATCTGATTTATAGGCCTTTTTAAAGTTTATTTAGTGATGAGGCTCTAAATCTCATAATAAGTGTAATCGATTTAACCTACTTAACCAATTATGTTTTTTTTCAAAGAATCCTTGAATGTATTTTTACAAAGTTAAAATAATAGAAACAAAGCTGTGGAAGAAAGGCATAACAGCATAACTGCATTTGTCATGATTTCGAGATAAATTAATTTTAATGTTCTCTCACTTCTGTCAATTCAGAAAATCAACAGATTTGTTCGGTCTTTTGCATTTAGTATTATTATTTAATATATTTTCAAAATTCTTTTATAACATTTAATAAAACACACGATTTGATATAAATTTTGATAATTTTTCATCGGAATCATGAGTTTTATTGCACTTATGCGGTTATGCAAGTTCAGATTGTATATGAGTCCAACTTCAGACACTTTTAATGTCACAATTTATTTTGGTTTGATTTGTCATAATAAAAAAATTTTTCATACAAAGACAAATTAAACTATTAATTCGTTAGAAAAAATTATAAGAGTTTATTCAGTTATAAAATTTATTTCTTTATAAAATGTTTTTAATTTATTGAAACGAGAAAAAAATTTACTTTACTGTTCAACTTGAAGAATTTTTCAATTTATTTTTTGAAATACTTTCCAAAATTTTTTAGAATAGAAGTACCCTTCAAAATAAGTATGTACATAATTAAATGCACAATTTATGTTATAAAAAATTTGATCCAGTTTTATTAAAATAAATATATTTAATTTAAAGTACGAAAAATGTATTTTACTAAAAACATTTTTTTTACAAAATTCTTATTGTTTTTATTCTTAAAGGTTATTTTCATTTTTAATTATGTCAATTGTTTTTTAAACTGAATGCAGTTATGTTATTATGCTGGTCTCCTTTTGTCAGAAATGCAATTATGCGATTATGTTTTCCATTATTTTCTACATTAATAACCATTTTAATGGTTTTTCAGCTATTGAACTTTGAAGAGCAATATTAAATATATACAAATCTGATGTTATCTCAAATTTGATAAAAATGTCAGTTATGCTGTTATGCCTTTCTTCCATAAGGAAGTGCTAAGATGGTTGTTCCGATTCAGAAACAAAACTTTCTTACAATTGAAACATAAAAACCGATTCGCATTTACTTCTTCTGATTCAGGTACAAAACAAAAGTAGATTTTAAATCTGATTTGTTTTCCTGATTAAAATTGAAGTTCATTTAAATGTTATTTTGGATTAAAACATGACGTTTAGTTAGAACTAATTCAGTTGAATTTGGAGTATTAATTAGACTTTCGCTTTCAAGGTAACTGACTTTCAATTTAACATCGGTTTTATGTTATGAAGCAAAAAAGCAAAAAAGCTCTCATGACTTGTGATTGTCGGCACAAAAATCCCTAGATTTCAAGTTCAATTAAAAAAGCAAGCTTTATTAAAAAGTTATTAAAAAAGCATAAAGAATGCTCCCTTTTATCTTAATTCAAAAGCTTCTGCCAAATTGGAAAATGTACTCAATTAAAATGCTGTTTACCTGCAATATTGGTATTGCTTTCACTCTAACTTCCAATTCCTTCATCCTTTTTAATGATTCAGCCATTTGTTCTCTTATGTTCTGTAAGATATGAATTTTGTTAATGCCTGAAAATCTTGATTTTTTGTGAAGCATTGAAAGCGAAATTAAACAAGTTCCGGGTTAAGGTGAGTGTCAGTCTCGGAATATGGCTGTTATCAATGAGGCCAATTTGGATGCATTTTAAATGCCGCTCGAAGTAAAAGGACATGAAATTGATGAATTTAAGTGTTAATGACTTTTGTAAATGCAAGAATAATTAATAACAAATAAATTGTGAGACTTTCATTCAAACTTTCATACATATCATAACAATAATAATTATTAAAATCGATTTTGTTTTTATACCCGAAAACAATTTTTCATAATCTTAGTAACTAATAACTTTGCTTGCATTAAATAACGGAATAATCCAGATGTGTCTTTGATTATAGAAGTCAATTGTAAAATCTGAAAATCAGCTAGAATCTTGAAAACAGCATTTTGACTGTATAATGCTTACATTTAATTTAAAACTACTGATAACAAACTTGTAGAAAGAAGCTATTTTTGAGGAAAATACCATTTCTTTTAATATTAACCCTGTGAGAGTCAGGTTTTAGCTATGGTCAAGAAATTGACCATGTGTGTCAAAGAGAATAAAAATTTCAGAAATCAAATAGATTCACTTGAAACTCTATATTTCTGGGGTCGCTGAGTGCGAATCTGGTGTTGGTTACTCAAAATTCAAAACGTCGGATCCAGTATGAAAAATTTTTCAAATATTTGAAAGTGAATCCAAGTAGTTTTTAAACATTTGTACACCATGTTGGATCCGTTATTTTGGATTTTGAAAAAATTACACCGGATTCGTAATCAGCGATCCCGAAAATCCCCGAGTATCCAACCTCAAGCAAATCTATGCAGAAATAAGATGTTAGTCAAAGGCGTAACGCGACAATCAGTCTTTTTAAAAAAATTCGCATCGCATGTAAATCCTGCTGCTCAATTTATCTTTTGAAAATTTGTCAATGTTCATTAAATTCATTCTCGACAAAATTTGGAGTACTATTTACTCATTGTTCTTGACAGCAACTGTAACATTTAGAAAAAACATAATTATATACATATACATAAGCATTACCTGTAATTTCCCGGTGCTTAAATTAGACTTCATATTGCCAAGACCATCAAACTCTTCCCTTGAGGTTATCTCAGATCTTGCAACTTTTAAATCAACTGGTGATTCTGAGCGAACTGCAATCAAAGTTATGCAAGTCAATTTTGGGCTTTATAAAGTGCAGTCACAGGAGTCAGATTAGTAAGTCAACATATTAAATTTCAACTAATCAAAGTGATTTAGCGAGTGATCAAGAAGTCTAGAAACAATTAAATATCTCAAAATATTCTGCTTCTCGAAAAAATTCATTTAAATCTACCTTTTGATTAGTTATAATCTAATCTGTTGCATGAGACTCTTCTCTTATCGAATAAGATTAAAATATATATATATATATATATATATATATATATATATATATCATGTTTTAATAAAATTAAAATATTTCAATTGTTATTTTGAATTGTGGATTATTAAAACTTGTTGGCAGAATTTTTGCTAGTTTTTTATCCACCAGCATGCTTAAAATTCTGGACATTATTTGCTTTAACCATATTGTTACAATTTTTTATACAAAAGTAGTATACATATACTACCGTTCATAATTGTATGGACACCTCTTTTTTCATTACAGTGTAAAAAGCGTTGAAATAAAAAATAAAAAATTTTGTCTAATTTTTTAAAGCTAATAAAATTATAAAAAAATGATGCACTGAGAAAAATGGAGTGTGTATTAATAATAAATAGGACTCAGTCCAGAAAAAGTACATGCGTATAGTGGTAGAGGGCCTCAGTTTAGTACAGTAAAGGACTCAGTGCCAAACTTTGAAACTTTCACATCAATATCGGTAGCAATAATGTTTAACGAGCACGTAACCTGTCAAAATTAATGGCTGGCGGACGCGAGTGTTTTTTTCATTCACTTCACCAATTTTATATAAGCAATAATCAATTATTAAAAAAAGATGTTAAATGCACTCTTAATATATTCATATTCATTAATTCACAAGTTTTATTCTTCCCAAATTTCCATACTTACTAGTGACAACTAAACGCATCGGAAAATCTTACAATCATACGGGATTGAACCTGTACCTAACCATACATCGGCGAAATTGATATTCCAACGAGCATACTTTCTTCTACTTATTAGTTCTCTTCTTCCTTCATTTCTTCTTCTCCTGCAACAACATACTTTTCATTCAAAGCGTCATTCCGATCTGTATCTATAAAGACCCATTTAGACATCGAATAGACGTCGTTAGACCTTTCATTTCTCACTGAGCTCGGCATGAAGTCGATTTCATTAAAGATGTCCGAGTCAATTGGCCATTTTCCTGTAGCTCGAAAATCAGACTTTATAATGATCTACTTGACGGTCAAATATTTTTATGATGTACCTTGGATTTATTCGCATAAATAATTCGAATTGTTTGTAAAAAGAATTTTAAAAAGGTAAAATACACTGACGTCGAGTGGCTGAAGACGATGGGATTCGTGATTGCTTAATGGAGAAGCACATGGTGATCGCGATTTCTCCTATTGCATGAGATTTTAATATTTCTTAAACTTACATGTAATGTTCAGTCCACTTTCCAGTTAAACAAAAGAATAACATTGGACATTTAAAAACTTATTTCAATGAAGTTTCATTAGCTACGCTACTAAACACTCTGAAGGTTGCAGTCAAGTTAATTTCAATTTTCAGGAAAATTTCCGTGCCCTGTGAGTGCACAAGTGAAGATTAGCAAATCTTCCGCGTTCGGCTGAAGCGATTTGTCCGACTCGGTTCCGATCACAACATGAGACTACGCAAACTGTCTCAACTGTCTGGTGCGCACATATTGAACAGTAATTCGAAATAAAGCAGCAACATTCATTGAATTGAATGTACAAGCCCTAGACGAGCTAGTTGCTTCGGGGTTTCTCAGCGACAATTGAGGGTCCCGATTAAAGAAACGGTTATCATTTTTTTAAATTTTTAACGTTTTCTCAACGTGCTTGAAGAGTTTAAACCAGAAAGTCAAATCTGATGTTGTCCATTGGAACTAATTGCCTGATCCCTCTTCACAGGTGAGCAAATGGTTGAAAGTAGATACGATTGAAACTGCCGTTCAATCCTTTGATCAATTCTCGAACCCAAGAGGTAATATTTGGAGAATAAAAAGACTTCATTAGTACTGACTATCAGAGTGGATGAAGTATCAAGACTGCGGTCACTCTTTAAAATTGTGTGGCTTTTATAGTCACAGCTCTTCTTAATTCTTGGAAAAAGTTCTCGCAAACTCGCGCAAATGCGGGAATGATGGGGTGAGATTTGTACAATATATAGGTATAGCATTGATGGAATTAAACTTTCCATGTCCCGACTGATGGCTCGCAACACGTGTGAGATACATTTCTTTGAATTTTGAGGGTTCTGAATGTAGGACAAATTATCTCTTTCATTCTATACTGTTCTATACTTACATAATAATGCATTCTTGTTTTCCGTTTCGTTTTTGTACGATTCAGAAGAACGCAGCAGAGCAGCTTCAAAATCATCAACAACGTCACTTAAATCCAATTCTGATATGTAGTTAGTATTGGCATCTTTCACTACATTTGGTTTCGATGAAGAAGGCTCATCAGCAGTATAACTTGTGTTTGATAATTCTGTAGAATTTCCAATTGGTTTAGGAGAAACAGAACTTACCTAAAACGAAAATTGGAATGTAGTAACAGCTGCAGGTCACAGTCGTTATTGAAAAAATAAAAGTTAAATTATTTGAGTTTAATTTCCTTTTTTAATATGAAATTTAATTTTGCATTGCAGGAAAAAGTTCTTACCAATCCGAGAAGGAATTCCATAGATTGACATTGTCTTCTACGTTCTTTCTTCTCTCGTCTGTCAACGCCAGACCGACTACGACATCCTGCAGCTACGGCTTCACAGTAACGAACAAAGTCCAAATCTATGTGATATCCATAAGGACAACATATGCACTTTGCACAGATAGTGGTCGATAAAGAACCATTTTTCACTAAAATAAAGGAAAAACCGATATTAAAAGACTTGATAAAAATGATCAGAAAGTTAGAAGCAGTACAAGGTTGTACAAGGATGTACATTTTCATATACATTATATTGTACGTAACCAGTTGCGGAAATTGGACATGAACACGTACGAGTTCCACTGTTAAAATTTCTGCAACCGGTCACGTGCAAGATCATGTCTATTTCAAGTACATGATCGTGTACATGATCGTGTACATGAAAATACACCTGATCTTGTACGTGATAGTTTTCTTAAAGGTTAACAGCTGCGCAATAGTTTTTTACAGGCATAAATAAAACGTCCTTACAATTATAATTTATTACTTCCTTAAATTTTATGCAAAAAATTTTGTTTACAAATGAAATACCACAGAAAAAAAGATAGTATAAATTTTGTTGCGGGGAATTTTAACCAATGCCAATTCACATAGAAAGTGGCGCCCTCACTCAGGTGAAAATTTGTTGCAGCGAATATTTACCCCAAAATCAGGTTAAAATTTAAACTTTGTTTTTCTAGTGACTGGATATACTCACATTTATAGTGAATATGTATTTAATTTTAATGTTACTTTTTAAATTATCTTACCTTTTTGGGGGGTTTGTGTAGAAGAAACAAATAGAGCCATATTTTAAAAACTTTTATAGTCTCGGACCTGAAATAAGAAAAATTGACCTAATTTTTGAAATTGTTACAAAATTTTGTTAACATTATGTAAGTAAGTAAGTATTGATACATCATTATAATGACATACGTGAAATGTTGAAACAAATATAAAATTTATAAACACAAAAGGCAATTGACTTTATAAGAATTTACATATTGACTTATTAAATGAGATCTATTCATTGAGATTATGTAAGTAAAAAAGGATTACTGAGAAGAATTGGAGAAAAATTTAATAGGAAGAGTGTAAAAGGGTTCGAAGGAGAGAATAAGAGTTAAAGAAAGTATTGAATCTCATTCAGGGTGACCATCGAAATTCGCGGACAAAATTCAAGGCTAATTCATCATTCTTTACCGGTTTTCAAGAGATTTTCAAGGTTTTAAAATTAGTTCTTTTGTACGAAAATGTTTCAAGGCTGAGTGACCATCCCGTCATTGAAATAAAATCATTTTTTATACATTATACTAATATACCTTAATATAGAAGACGAAATATGAAATCACTCCAGGAAATAGCCATGTTGCAATAAAACAAACAAGTTCAGCTGTGTCTCATGCACTGAAAAAATGTATTTTTATTATATAATTTGGCTTAATACTACCATAATAATAATAATTATTACACTGATAATTATGATACAAACAGTTTTATACGCAGTGTACTCTAGTTATAATCGTGATGCAAATTTTACGCTTGTACGATCATAATTATAGAAATAAGTTATTCCATAAAATGCGATCAAAGCATGCGGAAAAAACTATTTTTTCATAAAAGAAAATCTAAACTGAACATAAAAAAATATTGTCTGCGAAGCGGAACGCATAAATATTCCACATTTCGGAAGAACAAGATTGAAACAAAAATTTGATTTTGTTTCTCCCTGATTTCTAGACAGAATTTAGACTTTTTTCCTGACCGTAAAAAAAGTTCCGATTTATTCTAAAAATGATTAGGTACACAAAAATGTTTGTAATACATTTATTTGTGAATATATTTTTAATTGTAAAATTATTCCAAACATCATTACTTTTATTTTAGGTAAATATTTAACCTTTATTATTTTCCATATAGGAATTAATATTTTCAAAAATTTCAAATTTTCAACCTTTTGAAATTCAATATGTAATTTATAAGATTGCTACCTACTGTAACATCTCCAAAATTATTTTCATTGATTTTAATTCAATTCTTTTGTGGAATTTTTAACTAAAATTCTTCTCTAACCTTCGCGCTACCGGCTGGCCACACGGTGTGGAATGTTGTATATTATCTGCTCGACTTTTGTATCAATCGAATCGCCATTTTAACTCACTGGACAAAATTTTTCAGTTAATTTGTATTAACACATAACTATATACAAAAGCGTTGATGAATTTTAATCGTTTTGGGAACATAAAAGTAAAATAGCGTTTGGCCACACCGTGTGGCCAGCCGGTAGTCCGCATATACAAAAATCTTCGGTAGCGCGAAGGCTAAATCAATTATTTTTGAGTAAGTTTTTTGAAAATTCAAATATTTAAAGGGAAAAGGAAAGTTCACATATAATATTCCTGAAGTCTACTTATTTACAATTCAATTTCCTGAATGGAAGGAAACAAACTGCCATTTTAACCCTAGAACAAGGAGCGACTGAATTTTTTCTTACACTAAGCGGAAACTGAGGTTCTTTCGCTCCTTAAACTTGAATTTTGTTTTTAAACGTTAGTATTAAATTAGATAAAAAAGAACTTTTATGATAGTGAATTTTGCTTGTTATTTAGTATGATGACAATGGTATATAATTCATTTTCTAACTAAGTGAACCTTTTTTTTAATTGAATATATTAAATATATAAAAAAAACATAAAAGTTTTGCAAATTCTTATTCTTTACAAAAAATACTACAATTTTTCGACATTTCGACCAAAATAAAATAGAAGAGGATTTTTCCTCTAAATATGAGATTGTTTATATTTTCTTGTAAATATTTGCCATACTGAATTTATTAGATTTTCTATGGTTTCAATATATTTTGTATTGTCCAATTTTTATTTTCATAAATCTTAAAAATAAGCACATAAAATTTTTATTAAATTGATTTGTCATTTTTGAGAATTTTAATCCAACTTTTATGTAACAGATTCTTTAATTTTAATTAACTTTAAACTTACAAAGAACTGAAAAATTATTGAGTTTTGCAACAATCTGACAAAGTGGTCTTTTTCTGTTTTTTTAATTAACTTACACGTTTATAACAATAATAAGCCAATAAAAACTTTTTAATTCGAAATGTGAAACCCTGTAAAGAACTGAGGGTTTCTTTCACAATTTAAAAAATGTAATTGTCTTGGAAAGTAAAACAAAGTGGTCCCTTATTTTCATTCAAACGTTCTTCACCCAGAAAAAAGTAATTTCATGTTATTAGAAAAAATTGTCTTCTAATATTCTCTCAAAACAAAGGTACTCTATTTTAATATAGAATAATTTTATTTTTTGGTGATCATTAATAAGACAAGAAAAGTTTTTCCGTTTTTGATGTCAAAAAAATTAATTTCAAGTGCAAGTAAAATAAATAAATAAATAAATTTATTAATTAACTCTCGGAGAACACATAGGATCATTCTGACCTCGCGTTTTTTTTACGAAAAGCTTTTTATCTATTGTTTAATATTTTTTATAAGGATTTTAAAGTATACAGACTTATTTTACAGAGTTTAAACTTTATTTGAAAAAAAAATCTTTTGGTTGATCAGATGAACAGATCAAAATTGGTTGAGCATTGAAAGAGGTGTGTTCTACGAAGGTTTAAATCTTTCTTACCTATACAGATTCTTAATTTTTAAAAATTAATTATTTCCGTATTAATTTAAAATACCTTTAACCGTCTCCAAATTTATTTATAGTTACCATTTAGTTACCTATATAGCACATGCATTTATCAAGAAATTTGCAGAAAACTATATTTTTCGATACAATTTTCTTACAAGTTCTATGTGGTTTCTGCTGCAGAATTTCAGTGCAAACTTTTTGAAAAACAGTGTGGTATGTGGGTGACTATAATAACCCACACAAATGTAACTTATTAATTAATTTCTTCGAGTGATAAACGAAAGCAGAAACCAGATAAATCTGTTAACACGTCCGTGCAGAAACCAAAGGCGATAAATTTTGCCAAGAAATACTCAATATATTGTTTATTACTAATTTATCACTATGTATTATGATTTAAAGTTATTTGATTTTAGCCGTCTGAAATATGAACTGCTTTTCTATTGAAAAATACATTTCGCGTTAATCTATTCTTATCTCCTTTCAAGTAAATTAGCCTTTAGGAAGATTACAATGTCATCGTGGATTGGTCGGCAATTTACGTTTAATCTTTTTAACGAAATAACAACCTTTCTATTATCTGTGAAATGACTGTGAAATTTGATTGTTTATAATTTTGAACATTTTGACATCTGTTAATTTGAGAATGTTTGAGAATGTTTGAGAATGCCATTTATAGAGTTGAAAAGTTGCCCACGCAAATATTTATTGACGGTCACCTTTTTCTAGACCTCAGAAATAAACGTATTCAATGACAAGGATAGGTAATGCACGTACGAGAGCAAGAAGGTAGGGGGTCTGCATGAGTGCGAGACAAAAAAGTGGTACAGATCGCGAGGCAAACACCATCGTGTGGGAACGCTATAAGAGGATGAAGTAATAGAAAGAGAAGGAATCTTGCAGCTAAGAAGGATTGAGCACGACAGAAAACATCAACCTGTACATGGGAGGCAGAATGTATTATTGTATTTTTACCCAAACACTTGACCAGAGAATTTATTATTTTTCACTTGCACATTATTTTGAGAACGTGTAATTGCTAAATTTAATGCACTGCAATAAGTCAAAAAACAGCACTTTCACTTTGCGGGCTTTGCGGTTAGAGAAACGATCGCACTCTACGAGAGGTAACAACTGCGGATTCTGAGAGAACTGCTCCAATGGCAGTTATTTCGTCTCCTTCTCCGGTGTCTTCTCCTACCTACATTTCCAGTTACATCAGAGATACTTCTATTTGTATTATTATTGTATAATTTTTTACATATTTCTTTTCACTATTTAAAATCACTATTTAAATCATTACGCCATACTGAAAGAAGAACAAGGTGCTCTAGACCTTACGAAAATTATTTATACCATTTTCAGTCAAAATTCTCTACACTTTTATTATTTCGTATGGATAACTAATTAACACTATACACATATCTATATAACGTCACCTTATACATTTTTTTATAAGGTACTCTCAATTATTCTCCAATTTTCAAATTCTCACATTCTCATTTACCCAATTTCAATTAAACTTACACTACTGACAAGGACGCAAATTGCGCAATTACTACCTTTAATTATTGTTTATTTTCTACAACATATTATAATTAACCATTTTTTTTCTCCAAGGCACTAAAATCTATAAAAATTTATCAGAAAATAAGTCTCAAACATAAGGGTTAATTAATTAGGAAGAAATAAAAAAAATTCTTCAGTTTGCAATATTGCACTAAAATAAAGATAATTTTATTTCTGAAATAATTTACATGTTTTAATGATCTTTGACTTATTTTAAAGATAATTTTTCGTGCAACTTAAATATAACTATTAGTTAGTAATATGTGATAATTTTCTCAGGGAATGTGCCAGTTCTTCACGTTGATCTAAGAAATTATGACAAATTCTTTTGAATATTTTTTGAGATACACTATATTTATTATAGATACAAAATTTTAAAAAAATTGACCCCAATAACTTTTACCAACAATAAGTTATGCGGTTCAGCGGTTTCAAAGAAAAAATGCTACAAAATTTCAAAGTTGTATGTCTCCTACGTTTATGAATATTTTTCCAAAATGTTTCACAAAAAAATTCCAGAAGGAATTTTCCCAGATCATTTACCATAGAATTGTTCAATTTGACTTTTTTCGTTTTTATATTTCGATGAACCAATTTTAACCATTTTCGGTAGTTATGTTGAAGATGTTATTTCAAAGTTTTACAAATTTAAAAGATTAAAACTATATGGAATATTGTTGTACAAAATTAAAAAACCATTTTTGCTGATCTTCAAAAAACTCATGAAAATGGACAAAATAACCATTTTTCGGACATTTAACTTAAATTTACAAAAAATCCTTTTAACATGATGGACAATTTTAGTGATTAGATTTAAATTCTAACGCAAAATATTCTATACCTATACAATAAGAATTACTTCTGTCCCTTATCTTGTAACGGAAAACACTGAAATTTCGCAGGCCTAGATGTATTTTTTATAGTCTTAGAATGTTATAAAATATTCATTTTTTAAATTTGTTAAATAATTTATAAAAATCTTTAATTTTTAAAATTATTTCTTGTTCTAACTTCAACGATTGCAACTGATATCTTTTTAATTGAAGACTAAGGATGATATATACGAACTCACCCAATTGCGTTCTTTTCATATGTTTCTATAGAAGTATCCAAAATTATAATTACATTATTTCAATACTTTTCACAGTAAAGCTATTTTATAAATTAAAATAGGTTTTATATTATTTAGATGTATTATTTTCATAATGTTACTAAATTTAAAAGTAGCTCATGTTAGAAATTTGGAAGGAATAAAGTGAGGAAACTTCTAATCGCGTTTGATATGACGCATGCATATAATTGAACACCTTGATGTAAGAACCAGGCGCAGCCCATTTAAATTCAGTGCTCTATGTCTGGTTCTTGCATCAAGGGCTTCACTATTATACGCGAATATATCTATTAACTCTGTTTGATATGTTACTAAATTTTTTTACAATAAACAATATGAAAGATTATAATTAAATATTTAATTGAAAGTTTATGATTATAATTATAATAATTTATGATTATAATTTAATACGTATATTTAAATTTTTATTTCATACCAATTTTACACTTAATTATGGAGGTGAGATCTGCAAGAAAAATATTTTTCAAAATGGAATTTCGTGCAAATTATTTAATTTTGATAAGAAAGTTTGAATTTTTAAAAAATTTAAAACAATTATATTGATTGCAAAATTAACGTAATTTAAAGAGTTACCAGTTCTTCTTCAACACACAAAGAAAAACAAAGTCTGAAATCATTTACATTTTAAAATCAAAATAATTGAAAAGTATCCTGCTACTTTTAAGCCTAAAACTACATTAAGTAAATTTTAGGACTTAAAATTATACTCTCAAAGCTAAAATTTAGTTATAAATGGTTCTACTGTAAATAGTTTTAGTCAAAAGAGGGGTGAAATTAAGATTTATTATTTTTTACAGTTTAGACTTATACATAGGATGATCTGTCTTAACAGATATCAAAAAACAGTTTGACACCGTCTGGAGAGACAGACTTCTGATCAAATTGATTAAATTAAATTTATCTCCCTCGAGAGTTATATTATTCTAAAATGGCCGCGCTACCATACTTCACTGTTCAAATTAACTCTCAGTGAAGTTAACTTTTAACTCCCAATATTTTACTTTTTTTCTTTTTACTTCAAAAGCAGAGTGGGACTTTTGAAAAATCCTGTTTGAATTTAAAAATTGATGAAAAATTTCTGTATGAAATATTTTTTAATTTTGAGGGCTAAGCAGTTGATTTTACAATGCTAAGACAATGAAACTTTATAATATCGGTTTAAAATTTTATAAATTTTATATAAAAATAATTATTTTCTTTGTAGCAACTGGTGACGTACACGACCTTGCACATGAAAATATGCATGATCTTGTATTTTAAGAGACTTGAAATTTTTGGTTAAAAAAAATGAAAAATTGAAATTTTTTGGTTTTTGGCTAAACTCTGGGCTGTGGTTGTCCCGATGGTCGTAGTTTTTAAATACATTTCTTTTTATATATTCCCAATAAAAGGAGAATTCAGACGCAATAATCTGCCTCTGCAATCTGCCTGCGCAGGCAACAGCATCAACAAGATAGAGATGCATTATGTTTAAACAACATTTTTTAATTGTGTTGTGGATTTAGTCGCATAATTCAATACAAAGTAACTTAACAACAACAAGGGTATTGACATGATAGCGTTATAATTATTTATATTTTCTCATCCACATCTACAATATAGTACATTATCTAAAGAAGTGTAAATATATTTACCTTCGCTATCTTTAAATCTTCGGAAGCACAACTCTTTCAATATTTTGCACTTTACGAGAAGAGGTGTAATTATAGAATTTCAGTATCTTTTAAACTCATTTGTTGAGAGTATCATTTTGCAAATTTTATAACTAATATTAAGGAAATGATTTGTTTTCTAAATAGAAGAGTTCTTTTTCTAAGAAAAGAAATAAGTTTCCGAAGATACCTAAGTGCACAGGAAATAATGAATCGAGATAGAAAATATGGGGCTCATCATTTCCAACCCTTACCAGTTGTTTTAATTAAAGGAGAAGGAAGCCATGTATGGGATGTCGACGGAAAGAAATATCTCGACTTCATTGCTGGTTTCGCCACTTTGAACCAGGGACATTCTCATCCTCGATTAAAGAAGATTATGCATGAGCAAGTGGAACTTATTGCTCACACTTCTAGAGCATTTTTTACAAAGCCACACGGAGAATTGGCTGAATACTTGACAAAACTCTTGGGATGGGATAAATTTTTACCTATGAATACAGGTTTCTTATTGCATTATTAAAACATTATTTTTCTCTATGAATAGAAATTTTATTTGATTGTATTGAATCTAGAATGTTTCACTTATTGTTTCAAACAGAATATTTCATTCGAGAAAAATCGTTTCAACCTTGCAAGTGTATAATGATAAATATTAATTAAAATTACAGGTGTTGAAGCCGGCGACACGGCATTGAAACTAGCTCGTAGATGGGGATACAGAGTCAAGAAAATTCCAGAAAATAAAGCTGTTGTTATTTTTGCAAATAATAATTATTGGGGACGTTCGTTAGCAGCTATTTCAGCATCTACAAACCCAGTATTTTACGAGGACTTTGGCCCAGTAATGACGCAATTTGAAAAAGTTCCTTATGATGATCTAGATGCCTTGGAATTAAAATTTAAAAACAACCCCAATATTTGTGCTTTTATGATGGAACCAATACAAGGCGAAGCAGGAGTCATTGTACCGAAAGTAAATAAACATTTAAAAACTAAAAATTGACAGAAAAAAATGACTAGTGATCTAAATTTGCACTAAATTTTAAAAGTATCAACTAGTTACTAATTTTGGGCAAACTTAAAAAAAAGTTTATAAAGCGAGCAGGTTCCGCAATGGAAAAACTTCCCATGTGATCATTTTCAATGTTTCAGTTTCTGTTGCAAAAACTTGTGTATGAAAACTGACGTGATTTGATACATGAGGGTCTTGATCAAAAAACCATATTTAAAACTCAAAATTCTCTACCTCCAAACAAAAAAATGAATTAAAATTTTAATTTCTTATAAGAAATAGTATATTAAGCAACAAGGGAATAAAGGCAGCCATTTTATTAAACACAAAAATCATCGTAAAGAAATCGGACTGCCTTTATTCCCGTGTTACTTACGATATTTTTCATTCTTAATGCTCAAAAGTGTCGATTTCATATAGCAGACGACAGGGAGTAAAAGTTATTCACTTATTCGACTTATATGAAAACGGCGTTAATTTTTACCCTAGGGCTAAAATGACGCGTGGAAACAGCTTTTATTTTTGCCCTAGGGTAAAAATGAACGCCATTTTCATACGGTCGAACAAATGAATGACTTTACGCCCTTGTCGTCAAATTCAAAAAGAACCATTTTTACACAAATAATTATGAATATCTCATTTGGGCGATGTTTCCAAATCTTTGGTCTCACCCCAAATAATTAATCAAAAAAGGTACAAAAAAAATTTTTCCTGCAAGTTTGAGGCAAATCAAACAATATTAACACGTGCCTCTAGCCGACTGAAATTTTATACGGAAAATACATGTAATTTTTCCTGGACATCACTCAAAATTTGTTCAAGCTTATACAAATTTATTTATAATTCTCAAATTTTGGGTTCTTCTATAGTACATGATAAGAGGTACAAATTCTAATTTTTTCAAATTTTTTTGAAATTATTTGCTCAATTTACAATCTTGATGAATATTAATATGAATGTATATTAATATATGTGACCGCGTCTGAGAAAAGGGACCTTATGACCAAAAAAATTTTTTAACCCGGAACTTATTGCATTTCATTTTAAGGACCTTAAAATGTAAAAAACCATCTAAATCTAAAAATCTATTTTTTTGGTCATATATGTATAAGGTCCCTTTTCTCAGAAAAAGAGAAGAAAAATATTCTCCTTAAAGTAAAATGGCAAGTTTTTTTTTATTATAGCATTAACTTATTGAGAATTTCCATTCCATTGAAAAGTTGGGTCCCTTCTAAAATATTCATGTGTAATTTAACTAATTTGACATGTGCTAACTTTCTATGTTGTTTTTATGGAAAAGCAAAATAATAACGAAATTCTGTTCTTTAATTAGCTGATTCCGTGATCTACATAAAAAGGATAAATGCAATTTAAAATTGCCTTTTCCTCTTCTCCCACCTGATTATGCTTGTGGACTAAAATAAAAAAGAAATCTTGTCACATTGAAAGTAATGAAAATTCGCTAATGTATCTATTGTCTTTTTTACTTAGGTAGGATATTTAAAAGGCATAAGAAAACTATGTACAAAATATAAAGTATTGTGGATTGCTGATGAAGTCCAAACTGGATTAGGTAGAACAGGGAAGCGTTTAGCTGTAGATCATGAAGAAGTGAAGCCTGATATTTTGGTCCTTGGTAAAGCTTTATCCGGTGGAATGTATCCTGTGTCTGGTATTTTGGCGGACGAAGAGGTAATTTTTTATTTTTTGCATAGTATCTAAAAATACGTGAACCAAATGAAGGAAGTTTGAAAGGCAAGGACGCCCTCTGGCCTAGGACAGATCTGTTAACTTAATGGTTTTTTGTAACTAGGCCAGTCTTTGTATGCAAAAAGTACCACTTAAATTAAACCCCCCTTTCCGTCACATAATTACTCGTTATAGTCACGTTTTACTAAACTCATGATTTCTTTTATCCTCTCATCCAGTTGATGTTATTACTCGAGGCTGGTACACATGGAAGTACTTTTGGGGGAAGTCCGTTAGGTCAAAGAATAGCAATCGAAGCTATGCGAATATTAGAAGAAGAAAATCTTGCTGAAAATGCCAAGAAAATGGGTGCTATTCTTAAAGAAGAATTTGAAAATTTGCCTAAATCTCAAGTTTCAGAATTCAGAGGCCGCGGATTATTAGCAGGTTTAGTGCTTAATAAAGGTAAATCTCAAGTTTAACAAAAACAATTTTGCTAAATTCATTTTGCATTGTACACATTGTTTGTACCCGATATGAATTTTGGAAAACTAAAATTACGAAATAATTGTGTACGATTTTCATGTGTGGCAGGTGACTAAAAAACAATAATTTTTTTCATTCGGTCAGTCCCTTAAAAACGTGATTAAAATGTCAAAAAATTGCATTTTTAGCACTTTTTGAAGTTCTGCAAAATAAAAACGCAACATAATAAAAATCACTACAATGGCTTAATTGAGAACTTATACCATCAATTACTTTAAAGCCCAGAATTGATAGATGAGTGACAATCGCGGGAAATCTTTTCTTTTATCAAAAAATCGTTATTGCAAACAGTTAAAATTGTTGCGGGTTATGAAGCATTTAGTAATAATCGATTACCATAACAGGATTTACTAGGAAACTATTTTTTGGGATTTTTTTTAGAGAATAAATTTTAGACTTTATCAATAAAACTCAATGACATTAATAACATTATTAATTATATAAAAACGGGACAACTTGTGCTTATAGTTTCTAAATGCTGCTTTTTAACAAATATGATATTTAAAAAATTTGCTTTTCTGTAGATTTTGCAGACGGCTGGGACTTTTGTTTAAAATTACGAGACGCAGGATTATTATCAAGACCTTCATATGGTCAAATTATCAGAATAGCTCCACCACTCGTAATTAATGAAGACGAACTCCGTAAAGGAATTAATATTATTATTAATACATTAAATAACTATACCAAGGCATAAATGTAAAAGTTATTTAGTTATACAGATTAAAGCAGTAAGGAACTCAAAAATTATTCTTAATAAATTGTACAAAATTATAACTTTATTTATTATAAATATTTCTTTAGCTCATTATTTTATTAAATACACATTTTTCTAAATGTGTTATTATCGCAATCATTTAATTGCTATATTCATGTTAAGGTGGCTGTCTCAACAGTAAATTAATAAAATAATATGTGCATTAATAATATAATAATATGAGGTTTAAGCTACAAAATTTTTTTGTATACTTAAGATCACGTCAATTTTTGTACATACCAAAGTTTCCGTAACAGAAAGATTAGTGATTTTTAATCAACTCTTCAACCTAAAAAAACATTTTACTCGTGCCTTCAATTTATGATAGCTATTCTGATTATGAAATCTTGTCAGGAACGTATTCGGCAGACGCAAAAATTATTGACTCAAACGCCCCAATACTCTTGATGTGTCATAGTGGAATGAATATGTTTCAGGCCTCTGATCGGTTCCTGTATTTTGTTTCCTGTTTTTTAAATTAAACACAATCCGCGCCTCTCTAACTCCCCTATCTACTTAAGGTTTATGCGATAGTTTATTTGTAACTAAAAAAGTAAAAAAAGCTTTTGTAAGTTATTGGTGCCTCAATACTGGGATGAGGATAGTTAATACAATTTTAATGCTAAAAATGGTATAAAAAGTCTGTAAAATAATTTTTCTTTTAATTTTATTGAAACAAATTTCTGCAGAACTAAGCTCAGAAATGTTAACAATTTTCATTGATCATCCACAACTGCGTCTTAATTTTGTTGAACACCAACGTTCTTGGAGCATATACCAAAGTTTTTAATCGAATGCCTTAATCTTACGTTTTTTTAAACAAAAATATATTTTAATCTTAAAAAACAACTTAAAAATTTGTTTCTGATTTTTCAACCGTGTCATTCGGACCATTCAGACTGCATGATGTTGTATAACCTTCAAATGATTTTCCTTCACATGCACTCTTCTCAAAAGTTTTGCCAAATTGTCATTAAATAAATCAAGTTAATTGAAAAATTAATACGTGACGCATTCTGTCAAAAGGGACCACAGCAACATTAGACAGGACTACACACGTCTAAAATATTACCATAAATACGTACGAGTATCTATGTTTTTCATTATTTGCAATTATGTGTTAATATAATATCATTTTTAGTTACTTCATTATGCTTAAATATAATGCAATCAATTTTCTTTGACAGATCCAAAATTATGTTTATAATTTTGTTTTTCGGTTGGTTTTGATTGTTGGCCTATTGTTCTGGAGAGCCATGAACTTGTTTATAATTTTACATAAGTCAAACATTACCGATACATATAGTAGAGACTCCATTATCCGGATAAATTTAATATTTTGAATTTTCACACGAAACGTCGCGTTTTTATGTATTTTAATGATTTTGAGAAAATGTTTATGTAAATCTTTTGAAATATTCCTAACTAAACATTTATTAATGTTGACTTTGAGAGTTTTCTTTCGTTTCAGTCTTATTTAAATACATAGGGGAGATTCGGGTATCCCCGGACACTCTTAATTTCTAATAAAATAATGTGTTTTTACTATTGAAATAAATTAAAAATGATAGGGGAGAGTCTCCAGTTGTGAGACAGTTTTTTTTTGTAACAAGCAATATTAAAAAGCCGATTGGTTTATATAAAAACATTTCTTTTTATATGAGCCAACATTTTCGTGTACGCCGAAGCGGATATATAAACTGTTTTTGTTAAATACCAACACTGTGTGTGATAATCGACTCAAAAGCGTTGTTTCAATAAATGCAAAGTACTTTTTTTCCAAGTTAATTAATTGGAAAAGGTAAATGTAATGCATTTTCTTTTAGTGTTTTCCTTATATTTTGTGATGCAATATTGCATTGTTCTATTCGACGGTTGAAAATTGTAATTTAATTTTCCTTTTTCAAAATAGCGCCAATTTCTGGGTGTGAGACACAGCATATCACCAGTTGTGAGACGGTGTCAACACCCATCTGGGCAGCATAAAAAATACGACTTTGCAAGCATGTCAAGTGGAAAAAAGTCAATTAATTCAGAAGAAATCAATTTTAATGCTCTTGTTGAAGCTATTAAATTGTGTTTATTTGATAGTCATATTTTGGCGAATAAATATTATTATTTAGTATATAATAATATATATTATTAATATATTTAATTATTTCTACTAAACATAACGTTTTATGTCAAACTTATTAAATTTTAGCAATTTTTAATGAGTGTCTCACAACTGGAGACATTTTTTTTTTTTTGACAAAAGCGATGTGCTCGGAAAATGTATCGTAAAATTTTTTGAGTTCATCGAAACACTGTACTTTCTTTTAATAAAAGTTGCGTATTTCTGTTACCTTTCGAACGGTGTATTTTATTTACAATTTCGTTTACCCGTTTAATAAAACCCGTCTCACAACTAGACACTCTCCCCTATATAATAAAGTTAACCTTTTATTTTTGAAATATTGACTCAGTTTTTTCATTTTCTTTTATTAAAAAACTTAAATTTTCTAAAAGCCTAAAAGTGTCCGGACACTTTAGAAAACGTCACATTGAACGTCTTATAAAACCTTATTTTATGTTGACTTTCTGTGAATATTAAATAGATTTTTCAATTTATTTCTATTACATGGTCTATTTTCATTGTTGTAGATATAATTTGATGTTAGTTTATCAAGTCCAAAATAATTAAAATATAAAATATTTTCGCGCATGTCCGGGGCCTTATTTTTTTCCCAACAGGTTTGATTATTTTAAAATTGAATTTATGCTAAAGGTTGAAAGAAGCATTCTGTTTGACATACAAAAATTTAATTAATATTCCAAAAATATGAACACAAATTATTCACCAAAAAGCTTTGGTTTATTTTGTAATTTTTTCGATTATCCGGATTGGTGCCTGCATCCATTAGTCCAGATAATGGGGTCTCTACTGTATTTAAAATCCTTGCACGCAAGACTTTCTCACACGTTTACTTATTCAAGTACTTAACTAAAAGACAAAACTAGGTTATAAATATAATTTTTTGCTGTTTAGGTCCCTTTCTTCATTGTGCATCTCATACGATATTTGTATTCAGCAAACATTTTAGTCCAGAAATCACTTACATGACTAAATATTTCTAACAATCGATATATATATATATATATATATATATATATGTATCAAAGAATATAACAAAAAGTAGAAAAATATTTCAACAAAACTGTGGTTTGCCTAAATAAACTTGTGGCTTTTACAAATGCGGGTTGTGATCTTTATTTTATTCAGATTTCAGTTCTGCTTATTTTTAAATTGTAGTTTAAAGACTGATTTGAGGTATTTAATTATATAAAAAAAAGGTAGAGACCAATGAGAGAAGATATAATTAAAAACATTAGTAAATAATTACACCAAAATATTCTCTTATGAATATTTATTAAAACATTATACGACTACTTTTTATTGGTGAATTATTTACTAAAAACTAATAATTAAAAGTTTCCATAAAATGAAACTGGCTCGTTAATTATCTAACAAGGTTTTCGTTATCAATAAAGAAATAAAAACATATTTATTTTGTCAACATCTCTAAATTTTTAAACAGTTTAATCACTAAGCAAATAGCCTCGTGAAAAAGAAATAATTTAAAAATCCCTCATCTTCTTCATGTGAATTTTCAATTTCACTCGATTTATCCTTTTCTTGGACATCTATAATGTTGCTTTTCATTTGCGGTGAGAGTAAAATTTCACATTTTGACGAAATTATGTCCGACTGCGTATTGTCTAATTCATTATTTTTCGACTCTTCATTCGAAGTCTTGTCATCTGATGTTTCTTTGTCGCAAGTCTGTTTGTCTGCAACAGTTGTCAAAAGTTTCTCTCTTTCTTCCTTATATTTTTTGTAGTTCCTTGTTGCTTCTCTCATCCGGCATAAATAATCTGGCAACCCTGAAAAAATAAAAAGATGAAAATAAGTAATTTGTGCTGTAAACCAAAAAGGTAAGTCCTGGATAAGAGACTTGACTAAATAAAAGAGGTGATCATCTCAAATTCTTCTTCTTTTTCTTAAATGAACAAGAAGATATTAGTGCGATTTTTGTGTATTAGAACACTAGCATTAACCATTATTAATTTTATTATTAAATAAAATACAATTCGCTACTTACCGCTCATCGCAACCCACGAGGTGACAGCAGATGGTATATTCATCCCAGGATCATCGAAATATGTTAACCCAAACTCTATTCCATAGTCATTTATTTCTTTATAAGGCTTTATAACCATGTAAGACCAGTAAGATTTTACTCTAAAAAGATTAAAGTTGTAATAAAAGTAAAGTAATGATAGTGTGCTAGTGGTACGTTATGATAATCAGAATATATTTTTATCTAATACACTTATATTCTTCAAATTAAACTTCTAACAACATATACAAAAGACGAATAAATATTATATTGTCATGCCACACCGAAGCCAATTGCTTGTTAATCGTTTAAAAATGACCTACATAAGATTACTGGGGACTTTTCTAGTTCTTCTTTCTTTCTGAATAAAAATTTATCTGTGGCTGATAATTTTAATAATTCCCTCAAGTTACTGGCAACAATTAGCGAGATTTATACCTTTTGGTTAGAAATATTGTCTATGTTGATGACTGAATAAATCTCAACATTAAAGAAAGCAATGGTCGTATTCCTAACAAGCTATACGAAATTAATCATGTCGCCTCACCAAACATAATGGCTAATACAAGAAACCCGAAATCTTATAAGAAACTTATGCTAGAAGAATAAGTTACAGGGTGGCCACTTTTTTTGTAAAAAAAAATTCACGGTCATTTCCCGGTCCATTCCCGGTCATAAATTATTTTTCCCGGTCATAAATAATAACTCTGAAAATAAATTATTCAATGAAAGATTGAAAGAATTTCCTGATTTTTAGACAAAACTTTGACTTTTTCCCAAACCCTAAAAATATTTTAGTTTACTCTAAAAATAATTTTTAACTTAAATAGATTTTTTGAAATAAATATTTAATTATTATCCATTATTTTTTCATATAGTAGGTACTCAAATTTCAAAAAAAATTCAAATTTCAAATCCTTTAAATTTGAATAATTTTTAAGAATTGCTACTGCAACTTATTAAAAATTATTTTCAAAATTTCAATTCAATTATATTCTAGAAATAACTAAAATATTTCTAAAATCCACTTGTTTACAAGACAATTTCATGAAATTTTGAATAATTTGAAAATTTTTCAATTAAATATTACATATTTAAAAACATAACTAATTTGAAAAAATGTGAATAAAAATATTTTTAAAGACTAAATTATTCAGAATTTTTAATTAAAATCTTTTAAAATTCAACTTTTCTAAAACTTCAATTTGAAATTTTTTAAAATTCAATCTATAATAATATTAGTAATATTAATTTAACATTCTAAAAAATCGAAAAATTTGCTTATGAATAATTGTAAAAAAACTAATTGATATTAATGAAAAATACGGTTTTTTAAAATTTATTTTCTAAGAAAAGAAATTTTATTTATTTTTATTTACTTTATTTATTATTCAAAAATTCATTTTTATAAATTTCGTATCACTTTTGTTCTAATTAGTTCAAATTTTTAATAATTCTTATTTGTTTTGTTATAATAATAATTGCAAAAAAATTTTTAAATTGATTTATTTTTCATTATTTTATAGGATGTGAAATTTTTTCTCTTTGAAATTTTTTTGACAAATTTAATTAAAATTATATTTTGTTTAATTATTGTTAGAAATAGAAAGAATTTAAAATTAAATTTAATATTTTCTTTTTCTAAGTCTGTTATGTTGGACAACAAAATTCATAATTTTCTTATAAATTCTATAAATTGAATATTTTTATAGTACTTTTTATAAAATTCTCTGACAAAATATAAATAGATTTTATAGAAGATCATTCAATCTTTTTTAATGAAATATAGTTAATACCTAAGTCTTAAAATAAATATTTCTATTTTTTCTCACAAAGTAATGTGTGTTTTTAAAAAAAAAATTCCAAAATCCCGGTCAAGATCAAAATTCACTGTCATTTCCCGGTTTTTCCCTGTCCAAAAAAATTCACTGTCATTTCCCGGTTTTCCCGGTTTCCCGGTCCAGCGGCCACCCTGAAGTTACCTGTGATGAAATAGTATATTAAGCAACAAGAGGAGAAAGGCAGCCATTTCTTTACGGTGATTTTTGTGACACGAGTGGAGGTCGAGGGCGCCGTAGGCGCCCCGAGACCGGAACGAGTGTCACAAAAATCATTGTAAAGAAATTGGCTGCCTTTATTCTCGTGTTACTTACGATATTTTTTATTCCTAATGCACAAAAGCGGCGATTTCAGAAAGCAGACGACAGGGAGTAAAAGTCATTCACTTGTTCGATTTGTATGAAAATGGCGGCCGATTTCTCCCTTGGGCAAGAAAAATGCATGTGAACAGCTAATTTTCTTGCCCTTGGGAGAACACGGCCGCCATTTTCATACGGTCGAAGAAATGAATGACTTTCCTCCCTGTCGGCTGCTATCAGAAAGCGCCGTTTTTGTGCATGTGGGATAAAAAGGAAGATTATTCAACTGATAAAGAATTGGTACGGTAACGCTTTCTTCAGCTTCAATATTTCCTCTTTGGTATTTCCATTTCAGAACCTTTAAAATACTTTTAAAAGGGACAGAATTCTTTTACCCCATATTGAGAAAAAACGTGGTTGTGAATTTTTTGGAGCAAGAAATGAGAATGAGAAATCCACAAGAAGACGCAATATGGCCACAAAATTATGCGATTTTCAATCTTTATTAATCCTTTAAAAATGTGACAACTTTAGTGCGAAGTAAGGACACTACAAGTTGAACTCAAGAAGGAGGAACGAAACACAATGATACCTAATGATTTGGACAGAAATATATGGGGCATTCCAGGCCAAATCGGAAATTATTTTGCTTTTGCATCTCAAATTTTTTTTAAACATTATTTTTCTTTTAGTACTCTTTGAAATGAGCTACTATAATTTTTTTTTTTAAATTTTTTCATAAAGCGGTTCAGGAGATACAGATTTTTGAAAAATGACGTTTTTTACGTAAATTTTTTTTTAAATGCTTATAACTCGTTTAAAAATTGATCAAATTGGACGTTTTTATAATGAAAAGTTTTATTTTCACGCGTAGTTTTTAATAAAAATATTTAAAAAATTTTTTTAAATAATTTACGATATGATTTTAAAATTTTTTAAATAAAATTTCATTTTTAACAATGTACACTGAGAAAAATAGAGTTTAAAAAACTGGGAGTCAATATTGAAAAAACTGGACTCAGTCCAGTAAAAGTACATTAATTCATTTCCATCAACACGGAGAGAGAATATATATTAAATTTTGTAAAAGTATTTTACAAATTGGGGAGAAAGTGCAACAAAGCGAAATTTTGATATAGAAAATACTAAACTTTAAAAAAAGTTTTGTGAAATTTATTAAAGTTATATTAGAATTTAATTAATATTCTTGATATTTGATATAATTATACTAAATTTCACATAAGTTTTTTTAAAGTTTAGTATTTTTTATATCAAAATTTTGCTTTGTCGCACTTTTTCCCCAATTTGAAAATATTTTTACAAAATTTAATATATATTCTCTCTCCGTGAAGCATCTTAGGGTGTTGCGTATAGTGTATAGAGGGCCTTAGTTCCAAATATCACTGTAAAGAGCATTGAAACACAGGCGAAGATTATAAGGCGCGCTGCAGTGTGCATAGTAGAGAAACTGGACTCAGTCCCCTACTTCGAAATTTTCACAATGAGGGAACGCAGGCGCGGAACCTGTCAAAATAAATGGCCGACGCGACGCGAAACGAGTGTTTCCTTGTATTCACTTCGTCAATTTTATATAAAAAAAACAATAACCAATCATTAAAAAAAAAGAAAAATGTGTTAAATGCACTCTTTATATATTCATATTCCTTAATTCACAAGTTTTATTCTTCCAACATCTTCATACTTACAATTAACAACTAAATGCATCGGAAAATCTTACAATCATACGGGATTGAACACCTACCTAACCATACAACTAAATATACGCATATAATTATAAATCGCACGCTTTTACATTAAGCCTCTCGGCTACGCAATCGATGGGGGAAATTTCCCATTTAAGAAACAGCCCTTACCAATGAAATAAATTAGATCATGCGTGGATTTTACTTTGTAATTAATGTAAGTATGGATGTCAACAATATTTATAATATTGAATAAATAATATTGTCAACTAGTTTAAATTTGATACGGTTATTAGAATTTAATAATAAATAAATAAAAAACATTAATTTTTTCTTAATAACCTTGAAACCTTTTTTAAGTTTGACAGTCCTCATGGTAAATTTGATTATTCTTTTTTTTCGTGTACAAAATAGTGAATTGACCTTGAATGAAATGTATAATTAATTATTCTCACAGCAATATTTAATAATTTAATGAACTTAACTGCACTGCATAATAGTTGAGAGTAGTAAGAGTAAGTGAAACGGTAAGATAAGTGAACGACCATTAGTGTGAGAGAGAGAGAATAACTTGTGGTTTTCGAGTAGGTATCTACTTTATGTGCACGGCGTTCATTTTTCGAAAGAACTGGACTGAGTACTAGTTGTTCAATAATCGCTTCTATTATTGACTTGTGTTTTGTACACTGCCGCGTTCTTTTAACAATTACATGAGAAAGAAATTTCTCATTCCAATTTTTTATACTCTTATTCCCTCTTAGACTATATAAACAGTCTTGTTTAAGCTGATGAATGGGATAACTTGTGTTGAGTCCCAAACTGTTCAGCTATGGAACTTCTAATACTATAGTGTGTACCTGTCACATATTATTCTATAAAGGAGTACTACATTGACTGCATAAATCATTTTTCCATTTTTCTCCGTGTATGTATCAATAAATTTTTTTCAAAATTTTTTGTAAGAAACTAGCACTAAATTAACAATTTTTAAGTCTTGTCCGATTGTGGGAAAACGATGGGATCTATTTATTTTGAAATTTTTAATTTTGATATACGCAGTGGTGGCCAAATGACTAACTTGCCATTTGACAAAATCACACAAATTTTTCACAGCAAATGTGTTTTCAAACTGACTCTTTCCAAACTTAACCTTCTTTCTGCGTAAAATTGTGATTTGGTCAAATGACAAGTTAGGCCTTCCATTTTCACTGTGTATATAAAAATTAAAATTTTTTAAATAAATAGATCCCCTCGTTTGCCCACGATCGGACAAGGCTTAAAAATTGTTAATTTAGTGCTAGTTTCTTACAAAAAATTTTTTTAAAAAATTGATCGATACATTGTTAAAAATGAAATTTTATTTAAAAAATTTTTAAATCTGATCGTAAATTATTTAAAAAATTTTTTAAAATATTTTTATTAAAAACTACGCGTGAAAACAAAACTTTTCATTATAAAAACGTCCAATTTGATCAATTTTTGACCGAGTTATAAGCATTTAAAAAAAAATTTACGTAATGAACGTCATGTTTCAAAAATCTGTATCTCCTGAACCGCTTTATGAAAAAATTTGAAAAAAATCGGGTAGCTCTTTTTGAAAAGTACTAAAAGAAAAAAAATGTTTAAAAAAATTTTGAGATGCAAAAGCAAAATAATTTCCGATTTGGCCTGGAATGCCCCATATATAATTAATAGACTTTCTTTTTATAAAATGTACTTTTGTAAAAAATGACTACTTCTTAGGGGCCGTACACATAATACGTCACGCGGCTAGGGGGAGGGAGGGGGTCTGAGAATTGTGACTAAGTGTGACATGGGGGAGGGGGGGGGGGAGTGAACTCATGTGTTACGTCACAATCTTTTAAATTCAAAGATTATAAGAAATTATATGTGACAATGGCACTTTTTCTAAATTAAACAAGTTAAAAATGCTCTAAACTATTTAATATCTATTATATGTACCTGTTTAACATCTATTGGTATATTATTTATAATATGATAAGTAATATATTCTCTTAATTTGAATCAGTTAAAAATCATGGTTTTAACTGGCAATCAGCAGTGACTGTCTTTTTGTATCTGAATCAGTTAAAAATAACTGAAAAATTATCCACAAAACACCGAAACTTTTCTAAATATATGTATATTAAAGATTTGCTTGCATACTTCGAAAAGTTTACTAGCAATTAGTTTATTTAAAATTGTGTAGATTTAAATTTCTCACTCCAATAAATGTTTATCGTCAAATTTTCTTAAAAATATAGCTTGAAACTTTCCTGAACATTTAATTACACTTTTGACTATACTTTCGTAAAAATTTTGCTGAAAATTTAAGTTAAATTTTCAGGAAAGTTTCGCGCTAAACATTTATTGGAGTGGGATATTTAAATCTTTATACAATTTTCACTAAACATTGCATTTAAATATTTCGAAGCTTGCCTTCAATAAATTGTTAGGAAAGTTTCGGTGCTATGTAGGTAGTTAAACGTGACTAATAATTGAATCAAACCAAAAAAATTGTATTGAAACATCAGTTATTTTTAACTAATTGTTAGAAAAAAATATTACTATTTGAATTAGTGACTGACTTTTTGCTTCTAAATCAGGTATTTTTAACTGATTCAATAATTTAGAGTGTAGGATATAATATATAATGTCCAATGTATAAAATTTACAGTGAAATTTACGTGTGTGACGTGACGTAGGGGGAGGGAGGGGTTCAAGGTTTGTGACGAAGTGTGACATAGGGGGAGGGAGGGGTCAAAAATGGTCAAAAATCGCGTGACGTATTATGTGTACGGCCCCTTAAAGAAGCTAGGGGAACTTGTACAATTCATTTGTAACGTTTTATCACTAAAATAAAATTTTATCTAATTTTACTTGACCTATTACATAAAATTGTTCTTTGGGCATGATGTTCTATTTCTTAGGAACCGTGGATATTGTACGTGCTCATTGTAAAGCTGTACTACTAAGACACCTTGTACTCTCTAAATCTGAATCAGCGAAATTTCACTGATTATTTAGTGAAACTTGACTATATTTTTCGTTTGTACTGCAATTTTCTAAAAGCAACACTACATATTGTCCAAATGAAAGGTGTTAATTTTACAACATTCTTGCGCACTAATTACCTTGTGGTTTTTAGGATGTTAATCCAATATCAGTCATTTAATTTAATTTAATTTATAAATAGAATTTACCTATATGTATCAGTTCTTGTGGGAGCTTTTGGATGGTCTGTTGTTTTACTTGCTATAATAACGGTATCTGTTTCCTTTTTATGCATCCACTTTCTTTGATAGACATAGTCTCTATTTGCAAACAGTCTCTGAAATTTTTAAAAACTGTCAATATAAGTTAATTCTATAAGACAATCATTAATGCCAGTACGTGACATAAAACTTCATCTAGTCTAGGTATATAAAAATACAATCAAGTTTTAAAAAACTTACAGGCCACATCATTTCCCAGTACATAATATCACTGCCACAATCTTCTGCTGATTCTGTAAGAGGATCTGTGTCTATAATATCTAATTCTTTGGCTGTATTGTCCCATTTTTTTCTATATTCAATATCTAACTGCACTTGTAGAAAATCAGCTGCAGTTATATCAGAAAAGGATGCATATACTTTATAAGCGTATAATCCTGAGTTTGATTCTAATCTACGCCATATGAGCATATCCTCCCGTTCAATAAAAGGTTCCCAAGGTTCATCTGTGATTATTAATAGTTTATTTATTTATCACTCGTCTTAATCCTTACAATTTAATTTAAAGTTGGAGAACTCGCATTTGACCGGACCACCCGTCTAATGGGTTCTCTCGCAATGGAACCTGTACAGGATCCTTGTCTTATTTCCTGAAAAGGCACGTGATACGTTCCGGTGCAGGTTTTTATCAAGAATCCCTAAAGGAAATTGCATAGGAGCCTTTAATTAAAGGAGCCTTTAAGGATCATGTACAGGGTGTTTAGCTGGGTAGAAAATCTCTCTTGAGTACAACCGGTTTATTGACGGCCGAGTTCTAATTGTGTGTACTGGACAATAATCGACAGTGCACATCATTGTACCTCGACGTCAAACCTTCCGCTTGAGAAAACACCCATTCAAGTACTAACCGCACTGGATGTTGCTGAACCTCGATGAGGTCACGGAGTCTCACTACCCAGCTGTACTATTAGTTGTTATTATAATTATTTGACATTGAAAACCCAAATTTCAAGTATGAATAAAGTAAGATAAAGTTACCTTGATTATTAATAGCCTTAGCATTATTGTTTCCATAGCAATTACAGTAAGTAACACCATCCTGTTTAGTGTCGATTATTAAACGTTTATGACACTGAGAACACGTTACAGTATTTGCAAGTAATTTATAAATTTCATCTATTTCGTGGGTGTAACTGTTAACAAAAACTAAATTTAAATGTGGATTTTTTTGTACCCACACAGAAAAAACCGATATGGTCCAGTTAGAAATTTTCTTACTAAAACTCAAAATGAGTAACAGCGGCATCATTTTTTCTGCTTATCCAAATGAGATTTGTATAGGGATCATTGTGATTCCATGTTTTTTCTGTGTTCACATAATTAATTTTATAGTATTATTGAAACATATTAAACCACTTATAAACAAAGCACATAATTTAAATCTTTAAAATTTGTATAGTACAGGTTTTCTATAAAAATTAAACATTTGTGACACTCTACGATGAAAGGGACCTATCTCCGAAGTAACTCTTTTATTTTTTATGATTCAGAATTTTTTCTAATAAAATTATGTGACTTTTTACATATTATTATATTTATTACCATTTGAATGATAATTTTCTTGATTCATGTCTACTGTAAACTTGCTTAATTGTAATATAGATTTTTATTCAGTGTTACTTCTCAATTACTTTAATTTTACACTTCTCGATATAACCATAATCGAAGTCGACAAAGATTGTCAACGTCACTTTACTGTGATAGATTAAGAAGAGAATTTTTAGTTCCATTTGCATCTTTTGCAAAAAAAGAAAACGTCTTTTTGTGTAAGTGGTTTTATAATTTCAAATATAGAAATGTATAAAAATAGTTTACCTCTCCATCTCTTTATTAGTTATTCTTTCGTTTTCCCAGTTATAAGCAACAATGCCTGTTGTACTCAGTAGATATGTCTTATTTTTCTGAAAACCTTTTTTCCTCCAATACTTGATGAATTCTTTTAAGAGAAGTTTGTCCCATAGTTTTATATACAATTGAAATATCTGAACACTTTGTTCAATACGTTTTACTGCTAAGAATTCTATCTGCTTTACACATGTACAAATTATTTTAACACCTTGCTCTGTGATCCATGAATTTATATGTCGGCTATACCATCTGCTTAGTTTACCGTAAGTCCACGGTCGGCTGGAAACTAAATAAAGAATTTTGAAAATTATCATTATTTATACACTCGTCTTTTTCTTTTAATACTAACGTTACAAGTGTCCACGTCGAAATCCTCCTTAAGGTATTTGTCGCGTAAATTCGTTTTCGACAGTTTTTTTTTAAATTTCACATAATTATTCTTTGGATATTTATCTACAAAATAAGGCCTATTAAAATAAAATTGACCGTCTGTAAGTCTCAAAAAATGAAATCAAAGTTTCGATTTTTAACATGTACGGTATAGGAAAACCATATGAAAACCACGGATTTTTAATTTTTGCACTTATACTAATCGACAGATTTTTTAGAAAAACTAAAGTTTTATTTATTGAACCAAAATGAACTTTTATAAAAAAAATGAAAATTTTTCACCGTCTTGTTTAAAAGATATTTAACATCAAACTTGAAAATTTATTTTAACATTTATTGTAAATGACAGGTGAATTCGTAAACGTGGCAATAGCGCTTGTTAAATACTATAGCTCGTCTGCTACTTTTAGCGCGAAATTTTAAAGACGGCCATACGCCAAACTTGCGACGTTGCCACGATCGTTTTTCATGCGAGAGGTTATGAATATACATTGAGAACATCTGTGTGTCAAACTGTACGTCCGCAAAAGTTTTTCGGAAACTCGCATTCATAATCGTTTTATAAGTACAGTCAACAGATACAAACTTTTGAGAGTGACCAGTCGCGCGACAAATACCTTAAATTTAAAAATTGAGGGCCTGGATGCTACTAGGTGTTACGGGCCATTTACTTAACATGGCGCGTAACACCTCATAGCGTCCAGCCCCTCAATTATAATTTAATTACTAAGACTAGGTCTGCAGAACAATTTGAAATTAGAAGTACTTCGTTAGCTGTAGTCGTTGTCAGATTTTCATATTGATTTCTAAGATTTCTTGAGATTTTAGGGATTGCCGGCTCGACTGCCATACTTGCAATATATATTGAATGTTACAAACACCGATGAAAACTGAGTTGGATTTAGTTATAATGTAGCCTTTCAAACTTCAATTTAATTTGGTTTGTTAGGCATGACGCTTGAGCATCACGGAAATTATTAGACATGGAGAGGCGCTCAAATAATTATGTTAAATGCCAAACTTGTTAATTCTTTGAGCTTTATTGATAAAACAGATATGTTTTAAGATATAAAATAATAAATGCATTAAAATTTCAGACCCATAACAATTCTCAGTGCAATTCCAAAGATCTTTGAGAGCTTAATTTTTGATCATTTATACAGGACTGCTTCGCACTGCCGTACTAAGGAAAAACTTACATAAGTGCAATCCAGTCAAGAACTCTGTTTTAGAAATAAAAATTTAATAATTAAATGACACTTCTCTATTAAAAGTGTATGTGCTGATTCTAATTTCGCAAAAAAAATTATTTATTTAAACAAATTCTATGCAAAATGTGACTTACGATGTCTATCTTTTGAAAATACGAAGGAAAAACTCTAAAAACACATCGTCACTTGCGTTGTTTCTTCCCGCACGGGTACACGAGCTTGGCACAACGATCAGAATTAAAAACTTGCACATTTCCTATGTCGCTTGGTAGGGAGCAGTGCATGGTAATATTCTGTACTTCTCCGAACATACGCGAATATAACCGAAGTGCACTTACGTCAATTCGTGGTGCCTCGGCCAAATTTACGATAGAAGAACTTACACATGTTTCGAGAATGCAGTTACGTGGTTTTCATTTCGCACGCAACCATCGTGCTCGATAGAAAAAGAACATATGTCACATTGTATAAGTTTTTCCTTCGTACTTGATACTCGAGTTCGATGATTCGTACGATTTTCAGAGCACGCAAAGTACTTCGTGTAAGTTTTTATCAAGTATTTCTTTATTTTCTTCATATTCTTTGATTTTTAATTATCGTTTTTTGCACTTATTAATTGATATATTTAATTTTTATTAACACAGGTAAATGCAGTTCTTCTTTCCGAGTTGATTGATACCAAAAACTAATATTTCACAAAATTGTTAGTTATATAAGTTTTTCCTTAGTACGGCAGCGCACATCTTTATAGATGAGCAACACGGCTTTATTCAGGGAAGACCAACATCGACTAATCTTGGAATATTTGCTAATTTTTTAACGCTAAATGTTGGAATGGGTTTTCAAATTGATGCTATATACGCAGATTTTACTAAAGCATATGACAGAGTTGATCACTTTGTACTTTCAAGAAAATGACAAAAGATTGGAATATCTGACAATTTGTTAAAAGATAACATTCTGATAGATATCATCTTGTTAAAGTTTCTTATCAGTATTCTAATCCATTTTTAGCAACATCTGGTGGTCCACAAGGATCAAATATTGGTCCACTATATTTATTATTCATTATTTACATGAATGATATTAAATGCGTTTTTTTAAAATTCTTTTTTCCTTCTTTATGCAGATAATTTGAAAATTTAAAATGTACATATATGGCATTTTTCGATGAAGACGCTCCAAACAGAAAGGGGATCAGAATAGGATGCAGTGGGAAAGAAATTATTATTTAATAAAATTTGCATGTTCGCTTCTACGAAAAGAACCTTGGGAATGCAGAAAGTACAGCATAATTTCGCATATATATATATTTTTACGCTGACTACCAAGATACAGTAAGAAAACTCTAAATTCTTCAGAGAAAGTAATTGCAACCTTTAAAAATAGCAAAATCTTTTCTTTTTCTTTTAATGATAAATTTTGGAACTTTCGCAGGGAATCATTCCAAATGTGGGGGTTCATCAGATTATTTAAATGTATTTGGTCGAATTAAGTACACTGCGGGTGGCTAGCTTTTTATTTATAACTCGTACAAATATAGCTGTCCTAAAAAAAAACGCTTTGGAGGGTAAGAAGCTTGTGAAATAAGGATTGTTTCTTTTAAAAAAAACTCGAAAAAGGCTTAAAATTATTTTAAAAAATTGTTATTTAATGTTTTTTATAAACATTACATTCTGTAGTTTCAAACTTGAAAAGTTTCGATTAAAAAACTCTCTAAGCACTTTTGGTTTTTTTCAATTATTTGTAGGTAACTGTCCTCTAAGAAAAACGTAATTTTTTAAAAAAGTGTGCATCAGTCTTTTGAGTTTTGTCAAAAATGAATTTTTTTAAATTCTTCGATTAAAGAGTTAAGATTATTTTCCTTATAATTGTGATCACTAGGAGAAAGGACATTTTTTTGTGAGGCTCTGCTTATCAATCAGCAAAAAATAAAAATATTCTACATTCAAGTTATTATTTAATAGGTTTCAAAATGTAACTAGGTATCTTAAACATAAAATAGATGGAAGGACTTATTTATAAAAAAAATATCTGGTAAAAATTAATTTCGTTTACTTTTTTCGATTCTTGAATTGCAGGCTTCGAAGTCTAGTAGCAGGTCAAAAAAAGTGTGAAAAAGTAGCATTTTGGAAGAAAAAAGTGTCCTCTAAATTGAAAAAAGAGTGGCAAAAAGTAGCATATTAAAAATGAAGTAAAATTAGTTTTTTAAGTAAGAAAATTAAGTGAATATATGTTGTTGTCCAAAAAATTGAAAGAAAAAAATACTAAACATAGGAATTCACAAAATTTTTTTTAAATTTTGATTTATAAACATAAAACATGAAAATATAATAGCTTTTTTGTCGATATTTTACATTAAAAAGTTTTATTTACATAATGAAATGTAATTGTTAATAATACTTAAATGAGATCTTTCATAAGAATTTGTTTTTTAATAACAGGCTCATAATTTTGAGAAGTTAAATTGACACCTTCTTTCTCCTTATTATTTTTTAAAAAACTATCAATAACTTTTTATCAGCCATCTAATTTTTAAAAATGAAACGTAAACATTTTTTAGTAATTTACTAATAATAGATATCAAAATGAAAAAAATGGATTGTTTTTAGTCATATAAATTTTTTAAATTTTAGAATCCACATAGCCATAATTTTGTACAATAATAAATTATGAGCAATTTAATTCCAATAAAAAAAAATTATAATTTTTTTTAGATAGATCTTAAATCTTTATATAAATGATTTTTTTATTATTGAACAACCGACTTAAAACACTGTATTATTGAAAATACAAATAATATTTTTAAATTTGACATAAAGTTTGTAAACATAATATGTGGACGTCCACATGAAAAGGGCCCATATTGTCGGTTCCAGTTTTCGAGATAATCGCAATTTAGTAATTTTTGAGCAAATTCTTAATTTTTTTTTTATTTTTTATTATCAATCTACATGTTTTGACAAATCGAATCATGCGGTTTTCATTAATTTATCGATAATTTAACTGTTTGATTTCATTGGTTCTTTAGAAAAATGAAAAGGGCCCATTTTGTCGGTCATTTGCAAAAGTAATCCGTATTTTAAAAATGGAGGTATAGAAAAATTTAAAACCTCTTGATTTTTCATCTCTAAGGTGTCCTGGACTGTAAACAATTCTTATCTGAATAACTTCTCAGAAGAACCAGAGATATTGATGTTAGAGTCTTTTTTCGTAATTATCGAAATGAAAATTTGGATATTGCGTCAATTTTTTCATAATAGAGACTGTCAAAAATTTTTAAATAAGTTTAATATCTATTCTTTTTCTTCAAATGACACAATAAAATTGTACCTAATCATTAATCCTGTAAAAAAATGGTTCTTTAATAGAAAAACTGTCCTTTTTAGAAAAGGGCCCATATTGTCGGTTTTTAAATTAATTAATTAATTAAGGGGAGGGGGTGGTTCTAAAAATTTAAAACCTGTTGGTTTTTTATCTTCAAGGTGCCCTGAACTAGAAACAATTCTTATCTGAATAACTTCCAAGAAGAACCAGAGATACAACAATTAGTTGGTATCGCAATCTTTAATTCCGTTTTTCTCGAAATGACGTTTTTGGCGTTCTAAACTTTGAAATTCCGTAACTCAGCGAATTTTCAACCAAAAAAGTTCTAAGACCACTCAAAATTCTCCAAATTTTGCCAGGATTACGCCCATATAGATAACTCCAATAGTGCCAAAATGGGCCCTTTTCATGTGGACGTCCACATATAATAAATAATCACGTTAAATAAATATTATTTTGGATTTTTATTCAAACAATTTATATAACCAAAAGAATTAAGTTTTCATTCTTAATTGATTTTTTCTATACTTGATGAAACTTTTATAAAGTCAAAAAAGGTATTAGGTACTATTAAATTATATAGTGAAAAATTTAGTTTTTAAATTTTTTAAGAAGCTTAAAGAATAATAAAATTAGATACGAAAAATTCGAAACGTTAAAAAGTTGTAATTTAATAAACATCTTCTATTAGTAATTATTATAATATATTATAATCACGCGTCCAATAATAAATTTAATTCACTTGGCGGGTTTTTTGAAATCTACGAAATTCACCAAAAAAACTAAAATTCTTGAATTCTGTAAATTTTTTTTACCTTTTTTGAAAAAAAGTAGCATTTAGTAGCTTTTTGACAGAATAAGTAGCAAAAAGTAGGCTTGACCAAAAAAAGTGTCAAAAAAGTGGAAAAGTGTGTCACTTCGAAGCCTGGAATTGATATGTCACTAAGCTTAAATTTGACTGCATCCTAATCAAAATATCAATTAAAGCATCCAAAGGTGTCAAATTATAAACTCAAAATTTGGTACAAAACGGTACCACTCGTAGAATAAATTTTTTATCGGATGTAGTGTAATAAAATATTAATTCAAATAGTTCTGCCACATAATTTTTAATTGTTTGTGCAACATAATGTTAATTAAATTTGCATTTAATAAAATGATCATTAGTGCAATGTGATAAAAAAAATAATTTCTTTAAACAATGATTTTTCAAGCTGAAAATTAAAACAATGATATCAAAAATGTTTTAATAATATTGTAATTTAATTTCAATCTTTAATTAATTTATTAAAAATTATTAAAAATAAATATTTTTGTCAACTTTTGAAATGGTGAAAATATAGAACACATTTTCGTGAATTCGATTAATATAATTAATTTGACTACCAAATTAGGGTTATTACATTGACTAGTCATTTCACTTTGTGAGTTTTTAAAACTAAAATTTTAAACATAAAAACTATACTAGGTGCTGAAAGTAGATGATAAAAAGACAAAAATATTATCTCCTTTTAGTGTAGGTAGTAAATTTATAAAAAATTATAAAATTGACACATTAAAAGTATTAATTTTACAAAAGGAATTTTAAATTCGCTGCTTTTAAAGACGTTATTGTACAAATTTCTTTAAAAATCCGTAAAAACAGTAAACATACAGAAAATTCTTTTTTACAGTGTAGTATAATTGATTAAATTTATTTTTTCGTGTCAGGAGAAATCCACTTAACCAATGACACTAATAAACTAGCTTAATTTAATTATGTTAAACTCAGTCAAAGTCGTTGATTTTTACATCTAGCTTTAAAGGTAAAACTGTCAGGACTTTGAAATGAAAAGAGAATTTACTAAGAAACTTATAATAAGAATGTATTTCCTTAAAATAGTTTTCAACAATGAGGGAATTTTTGCATTTTTGCATTTTTCCGGTTTCTTATACTAGTCGCAACAAGGTTCTTTGAAACACAAGACTAATACGGACATTTATTTTAGAGAATTAGTTTGGATAATTTTGTTCTTGATTTAAAAGAAATGACTTTATCTTACCTAATCTTTTGAATGAGCGGCAGTGACCGAAGTAGAGAGAATCAAGAGGAGTTCTGACACAAACAGCTCTCGAAAGATGTGAATGAGAAGATCTCATCAGCGTATTCGATATATGTACAGCAAACATTATAAATATTGTTGACACTACAACATTAACAATAAATTGTATAATAATCTGCACTAATTAGTGAGTGTCGTAACTGCACGCAAGTTTATGAAAAAAAAATTACCTGTCTGCTTCATAAATTCTCATTCATGTTTAGATAAAAGTTGATTAACCAAGTTCAAATTTCAATTTCTTCAATCCATATGAAATTGTTTACTAATTAAAAGTTATTTTAATATATAATTACAGTGGTACTTAAAAAGGTTATGATGTGGAGAAAAGAGTAAACATCGCTTTTGAACATGGTAAAGTCCAACGCACAATAGGTTCGCGAAAGTCGTTCGCGAACGAGACGCATGAGATAGACAAGGACACAAATATATATCTCTGTCCTTTTCTAACTCATGCTTTGCGTTCGCGAACGACTTTCCCGAATCTATTGTGCTTAGGCCTTAACTTGTGGTAACTGCTAGGGTTGTGAGTGATGAAACGTTTCATTGAAACAATGAAACTTTCATTTGAAAGTTTCAATGTTTCATAAGCGAAAGTTTCATTAATTTCATGAAACATTGAAGAACCAATAATTAAGCTTTATTTGCACATGCGCAGTTGTCAGTTTAGGTTAGATAATCTCTAGAAATTTTAGGTTAGTTCGAAACAATTTAATGAAAATTTTTTGTTTACATCCGAAAACACGAGAGTAGTTATGTTAATATTAACTAAAAATTACCTGAAATATTACCTCTAACGAGTGACTTAAAATTAAATTATTAATATATTTTTTAATTATTTATTTTATTTATAAAAATTAAAGAAAGATATTAAAGTAAGTAATAATACTTCATGTTTTTGACAACAAAATATGCGTTAATTATTATACTTTCTTGCATTGAATTTGAAATTTCCCGCTTAAAACTTGAAACTTTGAAATGTTTCATGAAGCAATGAAACTTTCATGAAACATTTCATTTTCCAAAGTTTCATGAAACTTTACAACCCTAGTAACTGCACCGAAATACATAGTATAAAGGTGCGTTTACAATTTTACATTCCTGTCAGTCGAAAAGAATTTTTACCATTTTTACTGAATAAGGCCGCAGTCCCATGGCAGCGTTTTGCATTGCGTTGTAATAAGAGAGAATGCAGCAAACGTATATTTGCGTCTTTTTCTCTCCCATTACGACGCAACGCAAAACGCTGTCATGGGACTGCGGCTGAAGTCCCATGGCAGCGTTTTGCGTTGCATTTTGTAACTAGGCAATGAGTGTGAGAGAGATGGAGATATATGTTTGCTATATTTGCACTAATGGCCTAGTTACAAAACGCAACGCAAAACGGTGCAATGGGACTGCGGCCTGCGGCCTGAGGCGGTATTTACATGCTTGCGTTCGAACGCTGCGTTTGCGTTAAATAATGAGATAGAGAAAGAAAGACATATACTTCTGTCCTTCTTGCATTCACTGCTCAACGCAAAACGCAGTGTTTGATCGCAAGCATGTAAACACAGCCTCAGGGAGCATTTATGGGTGTTTTCGACGTCGTAGGTCGTACCGGTCAGTTGCCACAAAAAGGTGCTTATTTGAGACTATTTAGGTTAAACTAAATAGTCTCAAATAAACAGTTTGAGCACCTTTATGTGGCAACTGACCGGTACGACCGACGACGTCGAAAACACCCTATACCTTATCGGTAAAAATTTCCAGAACGGAAAATTTTTCATTGGAGTAAGAGAGACAGACTGTGTATCTGACTCTCTTACTCCAATGCAAATTTTCCTTTCTGCACAATTTTTACAGAAGGTGTAAACGCTCCATGAGCGTTCACACCGTTCAGGACGCAGTCCCATGGCAGCGTTTTGCGTTGCGTTGTAATGAGAGAGAATGCAGCAAACGTATATTTGCGTCTTTTTCTCTCCCATTACGACGCAACGCAAAACGCTGTCATGGGACTCCACTCCACCCTCACTCAGCTATAAAGGTGTTTCTACAACATCTATTCAAATGATTTCTACTATTTAACGGAATAGTAACCGCAGTCGCAAATATTCTGTAAATCTGTCAAAGGAGAGAAAAACACGAGAATGGTTTTTCCAAAACGTGTGTGATCGTACCCTAAGGCTGCGGTTACACCTCTGCAGGCTGCCTGCCTGCGCAGGCAGGAGCAACGAGAGTAAGGGAGAAGTTTGAAGTCACTGACTCTCTTACTCTTGTACGTTACCATGACAACCTGCAGGCAGGCAGGCTGCCTGCTGAGGTGTAACCGCAGCCTAAAACCAAAAGCAGAATTTCATGAGTGCAAGAGAGATAGTCAGATATCACGGTCACTACCCTATATTTTTATCCGGTAAGCGTAAGCGGTATCTTCTTGCTTCTCAAAAAAACAAATGAAACGAAAATAAGTTGGAAAAAACTGCTGTTAAAAAACAAGAAGAATATAAAAGAAAAAGTAATAAAGGTATGTAGGTATTGTAATACTATTACTTTTATTTAAGAAGGAAAACGAGGAAAACATAGAGCAATGAATATGTTGTTTATTATTTATAGGTTTTGTTTTTGTCAGCCCATGCAGCGCACTTGAAACTTGAAGCAATAATGAAAACATTTTGACATCTTTTTCAACATCGAGAAAATGTCAATATTGTTACAAGTTTCTGTGCAGTGTTGAGAATTTGTAAATATATTGTATAGTTTATTAATGTATCTAATGGTATAGAGTAGATGTGAATCCTTTAAGGTCATGTTATTTAGTGGTCGCACGTGTATCCACAGTAAAGTTTACAATGGGACACGTGAGTGACACGTGTTTTTTATTTAATTAAAAAATTTTAAATTAATATTTTATTTAAATAAAAAAACCTTGAGATTTTTTATTTCCTTATTTCGACTTTAAAGAAGTAAAGCAAATACAATAGTTATCGTCACCGCCGTAGTTACTGTTAATTTAACGAAAAATAAATGTTAAATATCTTTATTAATATTCTTAATTGTAGACATGTATTTTTTTGAATAATATATAAATAAATATATTGCAATAAAGTCACTAAACTTTATAAGTTTTCTAGATAAAAAAGTTAAGCCAATTTTTCTAAGACAAGATTTTCCAGGGTAGCTTTTTTCTAAAGAAAATTGAATTCTAAAAATTTATTAAAGATTTACTAGCAAAGTTTAGAGACAATTGTGTAAAGATTTAAATGCCCCACTTCAATAAATGTTTAGCGTCAAACTTTCCTGAACATTTAAATTACATTTTCGGCTACTCTATTATAAACGAAAATTTAGCGTAAAATTTAGGCGAAAATTTTGCTTGAAAATATTATTTCATTTAGGTACAGTTTAATTCTTTGTGAAATTTAAAAATTTGAATATTAAGTATTCTTAAGAATACTTAATATTCAAATTGTGTCTTGTCTTAATTCATCGCACGGGATGAACCCCTTAAATTCTATGCAATATCAAACGGAGAAAAATATTTTAAAAATTAATTACTTTTTCTATTTTCCATGAACCTTAAAAGTATATATAGCAAGACATAAATAATTTACCCTCATAGATCTCTTCAGAGCTTGGTTTTGAGTTTAAGAAAAAAGAATTTTTAATTTTTTCCACATTTGTGGTCTAAAAACAAGTTTGAACCATTTTTCGTCTTTTGTTACATATTTCTTGTAAATACGGAGTTTTTTTTTACAGAAACAGATATATTATATCAATATCATCGTTCTTGAAGATGTCTGAAAAAAAGAAATATGAAGAAGCACTTTATAAAGACAATAATGATAAAGAAGTAGATTCATCTTTGCACACTGAAAAACCTTGGCAACTATTTTCAGAATCGGAAATGAAAAAACTTATTAAAGATTTAGGCTTATCTAAGGAAGGTGCAAAGTATTTGACTTCAGTTTTTAAGAAGAAGAATTTTTTGGCTCCAGGTAATAGTTATTTTTATCGAAATCCTGACTTCAATTTTCGTAAATATTTCGTATTTTGAACTTATCAATGACTTACCAATGGATTGAAAAAAATTCCTGCATAGCTATATTGGATTTTTTATTCTAAATTCAAAATATCTGATATTAAATTCGTAATCTTCAAGCTTCAACTAGTCTAGCTTCAAGAACCCCTAGTCCCCTACACGGAAAAAAATACTGTGCTAAAAACACACATAGCGAACTGTTGCATATATTGCACGCACACTACCATCGTGATTTGCTCGGAATCCATCCTATTTTCGCATGGTGCTGTAGCAAGAGCCATGGCTCATGTGGCTTTTGCTTAGGCACCATGCGAAAATAGGATGGATTCCGAGCAAATCACGCATGGTAATGTGCGTGCAATATACGCAACAGTTCACTCATGTGTTTTTAGTACAGTATTTTTTCCGTATACATACCATGTTTTATAAAAATCAAAATTTTTTTTAAATAAGTCTGCTATATATACTCTTAAATCTTATATGTATAATTTCACATATAAAATTTTATAAATCTCCCAATTGTTCGATAAAAGTGCATATGTTACGATAAAAGTATATTGCATATAATGGATAAATGTGCCATATCAATAACCATCCACAAAAAACCCCTAAAATTACAAAAAAAAAATTGGACAAGTGCGAGTTGTACTCGCACTGCAATGGCGGGTTCCGTACACAAATATTAAAACAACACTTGCAACATTTATCGGTAATTGGTAGAATTAAAATAAACAATTAAAAAAATATATTAAAATCATTTAATAAAAAAGAAAAACTAAAAAAATTAAAGTATTGTATATATCTAATATTGTAAACAATAATAAGCAGAGGAACAAAATTTTTAAAATTATAGTTCCTCTGCTTATTATTGTTTACAATATTAGATATACAATACTTTAATTTTTTTTAGTTATTCTTTTTTATTAAATGATTTTAATATATTTTTTTAATTGTTTATTTAAGTTCTACAAACTACCGATAAATGTTGCAAGTATTGTTCTAATATTTGTGAATACGAAACCCACCATTGCAGTGCAGGTACAACTCGCACTTGTCCATTTTTTTTTTTATTTTTAGTTAAGAAATTAAAGTCAGAAAACAATCTCTCATTTATTCTCTTAAAATTTCACTCTTCCTTAAAATATTTAATGCCACGTGTTTAAACTAAAAAAAAATTAAAAAAATTTTTTTTTTGATTTTTTTCAAAAAGTTTCTTAAATAAATTTTTTGTCGTCAGACTGTAATAATACACTAGGATATCAATTTTCAGCTCATTAGGTCAAATAATGTAAAAGTTAAAAAAAAAATTTTTTTTTAAATTTTAAAATTTTTCCTTGACAACGCTATGGCCATCGTTACATATCAAGTTCTCTATATTTTTCCTGTAATATTCGAGTAAAAATACACCAGCATGCAAAATTTCAGCTCTCCATGTCGAATAGTTTAGAAGTTAAGGGGGGGGGGGGAATGGTCACTTTTTATGCATTTTTGGCCAAAAATCTTGTTATTTCCTTGACAACGCTATGCCCATCACGTCCAATCACATTCGCTATATTTTTCCTGTAATCTACGAGTGAAAATACACTGTAAAAAATTTAGGGAGTTAACGGACTCTGGAGTTGGGAGTGAAATTTTTCGAGTTAAAAATCAACTCCAAAAGAGAGTTAATTTCTAACTCCCTTCATTCAACACCCGCGCGAGTTATTTTTTCCTTGAGGAGTTAGCATTTGGGTGTGAAGTTTTAACTCTTTTTATTTAACTCCCCTGGCATTAACTCCCCAATGAGTGCGACTTTTATAGAATCCCCTGGGGAGTTGAAATTTAACTCCCTTTTTTTTACAGTGTACATATCTGGACCAAATTTGTGCTCTTTAGGTCAAATAGTTTAGCCACTAGGGGGGGGGACACGATTTGGCTACGGACACAAGAGTCTCACCAATAGGGTTCCGCAGTTACACCGTAGGTGTACGGAACCCTAAAAAGGTTAAAGCTTTTTCAGTTTAATATAATTTTTAAACATTTGGAACAAAAGGGTTTTTGAGGTCGTTGATTATCAATTTGAGGTCATATTTACAACATTCTGAAAAATCACCAGGTTCTCTTGAAACTCGTTACTTGGAGGTTTTCGACATATTGAATTTCGTAAATATGACCTCAAATTGATAATCAACGACCTCAAAAAAAAAAAAATTTTAAAAATACAACCGTCATTTTGAATTCCGCAAATCTCATCTCAAATTTGCAATCAGCGACCTCAAAAACCCTATTGTACCAAATGTTTAAAAATTATTTTAATCTGAAAGTGCTTTAACCTTTTTTTGTAATTTTAGTAATTTTTTAGGAATTAAAGGGGTAGTTTCAAACCTTTACATCGTCTTCTTTGTCGATAACAAAAATTACGTTTCTTTTATTTTTCCGCGTTCTAAGTATGTGCCAAGTTTCAGCCAAATCGGTCCCTGACTACTTTTTAGTCGCACAAAGAATAAAAAGTAATTCAAGTTTAAAAGTTTAGCTATTTTTCTTATATGTTTTTGGAGTCGCAGACTCCGAGTTCAATGTCCATTTTCTCCTGTCAAGTCATAAGAACATAATTTAGCCCTAGATTTCAAACCTTATTCACTATGTTTTTGGAGATATTAAAACGAGACAAATTATAATAATTAAAATTTTTAACACCCAATTAGTCTGTGAGCTATCAGCACAATTTGGAAATAGAAAAATGCTTCCATAATTCTTATCACGTAAGATTGTCCTGCAAACTTACTTTGAATTATAAGGAAATTCTTCTATCTGTACCTCAACTGTAATTTAATCTATCAAGTCAAATAAAATTAATTAATTAAACAACAATTAAAAGAATGTCAGGTTTAAGATATAGAAAAAGTTTTGTAGAATATTACATTTTTTGTTTTTATAATTTAAAAATTTTAGTATGGATTTGTTTTGTCTGTTTGTTAGGAAGCAGAAAAATGGAGAAACCTGATGAAGTTGGCGATACTAGTGGGTAATATGTATCTACAAATCTATTAACTATTGGATGATTGCATATATGAATTTATCTTTGTTCATTTAAGATAAACACATTGGTGTATTTAATTAAGATTCTAAATTATATTTAAAGTACTGATTCTACAAAATTTTTCCATATAATATGATTTATCTCTCTGTCAAATTCAATAAATAATCTTACTACATCAGTACGTTTTTGATGAAAACGGTATCCACAAGTGTTTAATCGATTTAGATGTATGTCATTTATATAACCCTCTATATTACCTTAAGACGAGATTTTAATTGACGATATTATCATCAATCGCAATGGAACAACCCGAGTTAGCTTCACGAAGAGTAAGTGATCTTCCCAGTCTGAATCAGACAGACAGATGTAGCGAAGTTGTTCAATAAATGACCTTAGTTATGAATTGGTTGTTACGTTCTTAGATTTCCACATAAACAGGAGAAACCACATTAGAAGGTTAGTTTTAGTATTACATTTAAGCAGTTATACAGAAAAGTTTTCGGCGAGTTCATCAACTCGCTGTAGTTATGTAGTAACGCTACGCCACAATGGACTGTAGAACCAATGTGATTTAACAAATTTTAATAAGTAATCAATGCTTTATTTATTTAATTATAATTGCATGAGACTGTTCTCTGTGTACTCTGTGACTTTTGTACGTGCTTCCTAGAAACAAAGTAACTAGTGTATTGTTACAAAAATAAATATTACAAGTGTGCAAAAAGCTCGAAATTCGATCGAATTTTTTCAAGCTTTTCGAGCCGAGCTGAACTCGAGTTAACTCGATATGAGTCCAGTTCAAGCTCGGCTCGACTATTCCAGCTTTTTGCACACCTCTAATGAATATATCAAATTTTATATGACGTCCTTTTTCTTTTAAAATTAAATAAAACATTTACCAAAAAGTTCAAAGTTTTTTATCTACGACATTTTTTTCAAAAAAAATTTTGAGCGGTTTTTTTTCATCATCTAAGGAGTGTATAAACAGAGTATTAACCAAATCCCATTAGTTAATGAAAATATCTGTGATGAGTTGACGTGAAATTCACCACCAGTCGGGTAGAAAAATTCACGGTAAGAAAAAATAATTCACCGTATTCGATGATTTACACGCGAAACTGAATTCAGCTTAAGTTACTTTCAATTATTTTTTTACTGGGAGCATACTCATTGGTCAGGAAAGGAATTTTAAAGATCTGAACTGAAAAATCAGCATGCCAGCACTGTTTATAAATTAAAGCCTTTAAGATCATATGCAATCATTTAATACTATACTTTTTATTAAAGGTGCCACAGAAAATACTTGGACTCATTTTTGTTGCATCTCAAAATGAGTAGCCTGCATACTCAGGTTTATTCGGTGTCTGTAAAATGCTCAAACAGCCAAACCGAGTCGAGTCGAGTCGAGTCGAGCCAAACCAAGCTTGATTCGATGTATTGAGTATTGAGCACACCTCTACTTTTTATGCGTTGGAATTTTTATAAATTTTAACTACAGTAGAACCTCGGTTATCCGAGCCTCGATTATCCGAGATTCCGGATTATCCGAGGCACAAAACATGCTCGGATAATGCGGAATAACTCGGATAAAACGGATCGAGCGACTAAATTTGGAAAATAAATTTTACAAAACCACTATTTGTGATCATTGCATTTAAAATTTCGTCCATTTTTGTCATTTAATATTATTCTAACACTTTAAACACATGAAAAATAATTTAAAATTTTGAAATTTTCATTGGTTCCGTGTTATCCGAGTTTTCGATTATCCGAGGTACCTCTTCCCCACATTACCTCGGATAATCGAGGTTCTACTGTATAAAGACTCACTCATATAGTTCGGAAGTTTCTATAATTACTTTTAATTTGTAGATGTGAAAAGTCGAAACATAATGACACCCGTATTGGAAAAAGACAATTACCCGCTGAACAAGGTTTGCAAACAAAACGGAAGAAATTAGAACTTAATGTGCGATTGAAAGAAGTCGATGTTGGCATCACTGAATATGTAGTAGATCACGAGGGATTTCTAGGAACTATCAAGGAAAGATACAGTGATTTTCATGTTCATGAAATCTCACCTGATGGTGAAATAGCGCTGTTAACTAATCAAGAGCTTCCTCCCCAGCTGAAGGAATTAGAAGATCTAGAACAATTACGAAAAGCTATTCCACTGGATGTTCAAAATCAACTTGATTCTTTATCTGACAAAGATTCCTCTGTCTCCAGCATTGAAATTGATGTAACTGACTGGGATAAAATAAAACGAAGAGCAGTTCATGTTTTGGTTAAAAATATTTCAAATGCTGTCAGTCAAACATTAACTAAAGATGAGAAAAAATTCATCACAGTTTCCAAAAGCACCGCCAAAAAAGGTATAAATCACACTGAAATTCAATAAGAAAAACAATATTTACATTAAAAAACCATTTTTCTTAAAGCTCTAACGTTTAGAGCATTAACTTTTTTTGTGTGTCCTCAAGCTTTGTCATTTCTTTCTATAAGTATTATATTTAAAAAAACAGATGTACGTGTTGATTGGTCCAAGCGAGGTGGAGACTACTGTCACTTTATTCTACATAAAATAAATTTGGATACGATGGATGCATTAAATCGAATTTCTTCTAGTTTAAGACTGAAAGCAAATTGCTTTACATACGCCGGTACCAAGGATCGTCGCGGGAAGACAACTCAATGGGTCAGCGTTAAAAAAGTTGATCCTAATAAGATTCTTCGATCTGTTAGATCCATTAAAGGTTTATTCGTGGGAAATTTCAAATTTGAAGCATCACCATTGAGATTAGGAATGTTGTTTGGCAATCGATTCTCTATCGTTCTAAGAAATATTCTAGACCCGATTGAAAAAATTGAAATTGCTATGCTTGCACTGAAGGATCATGGTTTTATTAACTATTATGGTTTACAAAGATTTGGGACAATAGCAAACATTCCTACTCACGATATCGGAAGAGCTCTTTTGCAAGGTAAATATCAAATGAATAATTTTGTATAACCGAATTCGTGTACAATTTCTTATGAAATTCGGTCGAATTATATTCACCCGGGCTATAAAGAAGTATTCATTTAATTTCATTGCGTCAAAAGTATTTTGTGTCGTATTTTGAGCTTACTGATTAAGATTACTTTTTGTTAAATTAGGTAATTGGAATGAAGCTATAAATTTAATCTTGAAGCCTAGAGATTTTGAGCAAGACAAATGTCTGGCCGAGGCTAGAAAAATATATAAACAAACTGGAGATGCAAATGCCGCATACAATGCTCTCAATAGAACAGAAACAATTGAAGGTCAAGTTCTTCGGGCCTTGAAGTTACATGGCAATCAAGACACACAAGCAGTGTTAAATGCTATTCCAAAAAATATAACCCTCATGTACCTGCATGCGTATCAAAGTTTCGTATGGAATAACGTAGTCTCGAGAAGATTTAGAGAGTTCGGTAGGAAACCAATTGTAGGTGATTTGGTTTTTGAAAGCAGTGATAATAATGAAATGGACGAAGTGACTTCTACTAATAAATCAGAGTCACTCGATGCAGATAGTAGTGAAGACAGTGAATTAACATGTAACGTACGTAAAGTAAAAATTTTGAAGGAAGAAGATTTAGCAAAGTATAAGTTGGAGGATATTGTTATGCCACAACCTGGCTGGAGGATTATTTATCCAACTTATGCTGTTTCCTGGTATGAAGAATTTCTTCATGAAGATGGACTTACAAAAGATCTAAAACAGAAAAACAAGTAAGTTTACTTATAACTTTACTTTACTCAATATTCGTATATGATTTTCCAAGCAAACGTTCTAGGTTTTGGCCTATCCTCTAGTGTCCATTCTTTGATTGGCTGCAATCTCTTATTTTTTCTTTGTCCCACAACGGGTGGAAAGTTATTTATAGAAAACTTTAAGGGAAAGTTTCACGACTGATTTAACCAGAGCTTAAATCGCTGAACTCGATCAAATATTATTAAATTAATTTTCTAAAAGTACTAAACCCAATTCACCGTCTTAAACTCCGGTGAAAAAAAGTTGAGGAACCGATCCTAAGTCCTGAAAATGTCAAGTACAGTATTATATAACATTTAATCCTTACCAGACATACCATACTGTCACATACAGACCTTGAGTAAATCGTAATTTCCACACTGAGAAAACTGGATAGTCAAACTTAGAGGGTTAGGTTTTGAGTGTTAATTTTAGTTAGTCAAATTGATCATCGGAGTGTCTATTTATCCCTCCGAGATGGTTACGAAAAACTTAACCTCAAATATAGTCTGTTTGTCCCTCCAGATAGTTAGTTGAATACTCCATTTTTCTCCGTGCAACATTTCACTCCTGTCAACACTAACAAATGTTACTTTCTTACCTTGATATTTAATTTCACAATTAATGAGAATCATCTTGCTAACGAATATTACTTCTATCGATTTCAGGAAATTCACATTAGGAGGAGCATACAGAAAAATTTTGCAAGTACCGCTTGATTTGTCATGGAAAGTAATTCATTACAATGAAAAAGATGAAGATTTGGTTATCTCAGACATCGATAGATTAAGAAAAGTGAAACCAAAGGAAGATACAGCTGGTATGTAAATTTTTATTTAAACAAATTTTTTATCCCTTTTATTTACTTGTAGGTAGGGTCTAATTCTATTCATTGTATAAAATTAAAAGTATAATAAGAGACATGGACCAGACCCAGTAATTTTTAAATTGGCGTTTAAAATTCGGACTACAAACGTCAATATAAGGGTGATTAAATTTAAAATGTCATTTTCATGTCCTGTTCAAAAATCTGCAATACCAGTTCATATATATAAAAGTTTTTGAAGTCAATTAATTTTCTTAATCACTCCTTCTACTTAAATTAATAATTCTTAGTCGCTAGAAATTCTCTGAAAAAATTTGGCAGAAGAATTTGAAGCAAAATGTCAGTGGTGTCCCTTGTCCGCACTTAAGAAATCAGAACTTTACCTAATAATAAAAATTGTTGATTCTCAAATTTTTAGTACCAGAAAAATTATTTTGTACAGGTAAGAGTCTATATTTTTATATAGTAATTGTGCTGGCAGAATAATTTTGATCCAGTGCTAGAAAAAAAATCAAAATCGCCTGTCCGTTAGTTTCATATTTTTAAGTAATTATCGCAAATTTTGAATATCATGTCTGATATTTAAATAACCTAGTGCAGATAATTGCCTTATTAAGCGTTAATAGTATTGGTGATATGTATAGCTTCTTAAAGAAAAAACATTACAACATTCTATCACATCTACAACTTGTACGGTTAGTGGCAGAAAGCAAGTATCACTTTGTCGAGCACACCATGTCAGTGGTGTCCCCATCGAAAACTTGTTCATAATATTAATATTTTTTTAATATTATTGTATCTCATTTTCAGTTATTACACGTACTTTAAAAACCGCAACGACTTCAACTTAAAAATAAAGTCTTTCTTTTTCGAAATTGAGAAATGAAGCAAAATGTCAGTGGTGTCCCTTGTCAGTGGTGTCCCCTCAAAATTCTGTTTCTTGCAGCTTATTATTTTATTTTTAATAAATTTGTGTTAAATTTACTCCTTATATGCAGTTAATGAAGATATGATACTGGATTGTAATTTATAGACTGATTTTATTCTCACTCAAAATAGAGTATCGTTAAGTTCAAAATCCAACATCGAAAAATCAAAGTTAGTAGGATCAAAAATGACACTTTAAATTTAATCACCCATAAATATATAAAATAAAATACATAAAATTCGAAATACACTGTAATATAAAATTAGTTAATAAGAATAAATAGACAAAATTATGTATTTTTAAATCATTAAAAAAAATAATAACGATAAAAAATAAACATAAGAGGATTGCAATTATATAAAAGAAAAACGAAACAACAAATTTTAATCTGGAATTAATATATTCTTTCAACACAATAAATCTTATAAATTGATTAATTAAAATTTAGTCTCGAGACTTGTGATTAAGATTTTGATTTTCGCCCTCGTCACACACACATACACAATCATACACATACGTCAGCAAAATATATAGAGAATAAAACGAAATATCACAATAAATTGAAAGATTAGAGAATGAAAGAATTTATACAAAAAAATATGGACAAAAACAATTTTCATCACTTCCCTTTATTTTAGGATCCGGGGAAAAGACTCGGTCCAGAGCGATCCGCGTTGGTTTGGAGAATCCTTGTGACGCAAGTATATTAAATGAATGTCGATCCCTTTTTTTCTCGGACTGCATTCATGAACATCGCAAAACTGGTCCAAGATTCCGCCAGGATAGATCCCCAAACGCCTCGCTTCACGGACACTGCTCTCTCGGTCAGTTTTTATTTCCGCCCATTTATTTTATGATAAACGCCACACTTAATTTAAACAAAGAAAAAAAACAAGAAACCCGACGATTAATAATCTGAATAAATAATATATATAAAAAAAATAGAATAAATTCTCTTTTTTTCTACAATTTACCTTCTAAATCTCGGCGTTGAATTTTGATGTATGGCGCGGAAAATGCCCGTGATTTTTGATTTTCTTTGGGAAGTAATGAGGCCGAGAGTCCGTGGAGCGAGGTATTTATTATCCGTGAAAATTTCCCCACCAAACCAACGAATCCCCCTACACCCAGAATCTCCCCGAAGACCCCCGTTTTCAACGAAGTTTCGCGATGGGTTCCAAAACAACAGGTCCCATTTATATAGGCGCTAACTTTTAAATTCCTATAACACGACGTACGTATGCACTATACACGTCTGTAACAGCGGCCGTCGGCAAGCATATTTTGTTGATTCTTCTTCTTCTTCTTAAACGACTTGAGGCTTAGCCAACTGTCAGAACAAACACTTAGAAGAATAAGAATTAAGAATCAAAAGTGTCCATGAAATTGGTTAATGTGGACAAAAAAAATGGCGTCAAACTTGAAGTTAGACACTTTAAAAATACAAATAAGTCAAAATTAGAGAACTATAGACATTGTGAGGTAAATCCTCACTTAAATTGATGCTTGAGAACTGCACTTGGGAACGGTCAAAACCGAACTCCCATTTTGTTGATTGATTTTGCCTCTAGCTCGAACCACGAGTATATACTTGCCTGAAATTGCAGGCGAGAAGCTCAAATAAAAAAATGCACCATTTTCACTTGGCTGAACCATATAACTGTCAACCCCACTCCAAATATAAATGAATTAATCCCCTGTAAACCATGAGAGCCAACGCTGGACCAGCGCCCCAACTAACCTTATAGAGATGACATTAAGCACATTTGTTATTTTACTAGCACGAGCAACATTTTTTTTAATATGAGGAATCCCCGTGAGACGATAATCCAAAATAATACCCAAGTATTTCAACTCAGAAGAGTCTATAAGACGAGACTTTTCAACTTCAACAGAAACACCTTCACATTTCAATTTCTTCGATGATAAAGGGCACAGCACACATTTCGTGGGAGAAATTTTTAAACAAACCTGGCTTAACCATGCATTCAGAGAGAGGAGCTATCCCTTGCAAAAGAAACTTAGCCTCAGTAACATTAGCGCCTCTAGCGTACAAGAGAAATGCAATCCAAAGATGACCTCTTTCGACAAAAGCCAAAACTGAAAATTAGTAATAATATTTTTCGTTCAACTAACGAACTAACTATTTCAATTCAGTCTACGTTGAATAATTCTTTCCATCAACTTGGAAAGTACCGAGGTGAGGGAAATTGGTCGAAAACCTTTTCCTCCAGGTTTAGGGATGAAAATAACTCTCGTTCTTCTCTAAGATTCTGGAAATATCGAATTCATAAACAGTGTGTTATATAACTTAAAGCAAAAACATTGAGCATTCAATGAGAGAGCCCTTAACCATCCCCATGTAACGAAATCCATACCAGGAGCACATTGCATGTTGCCCTTCATCAACGCAGCTTAAAACTCAAACCATGAAAAATGAGCGTTATAAACATTGCATTCATCTATTACACTGTGCCTTGGAATAAAAACCGGGGGTACCTACTAACCTACTTGCAGACTAGCTCATCCTGCAATTTTTAAACCTCTGGAGATATCACTGAGGAATCATTAAACCTTGAACTCCGAGGGCCACCCTGAAGAGATCTGATTACTGACCACGTCTGAGAAAGACCAACCTCAGGAGTCAGCTCACTACACATAAATTTAAAGGATTCATTACATTGGCAATTTTTCGCAGTATACAAATAAGTATTCCTTCGATAACTTCGTTTGATAGTGAGTATAAAGCGATGGATGCTCTTATTCTTATGGCCTTCTTGACCAAGAAAGAGACAATGGTGATGTTATATTATAACGTTTTGCAGTCTTGTAATAATTTTGTAGTTCCGAAAAGATATGCTAATTATCCTTTGGGAGTCTGGATCCTTGCTAAATAAGTCAATCTCATCTTCTTGTTTGAATTGCAATAATTTCTCACCTATCATTTTTAAAAACGGTATAGATGGAAGGGTGTTAAATCTTGCCTTATGTACAGCTTGCTTCACTCCACTTGTTTGTTCTAGCTATTGCGCAGAAACCATTTAATCTCCGTATCTCCATTACATTTTCCTTGGATTCATCATTCCAGTAAGCCTTGTTTGGCTCTTTTCTCCTTTTAACTATTTTGGAACATTTCCGACTTTTTTCACCCCTTTCTTTGTTGCCTTTTCAATTGGTAATAAGCAGAATGGAAACAAATTTTAATAGTTACTCAAAACGTAATCGTTAATTTTTAAGAACTGTAAATCAATGATTGAATGCTCTTTTTACCTCTTTCTGAAATCTACCTACATTGTCGAAAATTGCTAAAGTTTTTAAAGCTACCTTATTGTATAGTAAGCTTTCTAAGCAAAAAATGGTAGATCCCCATCGTGTTTTGCCGGGTAGTTTTAATGAAATAATTGCAGCAGAAAGCGCTTTTTTGAAAGTCAAAAATTTGGAAATTAGTTTTGCCAATAAATCCATGCGATGAGCTTCGCAACCGTATACGTAAAAATATGCGGAAAACTTTTTTGAACAAACAATTTTTTCAGACGTTAATCTCCTTTTTATAGTTGACAAGTTGTTTTTGCTTTCAAGGAATAATCTATCTGCTAGTTTCGTGGAGGAGTTTTGATCTAAGGAGGGTATTAGCGTCCTCTCTAGATTCCCATTTAATTTTTATTCTATTTAGATTCTTTTTCTGGATCAATCTTTCCCACTGAATTACCTTTTGTATTATGTCTGCTATGGATATGGGATTTAGTTTTAATAATTGAAAATTCAGGTTTGTTCCATACTAGAATTTCATTGGTCAGGCTTAGTAGTAGTTAGTTAGGCTTAGTTCTATTTGATTGCCCTTGGAGTATTCCATGTTGTGAAAATAATTGGTATTTCTGTTTTGCTCTGAATTTGTGATATAATACAGGTCTGAAGTTATTATGGAGACTGATTCTGTTTTTGTTGTGTAGCTAAACGGGTATCCCATTCCTCGATTGGTTTTTCCAAAAAAAAAGGTTTTGGTGTTTATTTAAATTAAATATGTTTTAATTAAACAAATCAGTTATATTTATTCTGTATTGAAGCAGCCAAAGTAAAAAACAATGTAAGTAAGTAACCAGATAGAAGAAAAATTTAAGAACCTTATTTAATTTCATATAATTTACACATCCCACTCTAGTTACACTTAATTTCACTCATAACCACTTCACCGTGAAGAAAGAACAACAACTAAAAGAAAATTAAAAAAAAGAAAATAATTCTTATGTAGAATTTAATTTTAAATACTAGGTATGATTTTCTTTTATTCATATTTTATTTTACCATTTGCAAGCTACTGCCAACCCTGAATATTTTATATATTTTATTTTGTTTGTTTATTATATCGTTTATATATTTCCTCTTATCTAAGGAAATTTCTAAGTACCTACTATTTATTATTAAGTAACGTAATTTAGTTGGGTAGGATTTTAGATGTCTAATTATTTTGTATAATCAGTTTATTTGATTAATTTCCTCATTTTATTTCTATTATTTTAATGAATTTGATATTAATTTAGTTATTGTATCTTAATTAAATTATTTCAATCATAAGCATTATTTGTATGTATTATGTATATAGTAAATATTGCTTTTATTGTTAAGTATTTTCTGAAAATTAGAATATCAATAATTAAGGATTATTTGTTGGGTTTATAGGAGAGTAAGTATTTTTAATAAACAATAGATGATATTTTACTCTATTGTTTGTTTTGTTTCGGCGGTAAACTTAGTAGTGTTGCAAGGTTGTCAGTAGTTTAGGTTTGGATTCATAGAATTGAATATAAACTATTATTTATCCGAAATAATTTCTTATGGTAAAGTATTTACTTACCAGCAAAATGTGTATATTGTCAAAACTTTCATATGAAGAAACTCTGTATAATAACAAATAATTTAGATATGCCAACAAATAATATTTTAATCAATTATTATATTGGTATTTTTAGATGGAAAATATAAAGCTCTAATTGTGGAGATGTCACTTCCTTCTTCTACATACGCAACAATGGCATTGCGTGAAGTTTTAAAACATGATACTTCTGCACAGTCGCAAGCTGAACTGTCAGCAAAGTACGATCAAAATGAAGATAACAACTTGTTAAATAAATCTGACAGTACAAACTTAAATTAATAAAACATGAGTTTTTTAAAATTTGAGTTTATTTCTCAATATAAATTTGTATCAAAAATTTTATAAAAAATAAAAATGTTTATGAATTCATTCCTTTTAACTGTACAATACATGTCTTTTAATATGTCTTTGACAAGTATATAATTTTGTTACTCTATACTAATGCATTACTGTCTAGATAAACTTGTTACCTATTCTAAATAAACTTTTTTCTTATTTAAGTGCAAAGAAGTTTTTCAAAAAAAGCTTAATTGTGAAATCTACATTAATTTTCATATAAATCGAAAAATAAATAAGTGTAGAATTTGTATTATTCAACACAACCAATGCATATTAAATTACTAGTAAATTTTCATTTTTTAAATAAAATTGAATTTGAATAAATGCGGCGGCTTTTATATCATTGCCGCCCTATTTAAAAATTTTTAGTATTTCGTAAATTTAATTTTACATTTATCGAAGTTTAAAATCAGTGTTCAGCAAGCTTTAATATGATTTTTAAAAAAATAGTTTTACGGAAGGTTTATAAATATTGCCACGCATCAGATATTATAGGTAGAGAATTGTTTTAAATGTGACATTGGGGGCAAGGAGTAGGAAGTCATTCCATATTCTTGATGTCACGCAAACATTTTTACTACTCTCTAAATTTGAATGAGTAAAAATGTTTATTAATAAATTTCTACTAGTGACTGACTTTTGCTTTTGAATTATTAAATGTTACTAATAAATAGTAAATTATACAAATTTGCTTTTAAATTAGTAAATATTACTAATAAATAGTAAATTATACAAATTTATTAGTAAAATTTACTAAGTCTAAAGCAAAAAGTCAACCACTAATTCAAAAATAAAGAGTAGATTTATTTTTAATTGAAAATGCCCATTGAGGTGATTATAACATTACTAGTGATTGATTTTCATCTTTGGTTCATCAATGGCAACCAATAATAAATTAATAGTATAAAAGTTATAATTATTATTAAACAACCAATTTAATTTAAATTTATTTTAATGAAGCTTTTAAATATTTTATTAAAATAAACTAAATAAATTTATTGATTTCTTTAAAGTTTAATACAAGAAAATAATAAAAATAAAAACTAAGTATGAATTATTATTAAAAATAAATATATAACATTTAAGACTGAAATCCGTCACTATAGTAAAATGAGTAAAAACTTTATTTTGAAGTTAAAACTACTAGGTAAATGTTAAATCTCCATCAGTGGGAAAAGGTTTTGTTAAATCGTGACAGAGCAAGATATGAATGAAAGGAGGAGTAGAACATTTAAAATTAAAGTGATGTCACATGTGAACTTTTTTCAAGTAACATTATTTCATCAGTATTTGCACTTTACGAATTGTCTTAAAATTACTATATTCCTTCTCAGTTCAAACGAATTCCTGGATTTCTAGATGCGACGAAGTTGAGAAGCTCGTCACTATCCTCACAAACGAAAGGCTTCACGTGGTGACAGGCGACATCATGCCATTTGAGGCCATCGTTGTAGAAATTATTTAAAATTGATAAGCACGATTCATCATTACCCTGTAAAATTATGTTATTTAAATTTATTATTTTTTTGAATAGTAAGACAGTAGAAATAGAAAATACAATTTTAAAGTGTAAGTGTTTCAGCTTACGAAAATATGTAAAATACCTGAGCGGCTTCACGATTATCAGGTTGTTGTTGTCCGTATCCTCCAGTGTGACTCCAATCCCCGGTATTTCTTTGGGTTGTTGCTCCAATCTTTGCGCCCGATCCAGACCAAAACCATCCATTTACATTTTGAGGTTGTAGATCTGGTCTATCGCATCCTTGGAAATTACATTTTCGTCCTGAGGTCCATATGTAACGTACATTTCCTGCAATTAAATTCATAATCATTAGTTCCCCAATTTAAATGATTATGAACAAGAGATGATTTTTGGTCAAAGCTTAATGTAGTTAAAGTTGACAAAAATTATTTTCTTATGAAAGCTCTACAGTTTATGAAATATTGAAAATATTTTTGTTTTATAAGATTCCGTTTAGTTTAAAACTACTGGACTTCTAGTGTGTAAGTTTAACTTACCTCTGGAAATTCGCTGTTTAATAAATTCATTTTCCTGAGGTGTTTCAAGTGACACAGCATCCATGCAATGTCTACGGCATATGTTGCGAGCATCTAGCCAGTCCACTTCTAAATTTCTTGTAGGTGCATGTTCCCAACTAAAGAAATAAGAATGTGCAACACCTCTTGCGTCTCTGTACGAGGCATGACGCACACCTAATAAAAATGTAAAAATAAGTTTCATGAGGCCAATTCCTGAAGTAAATAACATTCATTGCATTTATTTATATGTGCAAATACATATATGCGTCTACCAAATTTCAACTATATTAGTCAAATAGTTTTACCATAAGGGTTCCGTCAGTACACTGAATCATAAAATTCTATTTCTTTCTTTGTGTTTTTCTAACATCAACATTTGATCACTCAAAACATTTCTCAATTATTTATAATCATCTGAGTATTTATTTCTTCTATCCACACTTTGAGGCTTTTCTATTGGTGCTTGCTCTTCAACTCACTATCTCTTAAAGTTCAATAAATATATGTTTTCTATTCTCTTTAACCAACATTTTTTTCTTTAATGTATATTTATTTATTTATTTATTTATTTAATGTATTTCAATTAGAGAAAAATGGTTTTTTGATGAGAAATGCTATTTAATATAAGTTGTTTTTATAATTTGTGGATTTTTCATCAAAATTTAGTACATAGTCTGACAAATTATAGCAGTATTTTTTACGAATTGTCACATAATCGAGTTAAGATTTTTTCGCCTCTTCTGTTTAATAATCCCTTTTTTTACTGGGCTACCCTATATCGGATTTCTAGGGAAGGGAAGAAATGTCCGGTGTGAACGGAAAAACTTATATGTATATATATTTTAATTTTAAGGGTCCGCAAAAAATGTCATATAAGAGTCCCGTATAAGTGGGTTTTTATTTTTTTAAAAAGGATCAAAAAGTATAGCTGAGCACTTATTTGTACCATATTTCCAAAAAATATTTTACTATCGTTATAATACAATCATAAGTGGTCTAGAATGGCTTTTAAATTTTTATTTTAATTAGAGAGAGAAGGTAATTTCAACATCAGAACTGATGAAAGACGAAAAAAATGATTGATTTGGAATGATTGCTGTATTCATGCTTCATTAATATTGAATAAGACCGAATCATAAAATCATCCATGCTGTTTATTTCATTTTTTTCGATATTCTATATGATAGTCTGAATTATTTGTTGTTATTATTTGCCTTACCTTATATATTCATTTTCTAATTTTATTAACTTCAGAATCGAAATATTATTGAGACCATCTTAAAGATTTATATATGAGTCTGTGAATATTATATATGAAAAGTATAAACAGAAATTGAAGAGTGCGGTAGATGAAGTGAAAGTTTTGTTTTTTTTCTAAGTCAAACATTAACACGATTTTCCTGATGTGCTGAGCCTTAATCAATCCACTGTATAGTCTATAATTTGGTCAACATTTTGGGTAATAGAACACTCAACAAATTATATGTCTAATACAATCATGCTCTTTGTTTAAATTTATTTAGGCAATATATAAACGATACAGGTAGACTTTTATGTTTTTTTAATAGAACAGAAATTACATTTCGAAACTTATTGGCTAACTACAACGAGGTGATTGAATAAATCCTGAAACTCATTAGCTAGAACTTTCATTCAACATACTCAGCAACTTTAATATTCAAGCAATAATGTTAAAATTCTCACTTCAAGGTAATATTTCGGATAATGTTACTGTGATATTAAATCTGAGACTGTTTTATCTCACAATAAAAAGTACGCTTGGGGGCAATCTTGAAAGCTGACGAGTCAATATTCCAAACTTACTTGTATTACATCTAAGCTTTTGAAGACGGTGACGGGGTCCACGGTGAAAGGTATATAATACGGAAAAATTTTTAGGTTATGTTTATGATAGTTTTTTTTAATATTATGTAAAACGAAAAGTAATTCTTATTGAATATTTAGATGCAACCTCACTTTGCTCTGAGAGTTAATTCTATTTACGTAATTTCACTTTAAAATTAACAATCATAACCTAAAATTTTTTTGCGGAAGATACCTTTCACCGTAGAGCGTCACATATGAAGATCATTAAATAACTTGTTTTGCTTGCTAGTTCTTAGGGGCCATTCATTAATTACGTAAGAATGATTTTTATTAATTTCGACTCGCGCCACATCCTCGTAAAGATATATAAGATTTTTCGAGCCCCCTTCTCTTTTCTTCTATTAGATTTCACCTAGAGCTACTCTAAAAATCTTAAAATTGTTTAATATCATTTACTAAAACATATATTATTTGAGAGAATGTTGGCAGTATAAAGTATGAATATGTAAAGAGTAGGGATGATTGCACAGCCCCATATGCATAAGTCAGTGTGGTCAGATTAATTGGTCTCTACTACACACTTTGTACTTTTTCTTGTTAAATAATTAAAGTAGAGTTCTCTATTGAAAATTCTTAAGCTGAGTCTCCAATAGGTGCCAATATGCATGTGCAAGTGCCAGTGCCAGTGCCAGTGCCAAACCCATTTAAAATGTATTGGGGATTGGCACTTGCACTTACATTGGCACCTATTGGAGACTCAGCTTTACATGGGAATCTACGTGGGTCCTGCTATGGTGATGAGGCCCGGTAAAAAGGCTTAAATAGAAAGGTATTAAAAATTATTTCATCATCAATAGGAAGACGAAAATTTTAAATACTTCTGAATTCCTTTTTTGTCTGCTAAATTTGAATACTTGTATTAAGTCAAATTCGTCTATAAAACGAATCCTTTTCAATGCCCAAAGTTTACAATATTATAATGAATAATACAATATTATTCATTATAATATATTATATAATATAATATAATATAATATAATAATATAATATAATATAATATAATATAATATAATATAATATAATATAATATAATATAATATAATATAATATAATATAATATAATATAATATAATATAATATAATATAATATAATATAATATAATATATTATAATACAATATTATAATGACTTTTATATCACTTAAAGTGGAATAAATTTGTGATCTATCTAATGCCTTTTAATTCCTTGTAAATCAAATGCTTGCTGGTGGACAACTAACAAAAATTGACCAATCAAAATCCAAGTTACTTGAGAAAAGGATGAAAAAGGAAATGAAAGTGGCTCATCTGTTCAAAGTGATTTCATTGACAGTTGTAATGTGCTTGACTTTGTAACTGGTGATAACTAGCGTCAACCGCGATTGTCCACGTGCATATAATCGGGTGCAAATAAAATCCCATACAGCACCGAGAATTTCTTTAAACTAGACAGGATCTCGCCCAGCGAGGTTAGAAATATTGCGTGGTAAAACTCATGGAAATAATTTGTTTAAATGTCCGCATATAAGGAAATATTGAATATCAAACTTGAGCAAAAATTTTACTGTACATAATAACTTGCCATGTTCAGGCAATATTGTATCAATGTTGCATGCAATGTTAGCCCAATTATTAAATTTTCGTCTGCTAATATAAACTGAGCAATTTCCTGTCAAGTTTCAAGAAATTTTTGGTGCTGTGTTATTTTTATGTAAATCACGTATAATGTAAAACTTTTATTAAAACTTTATTTAATTTTAATTATTACATTCCTTTATTTCACTTACTCAAAAAATTGACTTCATGAGCATCAAATTTTCCATACCCAATAATAAGGGGTGAATTAAAGTGGATTGGTACTTTTATGCCCTTAAATTCCAAACCAATTCCGTTTTTGTCCGCAATCTTAATGAAATTCCTTTTCTATTGTTAAGTTGTTCGTTTCTATCCAATTCAATTCTCTGTAACCACGTGACCAGAGTCTGAATTCACTTTAATGCCGTTCAAGGGAATCATTTGTTGTGGAGTTAATGCCTTTTAATTAACATTGAATTCTTTAAAGGGCATTAAAGGGGTTTCAAATTCTGGTCACGTGGTTACAGAGAATTGAATTGGATAGAAATTATCAATTTAACAATAGAAAAGAAATTCATTAAGATTGCGGACAAAAACGGAATTGGTTCGGAATTTAAGAGCATAAAAGTGCCAATCCATCACTTTAATTCACCCCTTATTACTGGGTAAATACCTATATATTTAAAATTGAATACCTTTCTACACCTGACCTAAAATTATGTGCTTTTCAATTCCTCTCTATACCTTGGTCCCCTTGGTCAACGTTTATGTGACGATATTAAAAGGAATTACAAATTTTTTATTTGTATACTCTTATTGGGAATTCGAAACTCAGGACAAAAAGGAATTAAAAGGAATTCAATTTTTTCAATACTTTCTAATGCAAGCCTTTTTACCGGGGGGATTTCCCTGACAGTTTCAGTATTTTGTAAATAACTTTAACTTAACAAACTGAATGGGATATCATACATTTCGACGCATTTCACACTGGAAATAATGTTTATGTGTCTCACCTAAATGTATCGCTGGATTTCGTCATAATAAAAATCTAGGTGTAAGAGTTTTGCTAACATTCTAAAATAATCAGACATACTTTTGATACTATTCAAATTTTGAAGCAAGACCAATTCCAGTCGAAATCCAAGACATTCTTTATCGCTAACAAAGATGTTTAGTTGTAATTACGACAAAGTTATAGTAAATGCATAATTTAACGCGGAACACTTTGTAGATTGATTTTCAACAATAAAAGAAATATCTAAAATCTAAACCACTTTTAGAAAATTGCGGAAAAAACCGCCAAAATGTGCCCTTTTCCTGCGGATGTACACAAATAATGTTCAATAATACGAATTATAATTAATATAGAATATTTAAGAATATTAATGTTGAGTACTTTGTGTAACCTAATAAACGACTGTATTTGAGCTTCACATAAGAGTATATACGCTAATTTACGGTAGCCTACATTGAAATTGAGGTCTCAGTCAAATTTCGATTATTTAGTATAATATTACATAAGAATAGATTTCACAGACCCACCTATTTTTTGAAGAAAGGTCATGTACATATTTTTGAAAACCTCCTCTCCCTCAGAGCCGTTACGTAATTAATGAATATCCCCAAAAGTGTCCACGTGGAATATGGACAACCCCTTAACAGGCCTACAAAATTTTTTATTTTGTCAGACCCACAAACCTGAATAGTAATTTCTAATGCAATTTTTTACGCTGAATCCAAAAATTTCTTTAAAATTGTTCCATCACGTCAGGTTTTTGTGATATTCTAACCTAAATTTGTGAAAAAAATGACGTTTTTTGACAATATTTGAATGTCTGTAAAAGTCAAGAAAATGCTATTTTCAGTTTTGGTTCAAATTTCACAATAAAATGCTATATTTCAGCTTTTAATACCTTATATACTTTATAATCTATTGAGAGCAAAAATAAAAATTTTAGTATATGGGCTGTTACTAATTACTCAAATATTCTTGTTCTCGCTAATTTCCAATCTCATATCAATTTTTAGAAATTTAAAAAGTCGACTTTTTAAAATTCTGACATACAGGATTCGCTATATTAAATTTCTAAAAACTGATATCAGATTGAAAATTAGCAAAAGCAAGAAACTTCGAGTATAATTAGTTACAGCTCAGATACTTTACAATTATTATTTTTTCATTAGATTTTTAGGCCATGAATTGTAAAATTCAAATTGCTATAACTCGCGGTGAAGAAAAATTAGATCGAAATTAAAAAAGATGGATTCAGAAGATGAAATATAGCACTTTATTGTAAAATTTGAATCGAAACTCAAAATAGTATTCAAATATTGCCAAAGGCGGTCTTTCTCACACATTAAGGTCTAAAATTTGTAGGCCTGTGCTATTATAATATAATATTTTATATCAACTATCAAGTGAACTTTGCTAAGCAATATTTCCAACACTGTGGTATAAAATTTTGTGTTATTAGGGATTTAATATTACTGTAATATTTCCTATTACATTAAACAAATATTACAATATTATCATTATAATGCTTTTTTATTATTATTTATAAGTAAAGTGGCCTCATAAAGTCTTTTAAATAGTAACTCTTTAGTCTTTTATTACATCGCTGTTTGTAACTGCAGATATGAGGGCTTTTTTTATTTGTTTGAAACTGGTTACTCTCCTGCTTTCATACAGTCTTCTATTAAATATATTGCTGAATCAATTTAAGTGCATTTGTAATACGATATAGGTGTAATGATCGGGATTATAACATTTACATTTAATATGTTATTTTTTATATGAAATCTGCTTTTTAAAAATTATTTTAAATAATGGGCAGTGAAATTGTTATAGGGTAAATGCACTAGTAGTCGGACACTTAAGGATACAATCTTAAATTATGGTTTTTTTCTTGAAATAGCAAATATCTTCTGTGTTTATAAGCACATTATTAATTAAAGGAGTTCTTCAGGATTAAAAATCATATAAATTTGTTACAAATAGTTGAGTATTTAATAAAATATAAACATTTTAATAAAAAATTACGAATGCTTTAGTAGTCGGACACTTTTCCCCTTTGTTTCTATAGTCGGACATCTGTCAGATATTTTGAATTTATAAAGTGAAAAAGATAATTTTTTAATTGCTATCTACTGGAAAATGGAATTAAAGCATATTAGAAGTTATTAATATAATATTTAAACCCTATAAGTTTTAATATTTATGATTAATTATCAACAAAACTTTGTGCCACTCATCGCGCTACTCGAAAATGGTTGTATCTATAGTCGGACACCATGATTTTTAAAACATTAAATAAAATGTTTCTTGTTTAATTATTTTGTAAAATAACAGTATTTTCATAAAATATAAACTTCACACATTCGTCTAGTATACTTTTTAAAGTAATTATCACAATGCATTATTATTTATTTGCCAAAAAACACGAAAGTGTCCGACTACTAGTACTGTCCGACTATACCTGCACTTACCCTATTAAAAAATGTTTAAATATCATGGGAATTTGAGGAATACTATATAAAAGTTTTTGTTATAAATGTTAATTTCCCTCATTTGAAGTGAAAAATAGGATATATTGGTAATTATCAAAAAATATATAAGCTAAACATATCACTTAGAAAATATTGCAATAAAAGTTTGAATGTTTCACCTAAATGACTAAACTCTTATTCAGAAATAAAATATTGAAGCACTGGATAAATTTTTCAGCAGCAAGCAGTATACTTTCTCTGCAAAAAAATTTAGCCACTACAGCTAAATGTTTAGGACGACGATTTGAAGCGATATTATTTAGGTATGACACCTACTAAAGTAAATTCCTGCGTCGAAATTTTCAGAGCTGTGATAATTACAAAAGAAAAGTTTTTTGGAATCATTCAGGAAAATATCATGCCATCAGGAGGACATTTTGTTATAAGTCATAATTGCAAACTTGTAATGTAAATATTCCGAAAATAAGTCACTTCCGACAATTTCCCGGAAATCCTTCCACATGGGATCCTAGGAATATCTACGGATATCCTATACATATCCCACATATATTCTTAAGATATCCTCCGGATATCCATAAAATATACGTAAGATGTCCATAAAAATTCTCTAAAATAAAAAAAATGTTGCTCTATTATGTCTATCCAGATACCCTATGGTATATTTTGTGGACGTTTTGAGGATATCTTTTAATGCGAGGAATGACATTACTTGTATACAGAAAAAAAAGTCTGACTCCGTTTACACCTTAAATTCAGCCTCAAAAGGAGGCTGAAAGTAAGACTTTTTTTTAGTGTGTAGATAGGACTTCTTATCAAAAAGTTAAAAAATGTTTAATAATCATTTAACATTATACTTACGATTGGCACAGCTTCTAGGATCTGGCAAAGCAAGCCTTCGCTGTGCTGATGCAACAGCAATGATGAATAAAATAAAGTAACTTTTCATATTTTTAACCTGTAAGTAATCATACAACAATCGTTAGTACTGTGAGGAAATAATTGGATAGAATGGCATTACTTAAAACATGTTTGTAATTTTTTTAAATTCAAAGGATATACATATAACTTTTATTTTATCTATCATCTCCATTTGTCAAGGTGTTATTAACATCCCGGTAAACGTTAAATTTAATATTAAACATTAAACATAAATCTTTCATCACACATGCAGGTATAGATGAGAACTTTTATTTATTTCCATACTTTGTATTCTATTATTTTTACTTTTTATTGTGCAGTGTAAGTTTTTACTTTTTAAATTGCAACTTCTTTTGACTTAGAAGATTCCATGACTTTTTGACGCTCTAATAAAATAAAGAACTAGAAACTCGATACAACTTTTTAAATTCAATGAAGCTGCGGGTGTAAAAAGTAAAATCTAACGTTTCTCATTTAAGAGTAAAAATATAAAAATACAAAATGTGAAAGTAAATAATAGTTCTTATCTTCACGAAAAAATTTTATTGTCACTGCGATTGGAGTTTCTCAATCACTGAGATCTGAAAAATTAACGAATTTGAGCAAAAAATAAAAATGTTCATGTAATTAAACAATAAACAAACTTGTGTCAAAGTGTATAAAAAATAGCAGTTTAATTTATAAATATTAAATTTTTATGTCATGTACGTAAAATTAAAAAATTTTGTTTTAATTTGATAAAAATTGGTTTATTGACATTTGTAGTGCTGTAAAAGTTTCGCCTAACCAGCGGTAAAAATGGAAAACCGTTGTAATGCAAATTTTATTTAATATAAATGAACTAAAATAGAAAAAACTTTTTAATTTTATCAACTTCAATAAAGTTCTTTTTATACTATAAACTTCAACAAAGTAACTGCAGATAATAATAATTTAAATTGTCATAAAAATTTAAAAAGAAATTTAAAAAAATCTTAATAAATAAATTGTAAATATTCCGAAAAGTTAAAATAGAATATTGCAACTATATTTCTGCTAGAATCTTTTACTTGAATTAATTATTTTTTTGTCGGATTGACACGTAAGTTAGATTACGTTAGCCTAGTGAACTGTGATTCAAACTTGTCTTCTGGTACAACCCTACGTATGGCTAACCCTAACGGTTTGACTGAAACAGTTTCATACAGGAATACGATGTGGCAGAATCAGAAAAAAATTGTAGCTGTAATGGAGAAAAATGTCTTTCAGTGTAACACATACATTTCATTTAACTTATTACGTTTCATTTAAGTTTATAATGCACTATTAAGAGCAATTTAAATTTATTATTAGTAAACGATTATTAGTTTTAAAAAGTAATCTAAAATAATGTTTTAAGTTTGCAGTTTTAAACATTTGATTTCTCTTTTTAACAGTCGAAAGGAAACTTTTATCAATTATTTATAAGTAATTTTACATAAAAAAATGTTTTAATGTAATATTTATGAAAATAAATACTACTTGTACTCATGTGCATCTAAGCGAGTTTTTATGAGTTGAGTGCCTTTAGTGCAGTAAAGACAGTCAAGTTACCTATATAAAAAATATTTTTGAAAATCACAAAAAGCATTTGTTTTAAATTAAACCAACTCATAGTTTTGTATAGAATAAAACGTCTTTTCATATTTTAAAAAAACCCAAAATTTTGCAGAACTGAGAAATCAAAGAAGGAAACAAATGTTTTAATTAAAAAGCGTTCCACTTTTATTTATTAAATACTTTTAACTATTAATTTTAAACTGATTCTACATTTATACTTAAAATATAAAATTTGTTAATTTTTTTAAAACACTAATAAGATTTTAATTTAAAAATCCTTTTTCACATAAACAAATAACAAAAATAATTTTCAAGTAATTAATATTATGTTAGATATTAAATTGTTCATACAATTAATTGATGTATTTAGTGATATTAATATTATTAATCTTAAGGATCGTGTATGTGAAATCCGGATGAAAACACTTGGTATTATGTGTCACTTTACTATCAACACATGACGACAATCTTCGAGATATTTCGAGATATTCGGATTAATTTTTGATGCAAAACTTTATTATATTATTGTAAAACAATTAGCCACAAAAGATTAACCAATTTTACTTCCACAAGGCACTGTATTATTTTGTTTGTATTAAAATCCGAAACCAAATATTCGTGTAATATTTGAGTCACCTGAAAAAGGTTTGTAACTGCAAACTGTCAGCAAATAACCGTTTGTATAGTTCGGGTTAAGAAAGACAGGGTAATGATCTTACGATTGGAAAATACAAAGAAGGAATGAACTGTTGGACGAACATGATGAGCTAGTATATATTCGGCCCACATTCTCTGATGCTACGAGTAACCTAAATTACTCCCTCCAGCCGAGCCATCATCTTCAGGTGAACTCGGGTCTTCGATAAAACCCCACTTGCTTTCGTGGAGCATTGTGCGGTAGCTTAAAGTGAAAGAAGATGTTTTCTATATTTACTAAACATACAAGGTGTATACTCCCAACTGTGTTTCCTGTTTAATTTTTTGACAAACAAGCCATAATTTATGGAAGATGCATGTTAAGATGCACACCCCAATCCTTCTATGAACATCGATGAAGTCCAATAAAATTATTTTATTAGCAATTTAAGCAACCTATAAAAATTCACAGAACTTTCAACTCAAACGGAAAAGAAACTAATAATTATTTATTTTTAAAAAATCAAGTTACTTCATATTTTTATTATATGTAATAAATATCCTTTGTCCCAGATAGCACATGTATTCCAAAAAGTTTCCTAGAATATTCCAAGTTATAGAAATAAGATAATTGATCGTTTTCGAGAAATATATGCTTGAATTAATAATCAAAAGTTTCCCTTAATTGTTTTTTTAGAAATATTAGTACAGAATGATCGTACATCTTTACGTTAAACTTTTCATTTAAAAATTAACAATTGACATAGTGTCAATCCGGTATCAACGATTGATTGATTTAAAGTATCAGGCTGGCGCTGGCAATTTCCAACTGTACTGCTGGTGCTGGATACTTCCTAATTAAAAATTTCCACATGGGATTCTACGTGGATTCTTATATAAAAACCAATATAAATCCCTAGAATCAATATAAAAATACAAATAGAATTCTTTATAAAAGCACATGTGAAATTAGCACAGCATTTCAAGTAGGAATTAATGTATTGATTTGAGTTTGTCTATATCTACATAGAAATCTTTGTGGAAACATATGTAGGATTTTACATGGTATTTCACATAGGATTTTATATGAGATATGTTATAGTTTTTTATGAGATTTGACGTAGGATTTTATATGAAATTTCATAGAAAATTTTATATGGGATTTCACATGGTTTTTTATTATAGAGATCAAAGGATTAAAAATTATTTAGTTAAAAATTAAATAATAAATATTGTATTAGCACTACATGTCATCAAATAGTAACAAAATTCAACAATTTGTAACACGTCTAAGTGAGCTAAGTGAGCTATAGCATAGGAGCTATAGTGTTTTATATTAATTATTTAAAAAACATGTGGAATCCTACGTAAAATCCCTTATGATTTCCTATAAAGAAAGTAACATATCTGCTCTCTTTCCACAAATTAATTGCACAGTTTGATTAAAAATGTTTCTGCAATTGTGAATCCTGTACAAAAGAATTTGATAGTTGGTTCTCAATAAGGTCTTTTAGAATTGACATTGCCAGGAGTAGCAGACAAATTTGTAACCTCCTAGAAAATCGTACCTTCTTCCAATCTGGAAAGTCGAATCTCTGCAACTTACTGCCCAGGTGCGATTTTTTGGTCGGCCCATAGTTGGGCCAACTTTTACAAAGTCGGTCCAACTTCTTGTGCCAGAGGTTGGGCCAACCATACAGATGATAACGGCGGCCGTCTAATGGCGACGATGGTTGGCCCGACAACTCATAAGAAAGTTGGCCCAACTTACAATGCATATGTTGTGCCAACTATACATTTCAATGGTTGGTCCAAAGACTGACGCCAAAGTTGGCACAACTTTAGATGCGTAAGTTGGGCCAACCACAATTTTCAAAGTTTGGCCAACTTCAACAGCCAAAGGTAAAAAATTATTAAAAAACTACATTATTTAAACAATTAACACGTTATTATTAGCGGGAACATCAGATATAACCTTTACCTATTATTATTAAACACAATCCCATACATACATTTTCGAAAATATCTATCGCTCGCTGGGATCGAACCCCTAACCTAACGCACCGAAGACTTATACACTGACCACTACGCTACGCTCACATGGGAGTGCATAACGCAAAATGTATATTTAAGCTGCAACAGTCGGGCCAACCGTGGCCCAGAGTTCGGCCAACCAAGAAAAATCAAGTCAATTAAACTGCGTTTCACAGAGTTTTGCCAACCGTTGGGCCAACCGTGGCCCAGAGTTTGGCCAACCGAAACTGAAAGTCTTTTAAACTACGTTTGGATGAGTTGTGCCAACCTTTGTCGCCAAAGTTGGCCCGACGGTTGGTTAAACTCTGCATTTAATGGTTGGCTTGCAAAGTCGGGCCAACTGTGGGCACAAGTACTTGCCAAAGTTGGGCAAACTCTGGCAACCAAAACTTTGCTTGCCAAAGTTAGGCCAACCTTGGGCCAACCTTCAAACTCTGGCGGCCAACCTAAATTCGCACCTGGGTGAGGGCTATTAGATGATCTGCGAGAGCTCGTCTAGTGCTTCTTTTTTCATCAACTTGAGTACCTACATAGATGTGAGAAGTTGAAAATTCTATTGCCTGAATCATTTGAAGAAAGAGATGAGTTTTATTCGTTATAATTGATGTAGGGAATGTTAGTCACTAATTTGGTTAATATATATATATATATATATTAATCTAATTTTGCCGAAACTAAAGTCTATCATCTCCATTATCAGGACAAAATCTTTTAGGACTTTGAACAGGATCTTCTTCTGGTGAAACAAGTTCGGAAGGTGGATCACCATTATTATTCCTAAATTCCAAGTAAAGTCTGAATGAGACATTATTGACGTACGAACTATCTAATCTATCAAATCAAGGTTTGAAAGTTGGCATTTTTTGTAGGAGACTGTAAATTTAGTACAAAAAAAACCTTTCTAGACAGATTGAGTCAAAGCACAATAAGTCCGGGGTAACAAAACTTGTTTGTGAGCTTTATCTACAAAAAACATTCACAGCTATTAAAATTTAAGTTTTAATGAAAAATTGACTTGTAATTCAAGATATTTGCAAGGCACGACCAAATTTACATCGAATTCAAGGTTTTCAAGATTGGATGGACACCCTTCACGAATTCTGACCCTATTACGAAAAATAAAAAATTTTAAGACGTTTTGAGAAAAGTGTTCTCCAGGTGGCCCTTCTCCAAAAATTCACTGAAAAAGTTGAAAATCTAAAATCGATTAAGGTGAAAATGAAATTAAAATTTTCAGATAAGTTTCAAGGTAAACATTTATTTAATCGAGTCATTTAAATCTTCAGATGATTTTCACTAAAATTTATTGCATTTAAATATTTCATACATTGCAAGTAGATATTTATAAATTTTTATGGAATTTTCGGTATTAACCGTTAACCCCAATAGCACGTAATGTTCCAGTAGCATTGACAACATTGAGGCAATATTGGTAATGTTAAGGCAGTGTTCTCAACTTTGCTGTAATATTAGGGGAAAGGTGTACGAGATGATCCCCTGGGGCAAGATGATCCTTTTGAATTTTGGCGAGCCTATTAGCTCCACCTTTTAGGCAAATACGGTAATACGTTGCCAATGACATACCTATGAATCAGTCAAACTGTCATGACAACACGCGTCATTAAAAAAATTCTATTGGAAAAAATAAAAATTTTATACTTTTGATCTAAGGAAAGCTTAACTTTGGGCTTAGATAACTTTTGTTGTAGTAGCTAAAATTCCATGTTTCTTGTACTCACGGCTTCAGTATCTCTTCAACTAAGTGTTCTGATTGGTATTATGGAATAACAGAGCTCGTAGGTTAAGTTACAAACAAATTACAAAATAGTGGCATTTGGGGCAAGATGATCCCTCAATGGGTGTACAAGATGATCCCCCCTGATTCCCATGTATTTCGCCTCACCTCAAAGTGAATTTTCTAGTATTAATAAAAAATTTAATTTTTCTCGCTTCTTATATGATTTTATTATGAAAACTAACTTATCTAAAACAAAAAGTTGACATCTACATCTATTTTATTAATTTTCTCGTTGTAGACAACCTCGTAATTAAAAAATAGGAAAACGAATTGTGGTGAGTGGTCAAAAGCGTTTGTGGCCTAAATAAAGTATATTTAACATTGATACACTGTTATTCCATCAATTTATACTCCTTTTCCAATAATTGGGGTAAGATAAACCTACGGATCATCTTGCCCATACCAGGGGGATCATCTTGGACACCCCGGTGTCCAAGATGGTCCTTTTGTAAGGTTTTAGAAAAATTAAATTTAATAGTAAAATATTAATTAGCTGCAAATATTTCAAATCAGAATAGTTAGATAGATTAATTATCTAGTAGTACGTACAAAAAAAACTCGAATATGTTGATTTTTCTTTGAATAATAGGTTTTTTCCCTTAGGGGGATCATCTCGTACACCTTTCCCCTACGTGCTATTGGGAAATCTTCAAAATAAACATTTATTTTTAATCAATTTAATTACAAAATCAGTAAGAAAAAACCAACGCAAAATTTTAGTAGAAAAAAAGACAATATACTTCAATCTGCATATCCTAAGAATTTGAGCTGGATTGGTTTTCTCCAAAGAAGTTATGTACATTTTAAATCCCAATTAAATGGAGAATAATCAACTTTTAAGGTATTTCTAAGCAAATTTTTACAACCAGAGATTTTCATTTTATTAGGGGTCGTCTATAAACTATACGTATACGTAGCGTCTACTTGGGGGACGGGGCCATCCATTTTATGGATGGCCCCTTATTTAGTAATTTTTAAATTCATTTTTTAAAATAGATTAAAATTTCAAGTAAAACACTATTTAATTAAAAAAAATTGTGTTTAATTTTTACTAGAGCTGTGCAAAATAATTCGAACCAAACTGTTCGAATTTTTTTTTTTTTTTTAGCTTAGTTCGAATGTCGAATATTCGACATTCGACATTTCGGCGCCCCAAAACCGAACTAAACTCGGTTCGGTTCGAATTTTGCACAGCTCTAATTTTTGCATTATATTAAGTTAAAAAATTTTGTGATTGTATTTTTTAAAGAAATTTAAGTTTAACAATGCTCAAATCCTTTAAAATGTCAAAGAGTTTGAGATACAATTATTCTTATAGAAAGACGCATCAAGTTTTGAAAAGTACGGTAGATGTCGACAGTCAGTCGACCGCATATAAAAGCTCAAACTCAATATAATGAAATATTTTTTTTTACAAAAGTAATGTTAGATAGTTTGAATTTTATAAAAATTGTATAATTAATTTAATTTATTTTCCCCTACTGTTTGAACGACGGTTTATTAATCAATGGAATATTTAATTTTTGATTTTCATAATTAAAAATAATATGAAATCTAAATACGAAATTCTCTTATGTTTACAGACTGAAGTATATTGGTATTAATTTTTTCCATAAATGTTAAATTTCATGGTAAAATACGCAAGCGCAAACATACATTTAATGTAAGCATGTTTTATGTTCTTAGCGCAGACTTATAAATTATACTCATATTAATTATATTGAAATTTTGATTTTACTAATATATTTTGACGTGATCAGAATGTTTTTAAAGGAAAATAATTATTTTAAACTGTATTCGTTATTCTAATAATTATTGATGTCTAAAAATATGAATAAGATAATTTTCTTCAAACTTTTAACACTTTCAGTTTCGCGCATGAGCGACCTGTTATTCCTAAAGCATTGAATTCTCAGTCTGTTTTGCTAGTTCAAACAAGATGGATAGCGGAGGAGCTTATGGAGGTGGAAAAGCAGGAGCTCCTTTCGATCCAATTGCATTCATTCAAAGGCCACAAGTGATTATTCGAGCATTATGCCTGGTAAGAATTGTATTGATATTTTTTCCATCGCCTTGCTCACTGAGGAATTAGTGTTTTTTGACCCAACGGAGATGGGGATGTAATATTGATTTCTTGTTGTATTTTGCACAGCCAGAATTAATGACAAAATTCTATGTTTTTAGATAGTTATGAATTTGAATAATTCATGTCTTTTTCAAGAAACAGAAAATAATTACACTTTGAGAAGTCGTATTTCCCTTCTCAAAACTTCTGAGATTGTTTATTGAATTTTAGTAGTAACAAAATTATTCAAACGCTTCTTTAAACAACAAATGTTTTTAAAAGAGAATAATTTTAGTGTAATAAATGTATTAGTATACTAATAGCATAAATTATAATTTTCATAAAGAGAACTGAGACAATAAAAACAATAACAATACTGCTCTTGTATAGAAAAAAAATCTTATATTGAACGTAAAAACTATATATTATATTATTATACATTAAAATGGATTTTTAGTATTTTACATGGTAATTTTCCAACAAGGTCACTGTAATGTCAAGGTCATTGTTATCAGGACATTTTCAGCGACATAGATAGTTGATGGTTTAAGCTTTCATTTTTCTTTTCGAGATTTTTTTCAAGTAGACAATAGGTGTATCGCAAATCAGAAAATCTCTAAAATTCTAAAAACCTACAACTGACATGTTTGAAGTGGTTGCATTTGGTTTTTTAAATCGTCCGCCATATTGGTTTTGAAATTTTAATTATTTTATATTTTAAGTTGAGTTAAAAATGAGTGTCCCAAAAAACACTCTTTAATTGTATAATTAAAAAATTTTTTTATAAGAAAGCATAGGTACTGCAAATGCTTCTCTAAAATTGAATTTAAATGATTTATAAATATAGCAATACAGCAAATCATAATATTTCTTTCTATTATTTAGAATTTTTTATAGAATAATGTAAATTAATTTGTAACAGTATTCTACAATATTGTTAGCGTGGAATATAATATTTTTCGTGAAATAAATTCAAGTTTTCTTGAAATGAAAGTATTTATTTAAAAATTTTAAAGGTAATATATTAAAATTAAACAATTGGTCAATATTGTTAATTAATAATCAATTAAAATCGCTACGAATCTTTTTAACGCAGAGTTTTTATGTTGATGTTAGGTTTTTTAAATTTACAAATTTTTCAGAATAAGCTCAATTGATACCACGTATTTTTCTTTATGTTAAATGTAGGTTACAATATAGGAATTTAAAGAAAATAATAATCAATATGATGTATTTCTGTTACTACATACAGTGTATTTTTTCTTCACATTATTTTTCACTATGACACTTTTAAAAAGAAATATTCAATCTTAAAGTTGTGTCTATTTAAAAGAAAATTCAAAATGTGATTTGAAAAGAACTTACAAACTTTTTTAGTCTTTTTTCGTAGGATATCACCATTAAAGCATGTCATATAAAGTAAAATGAACAAACACAAGTTCGCTCCCCATATATATAATTTATTTAAATCCATTCCCGAAATATCTTCGAGGTTGCTTCTGTTAAATTTACGTATTTAAATAGTTATTAAAAAATTATTTTAATGTTCTTAATGCAAAAATAATAAAATATATAGAATAAATTATACTTTTGATAAACAAAAACTATAATTCATAAAGAGTTTTGTGGGGTGTATTTTGAATTGAATTTTATTCACATTACAATAATTTTAAATGTATTTATAATTAAATCATTTTCTGAGTTTTATCTCCGAAATGTGCTTATTATTGGCAAATTGTAAAATTGTTACCCATCAGGACTTTAAAACTGTTTTTCAAAACATCAAGACTTTAGGCTGTCGTTTCATTTGAGATACAGTTTGGTAATGATTATTTTTATTAAAAGCATTTAATTTTTGAATAAAAAATGTATAAAAATTAATAAATTTAAATGAAAGTTTCTAAATAAGTCTTTTTTCGTTTTAGGTGTCGTTTGTAACCAAGTAGAAAAAATTTCTCCAATATAGAACGTGTACGTGTTCATGTACATCCAGTTGTACCAGTTTTTGTTTGTCTGAACCACAATTTTCGTCGGTACAAGAAAGTGTTAATGATTGAGTGATTTTAATGAAATTTTTAAGATAGCTTTTGGTACTAAAATTTCATAACAATTTCCAGACGTCTTCCTTCATGTAACAACTGCTACACGGACACGTACATGAATAGATAAAAGATCTAAAGTAAAGAAATTTTTAGTAGATGATCCTGAATGTGTCCCTACACATCTTCATTGTTTCAATTTCTGTTATTGCAGTTCAAGGTTGGTATAGAACCCACATAGTACGATATTTGCAGCAAAACATTGTAAGCTTGCCGAAAATTGATCTTATAAGCAGCTTCTACAACAGATGTCAATGTAAATCAATTATTTTTAAAGTTAAAATATTTATGAAAGGGATAATGAAAGGGATAAGTGAATACACAAATATTTTATTGATGTATATAATTATGTTAATACATTTTCCAACAAATTTTTGAATATTTAATTAATATTCAACGTCAAGTTACATTTCAGCCTAGACAGTCTTTAATGTGTATAATGCATCAACAACAAATGATTTTTGTATCTGAATAGATGAAAATAAGTGAAGAACTTAAACAGGTAACTGCTTATAGGCTGCTCTTCCGCTTTACAATCATAATCATATTAATTCTTGACTAAATTGATAAATTTTGCCATGTAGAAATGTCGCGATTTTTAAAAAGGTGCAGAAACCAGAAGAACAGAATATAAGCAGTTACCTGTATCGCACTAAACTCCTTATGTAATAACCAAACTGTTTATTCACGTTTGTTGTTGACAGTATTAATAGAAATCCATTTACAAAAAATAAGAAAACAGTCATGATCTAACGCTCAAGTTATATTGTATGCTTTTCATTAAATCAGACAACTATTGTGAGGTTAATAATTCAAACTTGGAGATTTACATTGTATATAAAAATTCATTAACTTAAAAAATGTCACGTAATGCAGTAGCCACTAATTAATCATTTCTTACAAATAATTTAAGTTTTAATATCATCTTTTTAGAATTTATGTTGCGAAATGGATCTCAAAGCTCACGTGACAATGCAAAGAACAAGCCAATATACTAAATCTTATCTTTAATATGATACATATACATGGCATGCAAAAAATGAAATAGAATTCAAGAAGCTATACTGTTATTTTACTAGCGCACATGGAAAATTCGTACATAAGATTATAATAATTGGTTAATTGTTATTATAGATACAATAACAATAAAATTTAACCTAATATCAATAACATTCTAAGTTTGCCCAAATACGAAACATTTATGACTCAAGCGCATGACATCTTAGAAGTGCCATATATAGTATTGCTTTGTTTCTTGCATCGCGTAGACCTTGAGTTGCGTCCGGCTTGAAATTCCAAAGTAAAATATAAAAATTTGGAATAATTAGTGGAAAATAATTAGCTAGTGCTTACGTAACATTTTTTAAGATGATGAATTTTTACACGCAATATAAAAATTATACAATTATTATGAAACATTAACTTTACATTATTCGTCTGATTTATTGAAAACTATATAAGTAGGTACACTATTAAGCCAAATTTGATTCTGATCATTTCATGGCTATTTTCTTACTTTCCGTAAATGAAATGTTGTTAATAATGTCAAGAACAAAACTAAATAAACATTTTGGTTATTACATAGAGTTTAGTGCTATACATGTTCGTATATATTGCATCTGCTCTAATCGGATATAAAAATAATTTGTTGTCTTGAATGTAACTTGAATTGAATAGTAAATATTTCAAAATGTATTGGAAAATATATTAATATAAACAAATATTTGTGTATTCATTTACCCATTTCTCTATAAAAATTATTTTAACGTTAACCTTTATGGGACGGACGAGGTACATATGTACTTGGGTACCTTTTTCATTTTCAAATTGATTTTTTTCATAATTTTTAAAATCATATCGACCTAAGGTTTTTTAACATCTCAAATTTATCCATACAAAGTTAGTGTTTTTATATTATTTATAATGTTCTTTTTTTATTTATTTATTCGGAAATAATAAACAAAGTTTCTTCACCCATAAAAGGCGGACGAGGTACCCGGGTACCTCTACATTTCATGCAGATTAAATGTAGAAATTTCTATTAAAAAATTATGAAAAATTTCATTAAATAATTTTTATAGTACCGCACATAATTTTTTTATAAAACATGTAATTTAGATACTATAGTTAAATAATAGGGTAGAGTGGGGTAAAAAAGCCACATTTTTACTTTTGATGCTGTAAAATCTGTATTTAAAATTTTTTTCTCAAATTTCCAATTGTTATTGAAAGTTTAGTTATTAAGCTTGAAAATTCTTGACGAAAATAATTTTTATCTCATGAAAGGACTAAGTTATAAGAGTTTTACGAAAGCACTGCAAGTGGCTTTTTTGCACCACCTGGTGGGGTGAAAAAGCCACCCTACGATTTTAGCAAAACATGTTATCAATTTAGGTATTTTTATAGTTTTCCTTTATTTATATGACAAATAGTCTTATTTGAAAAATATTTTAATAATTATGAAAGAGTTTTTAGCAAGCAAAATTGAAAATTATATTAAGTTTACCTGTTTTCGATTTGCACTGCCAATTTTTCGTACCTTTTTTAGAAGTTCTCTTTAAGTTTCACCACAGATAACATATTTCGTTGCAACCGTTTATTCATTGTTTATTTTTTTAATGCACTTTGAACTACTTTTTCGTCGTGTTTAATTTATTTTATTAAATAAACACGAGAAATTTTGTAAAATAAGAAGGTTAGTTTAAATAGAAAACAAGTGAATTTCACAAAATATTCAATGGATTTTTTGCCCTGGCTTTTTTACACCCAAGACCAGTTATTAAAAAAAGCAAAAATAAATTGTTAATTCAGTTCAATTTCCAAAAATTAACATTGTATACGTTTTCGGTATACTTTTCTCCTTATGTACAAACATTT